CAACCCCTAATTCCTGCTAAAAGACCTTCAAAAACAGCATCAATAAGCCCGGCATTTGTTTGGCATTGTTGGCAACGGAGCCAAAGGACCAATAACAGTAAAAAACTTTCATTATTCTAAAAATAACTGTCAAAAGGAACTTTTCACAAGGTTTCACATTAACATTCTAGTTCATAACAGGCCAACAGCAGTATCATTTAACAGAGCAGTGGCACAACATACAGTAACAGAAAAGCCACCCCTGAAATTCCCCTTCCTTTTTCGAACATTGCCCCGTTATCAGGGGTTCTTTAGTGCAACAGAATGTTAACTGGGCTCTGTAATAGCACTGGCAATGTTGAGCTGAAGGATGTTTAAGAAAGAAACCTGTGGCACCCAGAAAGAAAATGTTAGCTGATGCTTAAGCTTAACATTTAAACATTACACTGTTGGGTAAACAAAAGTTAAGTTATTAAAAACCCACAGAAAATGAAATCATGTATTAAAAGAACGCGTTAAATGGGATATATTAAAGAAACTTTTGTACACTGAACCAAAAATAGTTAATAAATTAAAAAGACTATAAACACTTACGCCTTCCCTTTTCGTTCAGTGAGCAATGGGAAATTCATTTGGCAAATGGAAGCTACGCATTTGGCTGCCGGCTGATGAGGTGGAGATGTGGGTCTGAGCCAGGCCAGTGGCTTTTAGCCCCCTTTAAAATAGTTTTAATTGAATTTATTGATATTTCAGAAGGGGGCAGAGATAGACCCTAATACACTCACACACCCACGTCGTACAAGTCAAATGCAAACCCAACAACGAAACATAAGGAACTGGAAACTGAAGCTCGGGGCTCTGGGATCTGAGATCTGGGAATTGGAATGTGGGACTCGGGCTCTGGCAAATGTGGCCCAGAAAAACCAAAGTTTAGTTAACTTTTCATCAGGCTAATAAAGCGTGCGTCTTTTTGGCAACAAAATGGCGGCGGCAATGGAGACAACGACACCAAATCAATGCTCAGCAAGTCCTGGCTCTTAAAATGTGTATGTGTATGAGTGTGTGATTATAGATGCGACTAATGAATAGAAATGTCGTCCTTCAAAACTTTTCGGTTGCCAGGCCAAGGAAAATCTGCCAGTTTCCCTCTCGCTCTATTTGTGTGGGTTAATGAAAATCTGATTTTTGTTCCATATCCCACACACACACACCCTCAGATATCTTACACTTTCAAGTTGACTTTGAGTTTTTGGCTTTTCGAGGACTCAAGGAAGCGTGGCAGAAGATTTGCGGCTCACTTGGAATGCAAAACTTAAATGCGTGCCATATGAATCGTTAATTGTGTGGGCGAAGCAGTGGGCGGAAACGGATGCGGGCTGAAAGAGGAAGAGAGCGCTAAGAAGACGAATAGAACATTTAGGAAAGGGTGAATAATAAACCAGGTTTGAAGACGCTGGTTGTAAGAAGGTATTAGACAGCTCAACTTCTGTATCATAAATTTTAAATTTTCTTTAGAAATTTAGATGACCTAATCTGACATCATTTTTTTCCAGGTAAGCTAGGTTTAGAAAATATCTAATTAAGCCCGAAAAATAAACTAAATCTTATTTGAAAACATATATACAAATGTACTTCATATTTCCATTCCATTTGCAAGTCATTAATCGACTTCTCTTTGTCTAGTAAATACTTTAATATAAAGTCAAGCAGCTATGGCAAATATTTTCATGCTCATTCATAAAATTTGACATTAGCATATTGCATTTCCATTGCGTTAATGTGACAAAATGACAAATGAAGTTGGTTTCGCTCCTCCAGTCGCATTGCATTGCCAGTCGAAAGCCGTCTGTCTCGTTTCATTTCCGCCGCCTGCCTTCCGGTTCCTCGAATGGTATTTTATGCGTTTCGCGGCAAACTGCACTTGAATTTGCATTTGCATTTTTCCGAGCGTGGCAAAAAGCAAAACACTCTGACAAGCGTTTACAAACTCGCCAGTGCGACAACGCCAGCAACAAGCCAAGTAGCGCGGCAACTTTGAAATTGATAAATTGATTTATGCAAACAAAACAGAAAAAAAGCGAGAGAAAGAATATCCCGAGAAGGCGAAACTTGCCTGACTATGCCCCATATATATATATAAAATACAAGTCTTTTATCCTTGAATCCGCTGAATATGAAAAATGATGATGAGGGAGCGAAATCAAAAATTTTTAGCACACCTACACGCTGGCGTGACAACAGCAGGACACACAAAAGATGTAGACATTGAACCCGAGGCTCAGACGGTGGATCGGCTTCCAAGAATTGACTGGTACATACAAAATCAATTAATAAACAATATGAAACGAAATTTGCAATTGTTCGTTATGTCCAATGCAGACATGCCCTCTCGAAAGCTTTTGTGGCTATTTTTGCTGTAAGAGCCTCTCTGTTTTTTGCCCACGGTCGCTTAAAGTCGATCTCAGGCCCATTGTACCGGGGATTTGGTTCCATTATTGTTGCTGTGGCGCTTGCTGATTGACCCACGCCCTCGCACGTACCAATGGCAACACCATCGGCAATGCCAACCATATTCCTGTATCAATTTCCATTTTTTGCGAAAACACTTTCTGTTGTTCTGGGTACTCACATATCAGTCTACTTATACACCTGTGTTCAGATTGGAAATGCTCAAAGTTCTAGACTTTAAACACTGTTCTTATTAGTTGGCTAAATTGTCATAGAAGGTGTTTGTTTTTCAACTTGCTTTAACTAATATTATGTTCCTTAATTTAAAATAAAAATAAATAATATGGCAAGTGCTATTGCTGTAGGCGCTATTGTCTAGCCCATGATGGCAGATTTTGATCTGGATTTGTATATATATATATTTGCATGTGCACTGCGACATTTAAACCGTAAGGACAAACAATTCTATATGGTAAACAAGTCACGTGCGACGTGTGTTATTGCTTTCCGTTGCCTTTGATTTTCTGCACTGGAAGAGTGGGCAGTGGGCGTGGTAAAGGCAAGATGTCGACTTAATGGGTGGCACCACGCCCACTTTGTCTGATGCCAGTATATGCCTGCTTGCCAAAGCAGCTGGCATTATAAACTTAATTAAAATATCGGCAGACAGTAATAAATGACAGCCCCCGAAAGCAGGCAATGTTTTCTTTTAGAAAGGCAAGCGGCAAATATTTAAACACTCCCACACACACGCACACACATTGTAAAGACTTTAGCACAGATACGCGGGCATGTGTGTATATTTATAGACACACATCCTATACGAGTACACCCACATGCACACAATGGCGCTACAATCACAATCACAGGTAACTGCTACATGTGTAAATATTTACAAAACGCGCCAAGCGTCGACAAACCGACGCCAGGCATCTTCACTTTTGCCGCCAACGAGCGGCTCTTCATTGTTGTTGCAGCGCGTAACTCTTTTGCTTCGTCCAGGAGCGAATCTAGGGCTTCGATAGGTGTCAGTGGGGCTCAAGAATGGAATTGAAATCAACTGGACCATGCTTAGTGCACTTAAATATTCTCTATTTGGGATTCTAAGTGGTTAAGTTGTTTTACAATACTCAGTTATCACAACGTCACTAATCATATTACATATCATATGTCAATTTTTAAGGAATAAGGGTTTAAACAACTTGGAAATAGAGCCTAATCTACCCACAATCTGCTCCTGAATTTCCACTCTCCCACGCAGCCAAACACAGGTTTATTTATGCCTTTCGATATTTATCGCTGTTGCTCTATTTGTTTTTGTTGCTGCCGCTGCTGCTTTTTCGAGAATCCCCCCATTTTGGATGTGTGGGTAAATGTGGCTGTGTGTGTTTTATTCCCTTTTATTATTATTATGCTGTCATTCCTGTTGTCGCGACATTGTCAGCGAACGTTGTGTGTGTGCGGTCCCTTTTACGTGTATTTGGGATATGGATATGGCGGACTTCGAAACAGGCTCACCTCCTGCGTGTCCATGTTTATTCCTGTATGTCGACAGCGAAACGGTTTTAGTTGCCCCCATTTGTACAAACCGTTTTATGTGCCGTTATGATGGCATGGCTTATGATGGCTTGCCATATTTGTAATGCCCCAAATCAAAACGCTTTACTACTCCAAAAAGTGCCCATAACTCGAGACAGAAATCAATGTTTGATCTTCGATTCGATTACCCAATACCCAAATCAATTTAGTAATTTGGTCACATTTCATATTCTGTCCAATATGCCTCATAATGTCAACGAGGTTAATATATCAAATGGTCTCTTGGGATTTTATGTTCTCGTCCCCAAAAAATCAGTTTACACTTCCGTAAAACAGGATCTAAAATCGAATTTTTTGAGTTACACATCCATAACACATTTAAACCAAATGGGGTTGATATATATATTAAATACCCAAGAAATAAACTCTAGTACCTTCTCAACCCTCCTTTGAATGCATGAATGGAATAGAAATAAACCCTACCCCAAACTTAAGCCTCCTCAAAGGCAAACCGCTTAAACTCCCTGCCTGTTTGTTGACTTTGATATACAGTCATTTGAGTGTCGCTCAAAGTAATGGCAAAAAGAACCAGAGTATGTGGAACATCCCTTAGGCACTGCAATTTGCATTTGTGCGGCCTGACAGTTTCCGCTTCTGAAAATTCCTATAGAAAGACAATAGAATCAATTTAAAAAGACTTATTTCAATAATAGTTTATAAAAGTACTCCAATAACATCCAATTACAAACAAATTGCATGCAACTAATAATTTATGTGTCTAAAAATATCAAAATATGGCAAAAGTTCGGGTGCAATTAATCAGGTTTAATTTTATAGAGTATACTAACAATTTTGTAATATTTTTTTTAAAATCATAAATGAGAATTACACAAATTAAACTAGCTATTAGCCATGTAATCTTAAAACCAGTGTTATGTCAAGGATAATTACTATTATTTGGAGTAGCATTGCGTGTTTCCGGAAAGTATAAATTGGTCGCAGCATCAACAATCTGATTGTATTGTTCGCTTAATATGGATCTGGATATAATTCTACTGGCGAATATCTTCTTTATATGCAATGCAAACGGAGCTATGTACGAACTGGCCGTGACGGATGAGGAAATATTTAGCAGTTGTCCTGACCCTGATCCCGGCACACTGGACATAAATGGTTTGATAGATAGGTCAGAGCTCCAAACTTCCATGGATGCTGATGGAGTGACTATAAGTGGAAACAAAACGATGGTGTGGGATATCCAACCAGAGGATCGAGTACAGGTGATTAAGAGCTCGACAACGATTTAAGCAATCATTAAACTTCTAATGTATATTTCACAGCTCTCCATCAAACTTCTTTACTTGGACAGAGGCATCTGGTCGCCAACGGTATTCTCATTGGTTACCAGGGACTTCTGTAAGTCCATGTACGACAAAAATCAGATATGGTATAAGTGCTGGACGCAGCATATTACAAACGACAACAAGCATACATGTATCAATGTTCGCGGGGTATGTTTGATATAAAATATATATTTATCTAATTTATATATATTTATCTAAACACTTTCTCGTGCCAGATGAAATTTACCTTGGAGACCTATCTGCTAACGTTGCGTGCCGCAGCCACTGGAGCTCTTCGCGAAGGTCGCTACAAAGCCAAAATATTGTTTCAAGCTTTTGATTCATTTAATCTTGAGAGACCAACTCGGATATGCTTTGAAATAATAGGCGACCTTTACCTAGCTAATAAAGCATAATGCATATTTCAATTTAATTTTGTTTTTTAACTTAAAAATGGAACATTTTTGTATTTGTCTTTGTCATTTTTGTCTTTTCTTTATAGTTTTTTTCCTAAAATGTATAATCCCTATATTAAAGTATCCTACGTTTCTTAAGTTATTAAGCGGAAATATTAACAAAATGGCTGATTAGATCTATAATTGTCATAGGAAGGAACCACTACAAAGAGACTTTTACATTCAAAAAATAAATTATTAATTATACCTTAACTTATATAATTTATAATTCTAAATTATATCAAAAGATTGGGAATATACATTTAAAAACTGGGGTATGTACACATTAATTACTATAATTAAGAACAGAATTGCCTGCTAACGAATGGTATATATTGCTGTAAACTTCACTGATCGCCCTAGAATTCGTGGATATAATGGATCTGAAAGTAATTTCCCTGCTGGCACTGCTCGTCATCTTAAGCCATGCAAATGGTACAAAATATGAACTAACGTTTGCCGATGAGGACATATTCAGTACTTGTCCTGATGCAGATCCCGGCGCACTTGACATACACGGCTTAGTAGATATATCGGAGCTCTCAACTTCGATGGGTGCTGACGGTATAACCATCGGTGGAAACACAACATTGACATGGGACATCGAAGCGGGGGATCGCATTGAGGTGATAAGTACTTGAAATTCAACGAAAATTACAAGTTTCTACACCTTGGAAACTGGCTTATCACAATTTTTTCCAGCTGAGCGTTACCCTTTTGTACTTGGACAGAGGTACTTGGATAGCCACAGCATTCTCGATATCATCAAAGGATTTCTGCAAGGTCATGTACGACAAAAATCAGTACTGGTACAAATATTGGACGAGTCATATTAAAAACGATGTCAGAGATGTATGCATTAAAGCCCCCGGGGTAAGTAAGCAATGAATGCATTTTGCATAAATTATTCCAATTCTTCAATTGGCAGACAAAAATGATGTACGAGACCTATGTGCTGACTTTGACTGCCAACGGCTTGGGTGCTCTTCGTGAGGGCCGCTACAAGGTCAAAATAAATTTTAAGGCTTTTAGTGCTAATGGAGTTGAGAGGCCAACTAGCATTTGCATGAATATCGTGGGAGATTTATTCAAAGTGTGACCGATTCATTCAGTTGCAGCATAGAAAACTCTGTGCCTGTCCTTTGTTTGACGAGCGCAGAAATAAAAAAATATTGGCCAATTACTAAAATATGTACGAAATTTATTATTGGTGTGAAGCGTACAAATTAAAGATTTATCATAATGATTCAATATATAAACGTTTATATATACAATCAAATACACTTACGGGCTATGCAGAAATCAGCTTAGGTCTATCACTTAAACAAATGTAGCGTCATAATCTTAATAACCTAAGGATTAACATCCTAATTCTTTTAAACGATTGCCAGCGGTCAGCAACCGCCCAATTGCGCGGCCGGAACATGGTCGACACTGCTAACTTAACTAAGACACAGGAGATCGTTGAGGCGTTCACGTTGGCGGGCAGCAGACGCCGCCGACCGATCATGTCAGGTGCGACGTGGCCGCAGTCGCCGATTTCCCCGCAAAGAATCGACTTCCACCGGTCTGGTTGGTAAAGAGTAACGTGTCAACTGGCGGTAGCATCTGGTTGGATCGCACCAGCAACGGCACATTCACCATGGACACAGATGGTGTCTGAGCCAAGCTCGTGGCCACGGACTGCGTCACATTTCCAGTGCTACTCAACTTGCCATGCGCGTTCAGCGTAAAAGCGGGCAGGTAGTAGTTTCCAGATCTCACTGGTATTGTTTGCGTCGCAGTTGCGGCACTAGATGCAGATGAGACGGCCGTTAGTTCCATTGAGGCAGGCGACGAGAACGGTGACGACTCAAGTGAGGGGCAAGCAAGGCGATCGCTGGGCTTGCAAGGCACTGTAAATATAAAATATACATTAATATTTGGTTTCTCTAAACAAAGAATATTCATAAAAGCTTTTATTACAACTTTTGTTTAAACAAAACACAACACTTTTGCATTTTCAACTTACTGAAATCATCGTCCGGTAACAGTTCATCTGGTAATTCATTCTTGATTTGGAAATGCAGGGCAGCGGCCGAGTCTGAGATGGCGTTGTCTGATGTCCCCATTTCCGTGTTCGAATTAGGTGCATCATACAGACCGCACTCCTCCATCTCCAGGGCCTGTTCCATGATCAGCTCTTCGGCGGAAGTGAGGCTCAGGCCGTGCAAATCAAGAAACGGACCCTGGTTCTGCACTGGCTCCTTCTTTATTTGCGGCACTGCAGCAATAGGCTCAAGGCTGGTTTGGTGAACCTGAGCCTGCTGGAGGAGCTGTGGTTTTTGTTGCAGCTGCTTAGGTGCCAGCTGCTTACGCTCCCGCTTGGCTTTGGTCTGCTTTGGTGCCGGCGGAGGAAGTGGCACAAGTACCGTAGTTAGTTCCTGCTGATGCGACTGCGGTGGCGGAGCAGGATGTACCTGCTGCAGAGCAGTACCCGCCGGCAGGGTGATACCCAATGCGGCAAGAGTGGCCTGTTGTGGCTGCTTCTTTTTCCGGGCCTGTTTTGGGGGAGCTGGAGTGACTGCAGTGGTAAGATTGGGCTTAACTTTCAGTTCACCAGAAGCGGAAATGTCACTGGGATTCACTGCTGCTGTGGCCGCCGCCGCGGCTGCTGCTGCCGCAGCTGCCTTTTGCGCCTTGTTGGTGGTGGACTTCTTTGAGCAGTAGGAGGGAATGTTCTCAAGGTGTTCGCCGGTCTTGTGGTCTACTTTATGCCGGCGTCTCGTGTGCTTTAGCCAGTTGGGGAAGTTGGTGAAGTCGCGCGGACAGTAGTTGCACTTGAACGGCCGCATACCGGTGTGTATGTTCGAGTGCTGTTTCAGCTTCGAATTGCTAATGAAGCTCTTATCGCATACAGTGCAAGCAAAGGGTCGCTGCTCCAGATGCACCAGATTATGGACCTTGAGGCAACGCTCTGTCTTGTACATCTTGCCGCATTTTTCACATCGATAGGAACGCGTCTGTGCATGATACTTCTGGTGGCGCTGCAGATGGGAGCGCTCCTGGAACCGCTTCTGACACTCGGGGCACTCGTACGGCTTCTCCGATGAGTGTATCCGTGCGTGATGAGTTAGGTTTATTTTCTGCACAAACTTCTGACCGCAGATGTCACACTGGTACTTCTTGTTATCGCTGTGAATCTTTCGATGCATCCACATGCTGCCCAGTTTAAGGCTAAAATTTTAGATAAAAGATGTCAATTAGAATGCCTATTTACAAATTTCTTGCAACACTTACCATTTGCCACAGTCTGGACACTTTTTCCAGGTGTCCTTGCGTCCCTCGGTGCGGTGCGTCTTTAGGTGCTTTTTCAAACCGCCCAGCACCTCGAACTCCCGTTGGCATTCGCTGCATCGGTAGGTTAGCCTCAGACGATGGGCGGCAGCTTCGTGCTTTGCCACTTCGTCCGGCGTCTCCAGGAGCAGTCCATTGCAATCTAGGCACTTGTGCAGCGGAGCCGGATCCACCTCGAAGAGCTTCGTTTCTGAGGCTGCGGGCGGTGGCATGCTGACAGCATCTGCCATCGACTCCGCCGATTTGGCCTGCTGGAATATGGTGAATGCTGGAGGCAGAAACTCCGACTCAGACACCTCCACCTTAGTGACCACTTGCTCCGGCGGATGCTTTTCCTCGGGCGGCTCCTCCTTAAAGACCTTCAGGCGCACCGCCGTTGCCGCTGGTAGTTTGGGCTTGCGTTGCAACATCTGGCCCTGTGGAATTTGAAGCTGATGCTGCTGATGAAGCTGTTCTGGCGACAGCTTCACTGGCGTGGAGGCGCCGCTGGAGGTCTTCTTGAACGGCGAGTTGGTGAAGGCATTCGGCGGCTCCGGCCGCAAGAAAGTTACACTAAACTCGGAGCTGGAGTGGTTATCACTAGCCAAACTGCTGGGCACAGCGGAGGAGCTGGTGCCCGTCAGATCATCGCGGCAAACGTCCGAGGAGAGATTCAGCTCGGTGTTGTTTTGGGCACTCTCGTCGAGCACGCGCCAAAAGTCCGTGGAGGAGAGACTATTGCTATTGACCAGACTGGCAGAACTGATGGTCACGCAGGCCGACAGATCGATGTCCAGCGACTCATCCTTGATGCTCGATATTGAATCAAAATTGTTAATTCGCAATAGTGAGGTGAGGATCTCGTCGTGGGCTGCCTTCGTGGGGGTGCCCGCATCGCCGCCGTAGATTTTAGGCGGCAACTTCTTGCTTGGCGCCTCCTCCTTCATTCTCTTGCCCTTGCCGCCCTCCATTCGCCTTGCGTACACGTACAGGTTATGCGGTCGGCGTTTTCGCTCGCCGTATTTTGTCTTTGTTTGACGGGCCGCTGGCGCTTCACATTCACTGGTCGTCTTTATCCGGTCACTGGGTCCGTATATCACTCATAGCGATCGCTTTTGTTGGGTTAAACGCGCCGCAATAGTCCGAAAAACATTTAATTATTGTGAAATGCGCCTTGGCTTTGTTGTTTTTGTCACGCTTACAATTCTGGAATCGCCATTTTGAGAACAGTGTTGGAAGATGCGCACGAGTGGTAGTCCCGCTAAATATGATGGTCAACTGCCGATTTTCTAGCTACATTTATTTTCTTAAAATTTAAATTTAAAACGATATATAAAATGTAATATAATATATATGCAGCCCCAAATTATAACACAAATTGTTTCTGCTTATCCGGATATTGACTCTAGATTTTTTGCATTTTTCATGTTGTAAGGAAGGCGTAGTTATTTGGGACATTTTCAAATGATTGTTATACAGAAATAAATGATTCGTTAAAAGCTCTATGTTTAACATATACATTAGTGTTTACTACTAAATTAAATTACTTAAATGAAATATTAAAGTATTAATTTTTATACAAACATCTATAATATGCAATTTGTGGTTTGGTCTTTTTTGGTCTTATCAAAGTTCAATAGAATATAAAAAATTGTTTGTATGTTTTTAGGTAAGTCATATTGCTTTTTGAGACACTATTAACTAATTTAAGGTACTTTTACAAAATGGGATCTGATGTTTTGAAATATTTAGCTTGACATAATATAGCTATTTTCCAGTCAAAGTTAACGTGGTTCGTCATTGGTATTTTTCTTCCGCTGGTATATTGAAAGAGGTTCCGTTCTGAGAACTCTGAGAAATGAACTAGTTCATTTAATTACAGAAGTCACCGAAAAACATTATTTAACTATGGTAAAATAGTTCTCAATTCCTAGTTGAAAAAAGGCAATAAAAATGTTTAATGAATGTGGAACACAAAATTAGTCGTTTTTTAACGGCTGTTAATCATCGAATAAACACTCTTAAATTGGATTTATCGATTCTACCGGGATATATATCGATATCAATGTATAATAAACATGGCGTCAGAGGGAGAAAACGTTGTGATGGAAAGTCCAGGTAATGATAAAAATTTGGCAATAACCAGCCCAATTCAACTGGAACGCAATGACCGGTGATTCTTAAGTCAGTTGTAATGAGTCTATTCCGAAACTAGACATTGGCAGTCATTTCGAGCAGTCTAGAAAATCCGTTCGAAAAAACATCACGAGGTCGCAAATTTATAACACCGCTTGTACAGTTTATGTAAACCGCGTGGAATTACATAGTTGGTTAATTGACGTTTTTCAGGTCGCCGCACACGTTCTGGCCGAAAGGCTGCATCTCCGGCTGCATCGTTACCCACGAGGAACACTAGACGCACATCGAAGCGGAACGTCCAGGTCAGTACACTTATGTAGTCCTTAGTTCCTGCTAATGGGACGCCCAAGCCAGTGATGTAAACGATTGCAACTACAAGTGCGGATGTGGCGTTGTTCCATCCGCACATGATTTTCCTCCCTGGAGGAGCAAGATTACCTGCAAGGGCCAACTGATGGCACATAATCCATTAACTACATTTTGGTATGCGGCTTGCCGGTCATTAACCTATCTTACCCTTCCAGCTAAGTGAACCGGAAGAGGAACCCGAAGAGCGGGCAGCAGAGGAGGTGATCATGATTCTGGATGACGAGGATCAATTTGCAGGGGCGGCCACCGAGGAGGCACCCGCTTTGGAACCACAGTTTGAGGAAACCCAACATCAGTTGGACGACGATGTTGAGATGCTGACGCCCGCCGAAACTGGCGGAGTGGATGAGAAGAGCTCTTCCTTTCCATTTGGTACAGTGGCGGAGCAACATTCAGAAACTAGCGATGACATCAAGGAGAGTCGCGGACAGGCTGGCGTGGACACCCTGCTAGCTTCTATGGCAGGCGATAATGCCAACAGTCTGCCATCTGTGGGTGGAAATGATGAGAGTGACAACACAAAAAAGGCAGATTTTGAGTACAATGTTGAGGCTCTACAGCCACAGACAGAGAAACTGAACTCGTCTGAGGACTCCAGCTCCCATCATGCCATAGCCGAAGATCTGGCTGATGAGGCAGACAACAGTAATGCCACCATTGTCAACACGGAAATTATATCCGAAGATGAACTGCCTCCACCCAGCAAACCAGAAATCAATGATGCCGAGGAAGTCTCCGACGAGGAGCTGCCAGCTCCGCAGCGGGCGGAGTTGCCAGCGGATGCTGAGGTTATCTCCGAGGACGAGCTGCCCACCCACAATAATAACAACACCACCACTGAGCCCAAGGCTGCTTTAAAGCGCAAAGCGGAAAATAATACCGATAAGGGGGCTGAAGATAAGGAAACAAACAGTATGGAAAAAAGCACAAAAGATAAGTCTGTGGAGCAATATAATCCGGGAAGCCCAACATCTGAGAGTAACGATTCTCCGCCTTTAGAGAAGAAAGTCAAGGTTGAGGGTAAGTAGTAAAATTCAAAGCTTGGTTTTTAAAATCACTCAAAACTAAAATCCGCAGAATCTGAAAACAAAGAAAAAAAGAAGGAAAAGGAGCGCGATAAGGATAAAGATAAGGAGAAGGAAAAGGACAAAGAGAAAGATAAGGACAAGGAGAAGGAGCGCAAGAAGCTGCCTGACCTGGATAAATACTGGAGGGTTGTCAAAGAGGACTCTACCGACTTCACCGGTTGGACGTATCTATTGCAATATGTGGACAGTGAGGTAAGTCTATGACTGAAAACCTCTTAAAACTTTAAATAAATGTCATTTCCATGAACACCAGTCCGATGCAGAGGCGGCTCGAGAGGCCTACGACACATTCCTGTCTCACTATCCCTACTGCTATGGGTACTGGCGCAAGTACGCTGACTACGAGAAGCGCAAGGGCATCAAGGCCAACTGCTACAAGGTGAGTACCCCAAACACATTTGGTCGTGCAATTAAATATTTTTCGCAATTTCTTGTATTACGCTTACAATTACGATTAAATTTGATATTCATATATTTGTTGTTAAATGCAATTTATTATGACCTAATAAAAACTACATTAAATAAATGCAACATTTACAAAAAAAAAAAAAAAAAAACACCTAATTGAGAAGACAATACAAAATTTTAGGAATGAAACTCTAGCCTCCATTCAGGGTCGTTTTTTTTGTAGGACTTGTTTTTGTTAAGTTAAAGGGTATGAAACTGAAACTGGTTTCGGTATCGTTTATTTCAGATGCTGAAATTGTGACGTAGTTCTGGTTTAGGTGGGAAAACTATACAATTTAGAAATATTGTGATCTTTACTTTTTCATGGACAAAAATTTCTCAAACCTACTTATTATTATTGATTTGGATTAAATTTTTAGTTAAATTATAAAGAATTTGTAATTGATTAAATACCATACATTGCTAATTTCATCATATGCAACTCTTAAATTTTTAATGTGTCTTTCCCACTTAGTAGACTTTAAATATCCTAAGTGCTACAATTAATATTTGTTTCGGTTTCATAACCTTAGTTCCTCACCTTTAGTACACATTTTTTTAAATTCTTGGCGTGGACATTTTTATTAATATTGCTGGTACACATTTTTGAAATTCCTTACATCGGTTTGACAAAATTTTTACTCTTAGAATCTTATTTACCACTTGTACTCGTTCCCAATCACTTATTTTTGGTGATTTTTGCCCCTGAGATGTTGTAATCTTTCTCTTCACGATACGTACCGGACATTTTTAGTATTATTCACCTCTGTGTTGCACAACTCTCGTTGTAACCCAGCCCAGTTTAGCTCAGCTCAGTTGACCCTTTAAACCCCACACCGACCTAAACGCGAAAGCGACTGATTCGTCTAGTCGAAGTTCGATCCGTCTACTTTCTGATCTCCGTACGTTTGTATCACCAGTTACCTCTTCAGTTACGTTACCTCCATCCTTCTTCAACACGATATAAATAGTGAGCTCGCATCTCGTACAGTCGTAAGTACAAATGGCGTTTAAATGAAATTTTTAAGTCTCTGTGAAGTTTTTTGTTATTTGAACACTGAAAGTGTGTGCCTAAAAAAGAAAACAACTACAACCTGTGTGTTATGTATTCTGTGTATTTGTAAAGACGCTAAGTTAGATTATAAGATCAAATACCATTCACATCAAAACGATATCCTTAAGTTTCTGAGAACGCAATTCTTAAAAGATTACTATAAACCATGACAATTTTTTATATTTTTCTTATGCGATCATCCACAATAAATCAAAAAATCAAAAAACTGTACCGAACATACGAAAATGAAAAAATCCTAGGTCTTTGAGCGCGGGTTGGAAGCTATTCCCTTGTCGGTGGATCTGTGGATCCACTACCTGATGCACGTCAAGTCCCACCATGGAGAAGATGAACAGTTCATCCGTACCCAGTACGAGCGAGCAGTGAAGGCGTGTGGCCTAGAGTTCCGCTCGGACAAACTCTGGGACGCTTATATTCGATGGGAGAACGAGTCAAAACGCTACCATCGTGTAGTCCAAATCTATGATAGGCTATTGGCCATACCCACCCAGGGTTATAATGGTCATTTTGACAAGTGAGTGCATCTCCTTTTCAGTTCAAGCAAAATGTATATATTTGTGTTGCCTTTTTAGTTTCCAGGATATGATTAATCAGCATGCTATTACCAGCACGATTGGCAAGGAGGAGCTGGTCCGCCTACGTAAAGATTTCCACGAGCGTCAGCAGAGCAAGTCCTCAAAGTCCTCGTCAAAGCATCGACGTGACAGCAGCAGCTCTAAGGACAAGGAGTCAAAGGATCGAGAACGGGAAAAGGATAAGGACAAGGACAAGGACAAAGACAAAGATAAGGACAAGGACAAGGAGAAGCGGGACTCAGGCGGCGGTGGTGCTGGTAAGTCGCCTAAAGATACTAGTGAAACTCATGTCGATGAATCAGATAGTACTACCGATCTGATCGAAAGCGAATCAACGCCTGCTTCTTCAAAACCGGCACTCCCGATCGATTTCAGTGATTTAAGCACGCTGAATGACGAGGAGATAGCCAGCATAAAGGAACGTGCGATATCTGCGCGCCGCAAAATCCACAAGGCGACCGTAAGCGCAGTGACCGCCCGATGGTCCTTCGAGGAGGGCATTAAGCGGCCATACTTTCATGTAAAGCCTCTTGAGCGAGCACAACTGAAGAATTGGAAAGACTACATCGATTTTGAGATCGAAAAGGGCGATCGTGAGCGTGTCCTGGTTTTGTTTGAAAGATGCCTTATCGCCTGCGCTTTGTATGACGAGTTCTGGCTAAAGATGCTTCGTTATCTGGAATCCTTAGAGGATCAGAGCGGTGTGAACAACCTTATACGCGATGTCTTCCGTCGCGCATGTCGCATTCATCATCCGGATAAGCCCAGTTTGCATTTAATGTGGGCCGCCTTCGAGGAGTGTCAGTCAAACTTTGATGCCGCTGCTGAAATTTTGGAGCGCATCGAACAACGTTGTCCTCATCTCCTGCAGATTGCTTATCGTCGGATCAACGTGGAACGACGTCGCGGATCGCTGGACAAATGTCGCGAGCTGTACAAGCACTATATAGAAAGTACAAAGAATAAGGGTATTGCCGGCAGCCTGGCCATTAAGTATGCCCGTTTTCTCAACAAAATCTGTCATGATCTCGATGCAGGTTTGGCAGCCCTGCAGCAAGCTCTGGAACGTGATCCCGCCAATACTCGAGTGGCCCTGCAAATGATCGATCTGTGCTTGCAGCGGTCTAAGGTGGATGAGCAGGAGGTGGTTAAAATTATGGATAAGTTTATGGCCCGACCGGATATTGAACCTGATCAGAAGGTACTGTTTGCCCAGCGCAAAGTCGAGTTCCTAGAGGACTTTGGCAGCACAGCCAAGGGTCTGCAAGATGCACAGCGCGCTCTGCAGCAGGCTCTAAGCAAAGCCAATGAAGCTCAAAAGAAGGGGTAAGGAAAATATATCTCAATTTTATAATCTCAACTCATCCCTAAATTCATATTTTTCCTTGCAGTGATAGTAGTCCTAGTCGCAAAAACTCGTCTACAGGTAGCAAAGATGGATCTGGCGCCTCCGGATCAGCATCAGCGGCAGCCTACAACAATGGTGGCTCGGCCGCGGCCGCAACAGGCTACAACTATGGTGCGGCCAATACTTATTACGGACAGCAGAGTACCAGTGGAGGTTCTTATCCCCCGCAGCCCCCGCAGCCCCCACAGCAGCAGGCGTCCTATGACTCCTACTATAACCAATGGGGTTATGGACAAGGTGGTGCCAGCAACAGTAGTAATGTTGGATACAACTACGGTCAATGGAGCGGCTATACAAACTACTACTAAGATCCTAGCCTATATCCAACTCAATCCCCCATATCTCTAAGACGCCCAAACTCGTTTAGTTTTGCTTGCTGATTTGTTAAGTAATATACGTCTAACTGTAATTTTTTATCAATTTCTAATACATATTGATATGTAGGGTATTTAATTGCGCCCTCACATACGCCCCACAATGCGTACAATAAAAGATATCTGCTAAATCGGTCCACCATAATCGTGTTGTTGTATTTCGCCAATATATGCTTGAAATATGTCGAGTTATGCCTAAATAAAAAATAAAATTTACAATCTGACAGTGAGCGCTCGACGGACGACTCAACTGAAGTCTAAAGATTGGGTCGATACCAGGTTACTTCGCCACCGTTACAGCCGGTCACAAGTAGCGGTTCTCTGGGGCTAAACTTGGCGCATAGAACGACATCCTGATGCTCCGTAATTTTGGCCAGTTCAACCAATTTTCGCGGTTTGCTTTTAACTTCTTCGAACGCTTGACATCTGGGATAATCGCAGCAATCCTCACTGTATCCCAAAAGTCGGACTCCATTGCCATAAGGTGAGCAGACGATCCGACCGTCCGCTGAGAATCCCGGCTCCTTGATGAAGCCTGGCTTAGTGTTTGTTTCGGCAGCGTAGTAGAGCAGCTTTTTGGCATTCACCAGTATGGAATGACCATTCTCCTTGGACGTTGCCGCTGACGCATGACTAAAGGGTCGCAGACGAAGACGATGTCCGATTTCTAACCGGACGGTAGTGTCGCTGTTGGTACTGGAGCTACTGCTGCTGGAACTACTGCTACTAGAGCTACTGCTGCTACTCTGATTGCCCTCTGTTGGCGGCGGAGTAGTCAGCAGTCGAGAACCGCTACTGTTGACCATCAAGCGACTGGCCACCGAGGGTCGTAAAGGTAGCACTCCGCTACTGATGGCGTATACAAAGTTATAGCCGCTCACATGGTTGTTTGAGTTTCTCGCACGGTTCTGACGGATGGCCCGCTCTTGGACAGTCACCTCTGCGGCCCAGATATCAGGTATAAAGGTGTCCGAACGAGTCGACAATGAGCCAGCTCCAGGCGCCACACGTCCTGATCCTGCATTATCCAGGTGGAACACCTGGACAGTGCCCATGCGCATGGGTCTTCGTGGCTGTCTGGGAGGCAGTCCATCCGTGTCCTGGTCTTGTGTGGTGTCATTCAACGAGCTGCGGCTGGCGAGCGTTGTCGATACCCGTTTTCTCTTGGGCTGTGGTTCAACCTCCTCCTGCTCCTCATCGCTCCGCACTGGCTCTTCGTTGATGTCATGGATGCAGGTCCACTCGCTCTGCTCGTCGCAGCTGACATTCCTAGTCAGCATGCAGCGACAGTGCGGGTGAATCTGCAAAGCCATGATCATCTCAGCGTCATTGTTCTCGGGGAAGTCGGTGACCAGTTCTACGCGGTTCTTCTTTTGCCGTTTGGAGAACACGTGATCATATTTCGCAGCTTGCGGGATATACTGTTCGCCCAACTGCATCAGTCGGTATATACCAGGCTAAAAAATCAGATAGTTTTATTAGTTTAAATTTCTCACTAAGAACTTATAACTTCTTTTGGAGTATATCCCGTTGAAAGTTAAAATAATCTGTGCAAGATTGGTGACAATACTAATAAGTGATGATACTTTAGGGGACTTGTTTACAATCCCTTTATATTTGTAGATTTCTTACCCTGAATCCGCACAGATCCTTGTGCAGTGTGGTGAGATCCAGGTGGTGGATGATCATGATGTATCCACCGCTAGTGCAGAGTACAAGCTTATCCCCCGTTGGCGATATCCGACATCTCATTAGCCCGCTCGCATGGAAAACTCGCTGCGAGATCAGACCCTGTTCCGTCTGCGAATTGATATCCCAAGTAAAGATACTGCCATCGAAGCCAGAGCTGACGAGCAGCTTGTCCTTGGAGGAATACTCAATGTTCTTCACCCAATTGGAGTGACCGTGGAGGACGCGCAGCTTCTGCTTCATATTCCGCAGATCCCAAAGAGCTACGGTGAAGTCGTCGGAACCCGTGGCGAAGAGTCGCTCATCGAAAAATCTGCAGCACAGATTAGGACTGAGCTTCTATGACTGAAGCGGGTTTACTTACTTTATGCAATTGACACAGTCTGTGTGGGCGTCCGGTACTTTGAAGATCTCCTTCTGTGTGATGGCGTCAAATACGAGGACGCATTTCCTCTCCGTGGCGGCCACGACCACATTGCCATCAGCATTGAACTCCAGGTTAAAGATGGCCCCGGTGCGCCCCGCCTCCGTTGGCTTGCAATTGGCGTGATAGCTATTGAACATGTTCATCGAGCTGTATATCCGCCGCATTACAAAGTTATCATCGCTCCGGTGGATGTGAAAGCCACTTTCACGGCGGCTCAAATACCGCTCCATCGTATGGATCGTCCTAGCTATCGGCTTGGATCGGAAATCCTGGAGGAGTGTGTGGATGTGTAGGCCTATTCGCGATTTCTCAGACACCTCGATGCAATCCCCCTGGCCTTCTTGTGTTTATTCTAAAACGAGGGCTGCAAACCAGTTTGGTGTTGCATATGTATAACCGATTTCTTTTTTTACCACTAAACGTAACATTTTAGGATTGGATTAATTAAACAATGATAAATTCTAAAATATTTAACGGCAGATCGATGACTGATTTGACACAATACTCTTTGGATAAAATTCCATCGATTATTTTAACGTCTCTTTAGCGATTATTAAAAATATGTACATATGTCTGAAATGTCTGAAACAAATTGGTCTTTTGGTATTTATTTCTAGAATATTAAATATATTTATTAAACGACTTAGCCACGCTGTAAGCAAGGACTACTTATTAAAACAATATTAGGAATTATTCTGACATTAAAACGGGATTTTAAAAATGTAGTAGAGGCATTATATTTATGGCTTTACAACTTACCACACTCTCAGAAACTTGTCTAATCCCTTTAAGTTAAAAATAGAATTCGTTTTCTTTGTTATTATTTTCTGTAATAATGAAGGTAGAACAACTTTTAAAAGACAATACTGAATTTAACAATCTTCAATTTACCTGTAACCTGATGAAAGAGATATATAATTATTAAAAAGGTTGTCAAATCTCTTCTTAAGCCCACTGACAGTAAAATAGATTTCAGAGACTTTCGATTTAGATATTATCTATCGGCAGTTGACATATTACTTAAAATAATTTGTTTAAATAAATAATTAGGGTCAATACTGACTAGAAAAGCGTTAATCAAAAAGATTTTTTAAATGGTTAAATACAAAACTTAAATTCCAAAAATTAATATTAAAATTATTAATATTATATTAAAATAGCATCGATACTATCGATTCAACAATTTTTCTAAATTCACTTCAATTTTTATTTATATATATTTTTTTTATTTTTGGTATATTTTGTGGTATTTATCAAATAATCTTGTATAACGGTATAGTAATTACTTACTATCTTTCTTACTATAATAATAAGTCTGAATATCAGCCTTAACAAATATATTTCCTTAACATATTATTTTAGATATATTATTCATGAAAACAAGATGCTGTCCCATTTTATATTCTTACAAATTATCAATTCTCTGCGTACATAAATAAAATGAGTATTTAAGGTATATTTTCGTACCTCGAAATGTTACTGTTCCGCGGTCACACTGAAACATTAAAACAACAACAACAGCATTAAACAAAATGCGAGTTCAACTTGTGATAAAAAAAATAACCATGCTAATTCCTCGTTGGTAAAGGCCTTTTGAGATACCGTCTTAAGAGCTGGCAAGATGGATCGGTTTGCTTTCAAGATCGATGCTGCCCTGAAGGCGAATCTCTGTAAAATCTGTCGCTTGTGCGGCATCGATAATCCAGGAAAAGTGCCTATACTGCTACCAAATGAAGGCGCCACCATTGACCTGGACGAGCCCTGCATGTCGCAGAAGATCTACGAGCTGGTGGGCTTTATGGTGCGTATTATACGAGTTAAATATATCCAGCTAAACCAACGCCCTTTACAGGTGTTCGTGGACGACAAAATGCCGCAGACAATGTGCAGCCAGTGCGTGGATAAAATCAATGATTTTTATGAGTTCCGGGAGATGTGCTATGCAACCAATAAACAGACTCGTAATCTGCTGGGACTAAAGCAAATAGAGCCCACTAGGGTGAGATATATTAAAAGGACTGTCCAGAAAATAAGTACATATATTACTATTTAATTCTCTCCCCAAAGATTATCGATCTGAAGCCCATAGTTAAGAAGGAATCACAGCTTTCTGGGGCAGCTGCCAAACGAGGAAGAAAACGAAAAGGTGACGACGCATGGTCAAGAAGTAACCTTAGTGTCAAACCTCAGGTCAAAAAGGAGCCATTTGGTTGGCATAAGAAACAGAAACTTCAGCCATCACAGACTCCACCTATAGTGCCCAAAACAGAACCTGAAATGTAACCAAAAACAAAGTTTTATTTATCACCTTTAGCTAATGCTCTTCCTTTCATAAATCCAGCAAAGAGGAGCCCTCCGAACCGGAGAGCAGCATAAAGCAGCAATCAAAAAAAGGCGGCCGGAAGTCCATTTGCAGCGTTTGCGGCGAGAAGTTCATCAGCAAGGAGCTGGCCGACGAGCATAAGAGCTTGGTGCATGTGCCCTCGATACCGCGCTACACGTGTAATGCGTGTAACCAGACGCACCATAACCAGAGCGACATACGCGCTCACCAGCTGTGGCATAAGCTCTCGAAAACGCCTTACAAGTGTCCTCTCTGTGAGACCAGTGTGGCAAATGCCTACGCTTTTACGAGGCACTTGCGCGAGCACACGCCGCCCACTCCTGTCCAGCTGCTTGTCCTTGATCGTGAGTGCCCGTTGTGCAAGAAGACGTTCATCACAAACTATTTCTACAATACTCACCGCTGTGCCATCCGCAAACGCAAGTGCGGCGGCTGCAGTCGCCAATTAAACACAGATGCGGCTTACATGCGACACGCTCCCACCTGCTCAAAGATTTACCTCAATCACTCAAAGCACATCTTGCCCGAGGAAGTGACCAATGAGGCCCAGATGTGCATTAAGAATGAGGTAGAGGAGGAATTGCTTGGCCTTCCTCCGGCCACCGCTGTGCCGCCAGACTTCGTCATAGACGAGGGAATGCAGCCAGTAGTTGTCTTGGAGCGCCTGTCATCACCCCTGCTACGGGCTTCGGCCGGAGTCAGCCGATTGGGTGCCACCAAAAGCAAAAATAGCGATCGTGTCTCTGCTAAGAAGTACTTGAAGAGAGTTGACCAGTTGTTGAAAAACACGATAAACACCCTGGTCAGCATTAAACATGAGCCTGAGATGCACATCAATGACACGGGGCCATCTCTAGAGCAGGGGGAGAGTGAACACGACGATGAACCACATGGCTATGGAGACGATTTCCAGGCAGCTAACGATGACAGTGAAGAAGAAGAAGAGGAAACAACAGCAGCTGCTGACGATGTGCCTAGTGTTTCGGTCAAACAGGAACCTGCGGACAATGCCTATGAAAAGCAAATGGAGGTGAAGCAGGAGCCACTGAAACTTAAATTGAAAATCACTAAGAACCATGGCAAGCTTAACTCCTCGCTTATAGACGATTTGGATGAATCAGGGCAGGCAACTGGCAGGAGCACTAAAAAGAAAAAGAAAAAAAAGCACAAGGAACGAGAATGGGAAGCGTCGGCGGGGGCAGAACCCTGTGGAACAAAATCTGAGGAACACCCTGCGTTTAACATTAAACAAGAACCTATTGATTATACACCTGAGGTAACAGTAATGACAACAATTCCCATGATCCAGATGGAGAGCAGCTACAACGATCAGCACGAGGAAGATGATGCAGAGCATCAGGAAGATGTTAAGCCAAATCGCATGGAGCTTGATCGCTTGATGCAGATCTCACATGTTGCCAGTGGTGTGGTTATGGCAGAAGAGGCAATGCCTTTGGAGAGAGCAGAAGAAGCCACTCCCGATGAACCTCGATGGACGGATCTGCCGCATGAATACTCCGCATCTAAGGCTATTTCTGGAAGGTCTACAGCTCGCAAAAGTACTGGTGGTGCTCAATGCAAGACCCAAACGCCACCGAAGCATCCTCCACTGCCACAGATCGTAGCCGTTGTGAGTGGCGAGTCGGCTGTTAACATTATGCCGAATGCTTGCATCAAACCGGAGCCGCTAAATCGTGGCTATGGGGATGAATCGCCAGAAGAAGAGATTAATCACAATATCAAGATGGACGAGGAAAATGCCTATATAGGCAGTTTAGATCTAAGCAATGTAACCGTGAAGCAGGAAAAAGACTTAGATATTACCGAGCCAGATGCACTGCTGTGTAATGGATTGGAAAAAAGTAATGAGACCAAGGGAGATGATGATGGCAATGAGGACGGTGTTTCATCCGCAGACGAGGCCGAAGAAGCCGTGGAGGAGGATGAGGGAGAGCGCATATATCGCGAAATTGATCTGCCACCACTAGAACCTCAAAACAGTGCGCAGGAAGCACTACACAGGTTACAAGTGGAATCCGAGAAAAAGGATACTCAGATATCAACGGCTTTACATGCGGAAGACACTCCTCCGGAAGTACTTGGTGTCGAGAAACCATTTAGTTTGGTCATAACCAACATCTGCAGTCAAGCCGTATCGACACCGGCCGCAGCTGATACCAGCTCTAAGTGTGCTAATCAACCGTCTGTTCCCAGCGATATTAAATGCTCATTAGATCCAAGCATTAGCCAATCAAATGAGGGTCCATCCCAGGCAGAGGAAAATGATATGCAATCTGCAAATGACATTCAATCTTCTCTAGAATCAACCTCCAATCTTGCGTTAAAATTAAATGCTGATCCTTGCCCAATTCTCATAACTCCTGTGCCAGATGCAATAGATATGCAATTAGACTCAGCTGAAAATCTTCCGAGTGCTGCTATGGAGACCCGACCTGCAATGGATGTAGCTTGTAGTTCAGAAGAAAGAAATTTGTTAACTATGACCCTTGAAAACGATCTTGTTGGCTCTAACCTTGAAACTGAACTGCAATCCATGACTGAACTAGGGTCTAACCTTGATATTGAAAATCACTTAATAGCGAACGGTAGCCCTAGTATTGAAGAACAGATAGGTCCCAGAGTTGAGGAACAATATACTGCTAATCATACACTGTCTGCTATTGGTAACCCTGCAGTCACCGTTGAAGAAAGTGAATCCCTTCCGAGTGAAAATTCTGGTCCGGTTAACCTAGGAATTTCTATACCGGAAAACCGTTCACCCCCGCCCAACGAACCATCGGAGTTTTTGGAGAAATCAGCAGCAGGAAATTCTGATTCTCTTGCAACAGTTTCCCTCAACACTGTTAATATCGAATGTAATTACACGTGTGAGGAGGAGCAGCAGAATGTGCTTAACCATGAGCTCTCGGAGCAGCAGCAGACTTCACTAGAAGATAGGCAGCTACTTATTCACGAGGAACAGCCAGCTGTACTGGAGGTAATCGCACCTGGGCCATCAACACGCCCAATTGAGGAGACTGAGAACAGCATTAACGAGCAGCAGTTGAATCTTGATCAGGCGGAGCAACGTCAGCCTCGTTGCCAGCACAACGATGACTCCAATATCAACGAAATAGCCGAGAACAATAACAATGCCAACATTGAGCGTGAATTGCAAGATGATGCGCTCGGGGCTCAGGAAAACGAAAATCCATAGGATACCCAATGGCATGGTTTCCCCCAATTCAGTTAAAAATTGTAAATAAGTATGGATTGGTCAATCATGCTTTGGAAATTGGATATAGTCGGTGCTATAGCCCGAGCGAATAATTTTTACCATGAGTTGCGAATAAACTTTTTCGGATAGCATTAGTTTTAAGTTAGATATACACTTTATTACATAAATTAATGGCTTATATATTAGTATATGTAAGTATTATGTATTTAAATACATAAATCGCACAAAATCTGATCCACATAGATTTCTCGCTCTAACAAGCTTATTGGGTTTAGTAGTTTCAAAACGTCACGAAAAAACACATATACGTAATCTTTATTTAAATACAAACACACAGAAGAAAAATGACTACAAGTTTGCATTAAATGCATTCAAACTAAAAAGAAAATACTTATGAGTTACTAGGTCATTAATCGATTGGGTGTAACTGGATGTAGTAGACAGCTTTAACGGGCCCATCAGTGCCCAAGGAAGCCTTATGGTCAAAATGAATTGAATACATCGCCTATTTGATTGGATTAGCCACATTTATATCATTAGTTAAATATTATTTCAACAAGTAGTGAATTATTACTGAGCAAACTTGTAAATTTAGTATATGGTTAATTGCGGGCAAATCTATTAGTTTAAATATTGTAATTTAATAATTATCAACTGTGGCTTTAATAAGTGTAGTCACAGTTTATTTTTCTTTTGATCCATTCCTTTGTTATAGATTTATAAAATATATTCACTATAATAAATTTCTATCGCTCAGTTTACAGTTGTTCAGTTCGCAGTTAAGGTGAATTTCTAATTTCTTCACAAACTCGTTTTCCATTTTGGTGTTCTCAAATTTTTTGGCACAGTAGTCTAAACGGGGTCTGTAATATTCACCCATATATATATATATATGTATAATTGAATTGAAGTAACACGCATGTGTATAGTTCATATTTCATTGAGCAGCAATTATGGATATGCAAATATGATTCTGGAACCAACGAAAGCGGGCAAATTCTGATAAAATTTCTCAATTTATGGTTATCCTTTAGTACTTTTTGCGTTTGTTAAACTCGTACAATTAAATTAAAGAGGTATGAAAATTCACTAACAGTATTTACAGGGATTTATCTAACGATAAACCAAAATGCCAAAGCACAAATTAAATTATTGCTTATATTTGGAATAGTGTCTGCCTGCCCCTATCGCATCATGTCATCTTTAGCTCCCTTAATCCCACTCGCCCTCGTTGTCCGACGATTCGGTCTCGTCCTCGTCCGAGTGAATGGCATTTCCACGTGCCGCCAGTGCCCGACGTAATGCATCAGCCAATGCATCGGTACCGCCTCCATTGTCGCTGTTCCTCTGACTGCCTAGCTCTCGCTCCTTGGCCGGTTTCAAAACGGTTCCCTGGCGAATGTCCTTCATTAAATCGCTGCGAGAATCGCCACTTCCAGTGCTGAGAGCAGCCGTGTCCACTTTCTATTTCATCGAATAACATTTATATTTAATTAAAAATAATTTTCACGTTTACTTACCTTTAACTGAGTTCCCTTGCGAATGGCGTCCATTAGTGCATTGCGTGGATCTGGAGCCGCTGGGGCTGCTGGCCGGGCTGCTTGATTAGGTGCGTGCGTGGTCGTGATGACGGGGATCTCTCCCACTGGCATGGGCGGGGGCGGTGGTGGCGGCACCGCTGCTGGTGGCGGCGGTGGTGGAGGTGGTGGCTGTAATAAGAAAACAATTATTACTTGTTCATTTTAACCGGGAAAAGATGACTTACCGCTACAACGGGAGCGCTGACTGGCGGTGGTGGTGGTGCGTTGCTAATGGGTGGTGGTCTGCTAGGTGGTGGAGGAGCTCGCGATGCGCCCGGCAGAGTGGAGGGCACGGGGGGCGGTGGTTGTCTTGCCGGCGGCGGAGGTGCAGTTCTTTGGTTCCCATTCTGAAGTTGAAGATCAGATAAAAGGTATGAAAGTTTTAATCTGTCGTAGAATTTAATATTCACATAACTAAGAAAAACTTACAGAAGGATGACGGGTTGGTACCGGAGGCGGCATGGGAGTCGCCGTTTCCGTTGGGGATTCCACACTATTCTGCTTCACCGAAGCCAGAACATTGTTGGTTTGTATGAAGTCGTAGATAAAATCGCGAGTTTCTCGATCATTGAGCTCAATTTGGGAGACACCTGCTTTGACGAAGATCTCGTTTAGCACCTCGTCATTTTCGTTTCCCGTAAGATCGAAGCCTGTTTTCTCATCCCATCCTACGTGGGTGAGGTGCACGAAGTTGGTCGGTTGGCTGATGTCCGCCTTTGTCACCTTGCGCTTTTTGTCCTTCGCCTGGCTTCCCAGCCCAAAGCCGCTGGGTATTAGTTTCTTTGAAAGCGCTGGCGCCGGCGTTAATGTAACCGAATTGATCTTATTGTTCCGCATCTGAACGCCGTCCGTGGCAGACATACCGCTCTGCATAGGCGGTGGCCTCACCGGCTCCCGGTTCACCTGGGGCAATGGAGCATTGGGTGCCTGCTGGCTCTTCTGCCGATTGCGTTTTTCCTGTCGCTTGCGGTTGCGAGTCTCAATAGTGGCGTCCACGATGCGGAAAAACGAGTCGCACTCCTCCTCGGAGACAAAGTTTAGTCCTACATGACCATCCTAAAAATATAAATCAGTAATAGGATTGGTTTCTTTAAATGTTCAAATTGACATATGATTATAAATTATACTTACGCTTCCCTCGAAAGTGAGAAGAAATGGACGCGATTTGACCACCTCCATTCCATCGTAAATCTCGTGCTCCCAGATCAGTTCGTTCTTGATCAGACAGTAAGCGCGCATGAAATATGAGCGGATGGCGCTATCCTTAACGAAGCAGACGACTCCGGTGTGCCGCTTCTTCCAGTGGGCATGGGCACTGCCCTCCGTCTTGTAGATCTGCACCACGGCGGTGTTCAGTGTCTGAAAGTGGAGCAAGTAGAGATTGCGTTACACAAAAATACGATCATCGATAGAAAGGCCCGGAGCGATTATCTAATATGGCCGAACAAAAGCCTTCCAACACCTTCAGTTTGCGCCTCATTTGAATGCAACTATCAATCCGACGACCACGAACTCAATGAACTGTCGCGTTCGAGCTGAAAAACTCATCTGACTTTCAGTTTCGCTAGTTTCTGGCCATCGAGTCGATGGCCCCAAGTGAGTGTCGACTCTTTTGAATACCGATTAGCCTGGCCAACTCTTGCAGCAACTGCAATTGGGAGTTGGATGGCCGATTCCTCCGCTTGGCATGGATAGCACGTAGCTACGGTTGATGGAGGACATAAGTCTAGTCTATGAGCATTAGTCTAGTGGAGACCTTTTCGCGGATCGGTGCGTATTCTGTTTAAATGCAACGGAAACCCATAAATCCCACAGGGAAAAAAAGATAGGTGCAGGAACCCAATACTAAGTCATTTAATTAAAAAAGAAACATTAAAAAAAAATTTCTCTAAAGCAATTTCACGGTATTAAATAAATCGGATAAAAGTATTAATAATGTTACGTGCCAAATGAATAAGACTGTAAAACTTAAAGTTATGTTGTAAAAAAAATCGTAAACTTAACAAAAATTGTTTTCTGTGTGCCTATGTGTGATGGAAGACATCGTTTATGACCCAGACACAGGAAACGGTGGCGACAAAACAAGAAGTGCAGGATGCCACTGAATTGCCGCATCAGAATAGATGCCAAAATTATAATATACAATAGATTTTACCGCCAGAAAAGTCAAGGCAACTATCCTTATATTATTAAAAAACATCGTGCAAAATTTCTCATCAAGGACACAGAAAGTAACTTGCGCTTTTTAAGTCTGACTAATGTGTGTGTGTGATTTGTGGCCCTAACATTTGGCATTTGCCCGAGGCCGAAGAATGACCCCCAGCCCGAATCGTAGCTAATTGATTCAACTTGCCGCCCATGGGCGATGATCCAAAAATGTTACGTGCTAGTAATTGAAACACTGCAGCTGGACTTCTGAACAGTAATCCAACATTATCAATTAATGGACATTAGAGATGGATGGATGGATGGGCATTGGCCATGCAGCAAACATTTGTAGCTGACCTTTGGCTTAAATAAAAGAGAAAGAGACATTGACGAGCCAATGGTTTTCATGTGGATGTGGATGCTTTCCAGCCCACACACATTCGCAGAGCACAACAACACACAACTTGTATCTCTGGCAAGTGCGAAATTGTGAACACATTTGAATTTTTATTGATGCTTAGCTTTGGCTTTTTACTCGGCGAGTTTGTGTGGACATAAGTAGCATTGTAAAATGATGTCTTGCCTTCTACGTACAAGCTGCTGTTTCTTTTGAAAAGCATTAAAATCGATGGAAAACCAGCGGCAACAAAAAGTGGTCATTGCCACCGAACGTTTGGCCAACAACAATAAAAAAAAAGTGGCCTAAAGGGGCGGGGTCTTAGCGGTAAAAAATCAACCCATATGGGCCAAGCGGTAAAAATGCTCATACGCCCTGTGGTCACTTTATTATGTCACATAATAAACATTTACCAAGCTATCAATAGCTCTCATTTAATTCGCAATGTATTTAAAGAATGCCTCTGCTATTTTTGGCTTTTTTCTTTAAATATATCAAATGTATAAATAAATATATAATGAGTCAGCTTAACACTTCTGTCACTTCCGTTGCTTATAAAATTCTTTGGAAAGTAATCAAAAAATCAACTAATTATTCAGCCAGCAACTTAACCAGCCCTACCAACTGCAAAAGCAATGGATTAAATCTGACAATAGCCAAACATAAACATCAATTAGAAAGTCCGGCTCTGGAGCTGGCAATGTGCAGAAAAATGCGTTAAATAAGTGTATACAAATAAATGCGAGCAAATGTTGCGACAAACGACTGGCAAACCACAATAACAACATCGGGTTTACTAAGCTGTAGCTTTGGTTGTTATCACACGATGAATGTGACACTATGTCATCCACTACAAAGGCAGGGAGTATTCGATACACAGAAAACAAGATATACTATAATGATTGATTGGATTTTATACAGTTTTGTAAAGGCTTGGTCTTGAAAAATATCAGTTAATCTTTTTCTTTAAGTCATAACGAAGAGCATAGAAAAATGTTTGGGATTAATGATATAATTTATGGATATTTGTAGGAATTTTATCAAGTTTTTAATTATGATGTTTCTGCGTGGATATAGAAAGGCTAACTACCTCAACCAGCGATTGGCTGCACTACTTTGGCAGGGTTCAAATGCATTTGGAAATGTTTTGTCAATGGAAAGTTGCGAATTAGCAAAGCGTGAATTGCGAATCGAAATAAGCGTTTTTCTTATGTTGTGCACACCATAATTATCCGCATAACGGCCGCCGTTAAATGGTCACATTCCAAGTTTCCACTCCAATTTCAGGGCATTCTTATCGCACTTGGCATTGGCCGGTGATTCGCATCGGGCGGATGGATTGATAAGATAAGGTTCGCCTATAGTTGGCCACAAATACCAAACGACTTATCGCGACCCAATGAGGCGGGCTCAACAGGTCTGGTTTCTCTTTCATTTTGCACCAATATAATGTGGAAAATATAGTACAGAAATAATAAAAACTAATCAAGAAATGCAAACAACTGCGTTTGTGACCTATCAATGCCGGCTCAAGCCGTTTGCTGATAGGGGCACTAAGAAAAGCTAGGTAAATATTAGTAATACTAATAAAGTCAAACAAATGGTTCTAGATACACTGTCAGGCCCAAAGTAGTGTTTTCAATGTACTCAAAATTTGAGAGAATGGGTAAAGCATTTTCTTTTCTTTACAAGAATGACTCTATGTAATGAAAAAAAAAGATAGACTTATTACACTTATTATTCATGATGTTTATGGTTTTTTGTAAAAATAATCAATTCTTTTTTATCTACAACTCGTATAAAACAGCTGTGTAATAATGATTCATAAATTTATTGCAATATGACAATTATTTTTGTGAACTATCAGTATTGACTTAGTAATTGTAACCAGAATTGCATTTACAAAACATAGAAATTAAAGCAAGTCCATGCTTATAAATATTTATATAAAGATGTTCAATTAGAAAAACTAAATGAGGGTTAACTTGTATAGATTTGTCTTTTTCCCAGAATTTTGAAAGTTTCTACCAACAATAGCTTCCGCTCCAATCTCTTAATGGGCAAAGAAACCATTAGATTATGTTAAGCAGTGTGCAAGTGAAATTGGGTAAACAAGCCAGCCAGCAGCAACAGCTGCCGACCGACCCATGATATAGGGTTACAGAGCTTCTGCGAAACATGGAATAATATTCGCACATGATGGGCGATACTTGAGCCGCAGGAAGTGCTTCATCAAGCTCATCTTATTCGACGGCGAAGGAGAAATTACAGTTCGTGTCATTGCCTAATTATTAATCACCCCGTTCGGTTATTATGCATCATCACTACTCACCTGACACTTCTTGCCCAGCAGCTTAAAGACGGCATCATTTTCCTCCTGGGTGAGCAGCGAGCTGGCGGCATTGACCTTCGCCCGCGGACCGTCCTGCGACCTCATTCCGCTGCTCATTTGGCCGGAGTCGATGGATCTGGGTCTGGAGCTGGATCTGGGTTGGTTTCCCTGCACAATACGACACAACACGCATTTAAATTTATGGCGAAAGCAAAACGCAAATGAACAAAGCTAAATGTATTAATTTAATAACACAATACACTGGGGACCCCGAAACAAAAAAGATGATAATAATAAAGGCACTCGGAATTACAGTCCAACCTCAATAAGTAGAACAGAAGTTTTGGGAAAATACAACTAGAGTTAATACAGATTATTTAGATTTATTTAGCAGTAAAAAAAACTAGTTATGGAGCATTTATGTAGATTTTGTACAGTTGCGAAGATTGAAAGCTCTTATATTTTTTTTACAGTGTATTGGCAATAAATAACTTCAATCTACAATACAGTTTAAGTTATGGAAGTTAGACTGTATTGTAAAAAGGTCAGCAACTGTATTCCGTATCGATGTGTATTATTGTTTTTAAGGTTTTGAATCGAGAAGGTAGTATTGTTTTAATGTTTTTAAGGTTTTGAATGGTTTTTTAACCCGAATTGCGGACAACAGCGCGAGCGAGAGACCTGCGTTAGCTATGACGATATAGGTGGTTATGGTGGGGCTGCGAGCGGATCGTACGGGTTGAGTCACGGTTTCCGAGTCAGAAATCAGAAACAGCAGCAGCAGCACCAGAAACAGAAACACTCAGCCAGCTGCGTTTGAATGTGGGCAAAAGCCAACGCAGAAGCGAGGCAAACTCTCCAAAAAGAGCCCTTATCTTTGGCGAAAACCACTGATTAGGTTTGCGCATGTATCTATGATACATGCACACTGGTCTGGGTTATTCAACATTTGGCGTTTGGCACTCCGCTGGCAAACCGAAGAGTTGTGACAACACCTGTCCGTTTCGCCAGGTGGGGTAAGAATGTAAATAGACGCCGATGATGATAAAAGTAGGTTCTGAAGTGGGGTCTCAAGGTCTCTCGGGGTTGGGACTTCTCATATGAGCTGTTTTGCTGGGGGGTCACCCATTGATTTTTTGCGTTTATTTTCGTGCACTTCTTCACTCTTTTCTTTTTTCCCACACACAACACACCACAAAATCTCTGCGCCTTTGGCTTTTGGCCTTGCTGTCTCCGGGTTCTCAATCGGGAGGCTTTACTGTACGCGCGTCCGCGTCATTGACTGCATGATGTTTAAAACGTGTGTTTTCTCGAGGAAGATTCGCCTATTCCTGTTCGCGGACGTACTGCTAGTTTGTTTATTTGGCACTCAATTCATTTGCACGCCCACAACAACGATGTGGTATCGATACATCGATGGTGTGTTAAATCGATTTATTTACAACTATTATTTCTTGCTTTTATATCAAATTTGCCGAAAAAGAGTTACTAACTGAAATAATAAGTTCACTTTAATATAGTTTTTAAGCATTATTCATAGAAAACTGTATCTATGTTTAAAAAAAACTTTGTGAAAAACCCTTTTAAATGGTTTGGTCACACCGCCTTTTGTAGTGCTCGCGGTATTTTAAGCAGTAACGTAACAAAGAACGTAATGAATTTGTCTTACGTTTTCCGTTTTTTTTAAATTTAAATCGTTTGATAAATATGAGATTATTTTGTATTTGATTAGAAAAACTAGAATTAATTCCACTTTTGATTTTATTTTTTGCTGACAAAAAGCATATTTCGATTTATTAATATTAAAAATTGTTAATCGCCATGGATCGGTAAAAACTAAGTCGCAAATAATCGGCTTAATACAAAGGCTGTTTTCTATAACGTTTACCCTTAAGTAGCTAAATTATATAAAAGAATACTTAAAAAGCAGTGACTACAAAAGGTGATTTTCTTCTCTCTTCAGATATTTGGTGTTTGCATAAGGAAGCCAGAGGGCATATTAAACCTATAAAATGAACAAAATTATTATTGATTTAAGTAATTGCCCTGCCATGGGCAACGCTCTCTAACTAAGTGTAAAAGTAAAATCAGAATACATATTGGACTTGGTAAACCTTTCCTTATCAACCCAAATGGGACAATATAAATGTGTCAAATCGAATATATAGCAACTATATATATGCCAGTATACATTTTGTATATATAAGAGAGTTGTACACGGTGAAAGGCCTGATCTAGTGTATATATGCAATACATTTGGCTACACACGATCGGGAGCTCGGATAGGAGCTCCTTCTCTGACTGTGATTTGGATTAGTTGAAGTTACTAGAAGTTTTGCGCTAACACTATGCTAGACTGGTTGCTTACAAAGTTATAGGGACTACACATATGTATAAAGTAAAAGGAGAGTAGTATATTGATTACATAGTACTTGTATAATATTGCCTCCTATCCTAAAAACTCTTTGATTTTAACTCTGACTCTAGCTCTGCTTGTGGATGTGGACCTGTGCGTGTTCCGTTCTAAAAAATGCGTGACAAATACAGTCCTGTTCCTAAATCCAGTCTCCACTTTCAAAGTCGCTTTAACTTGGCTAATTTGTGATTATGTTGGGTTCCTCTATTTGCGAGCTCCCACCACTGGCAACTTGGACTTGACTCCTCCTCCTGCTGGTGCGGGATTTGGGGTATTGTCGAAGGTCGAGCTACGCAAGAGCGTCGGTTTGGTTCCATTTCCGTTGAGCGTATTGGAAGATTTCGTTTTCTGCGACTTCAGGTTGGATGACGATTTCTTGGTTTTGGCCTCGTCCACTCTCTTCCATATATTGGCAATTCGGCTTTGGGCCTGATTGATCTTTGCCGCCGCTGCTGCGGCTGCACTGCTTCCATTCAGGTTGGAATTACTGCGAGATGGAGGCGTTGTCGATGACACCCGGGCGGAAACCACACGTGTGGCAGCTGGGGATTTCGCTCCTGCCAATCGCAGACTTGTGTTGGCTCTTTGTGGCGTCATCCGGCGCACTGGAGCCAAGGGAACTCTCTTGGGAGATCCAGCTTTCGATGGTGAATCACCAGTTGTGGTTTTCTTTGTCGGCAACTTTGAGGCTCGATGACCGGGACTGGTTTGTGCTGGCTTTGTTTCCACCACGGGAACTTGAACATTCGAGTTCGTGGGCTCGTCCTTGACAAAGGTTCCCTGACGTTCCAACCGAGCGGGAGCGGGTTCTGGTGGCGGCGTAGGCTTCTTTTTGGCTGGTAGCCGTGCTCCAGCTCCGGCGGGCACCACACTGCGTTTGGCAATCGTGGGAGAAAGGGTCTTCTTTTTGGCTGAAGCGGTATTGTTGTTACTTCGTTGACTTTGCATGCTGTAGGGTGATACATAGGCCGGCTTCTTGCGTCCTCGCACTAGTTTTACGGCCGTGGCAGGCTCCAAAGTTGCGGGCTTCACGGTAGGGGATTTAAGTTCCACCATTGGCGGCGGAGGAGGCAATTGTGCTGGTTCCTGACCATCGCACGACTCCGTCTCCGAGTTTTGATCGCACTCCGGGGATTCCTCCGCTTCTCCAGTAGAATCAGCATTTTCGGAAGTCTCCTGGCTTTGTCCAATGTTTATGTTTGTAATATAAGTAAACTGCTGCATCATTGCTCGAATGGAGGAGAGCTGTTCGCTGGGACAATCATCCGACTGGGGCTGAATTAAAGCTCGAGGACATTCAATCAACTGAGTCTTGTACCGCTCAGCGCTACCCCTTCTCCTGCCGTTCGCACGAGGCGAAGGTGTGGCCACAGGAACGTCCGTCTCCACAATCTCTATCTGCAGGGTTTCATTGGCCTCCAGTGCTTCCAACTCGCAACTGGTGGCAATGGTGTAGGTCTTGTAGCGATCCTTGATGAGACGTCTCTTTTGTTTTGGGGTAAGAGAACGACGATTCGGTGATGGAGTGGATCCTTGTTTAGGCGTTGATTCTGCCGAGCTGTAGTCATTCATCGTGGCATCTTCATCTTCGTCAAAGCAACTCTGAAGAACAGTCATGGTCTGATCATCACATGCAGCCGTCTCGTAATTGGACACCGAGATAGTGGTGGCCATGCTGCAATCCTGATCGCCATCGGCGACCTCTGACTGGATGCTGTCCACACTGATCATGGAGTCCAGAAGTTCGTCCATTAATGAGGGAGGTTTGATGTTGTCCAGCAGATTGCAGCTGGAGTTAACGCTCTCCGCACTCCCTGCCAAATGGCCCAGGGCTCGTCTAGCTACTAAATTGGCAGGGAATATTTTCCGTGCAAATCTGGGGCTCTTGCTGGGCAATTGTTGGCGAAGGGAACTCGGCTGGGAGTGCTCCTGGTAGCAGCTATTGAGTGATTCCATTCCCGACGGAGGACGAACGTTGTCCAAATCCAAACTGTTCATACTAAAGGTCATCTCAGTGTTGTCTTCATCGCTAGCAGCGGGCTGGAGAAGGTTTTCCGCCAAAGCTCGTGCTTCGAAAGCAATCATTGTTGAGTTGGTCATCATGGAGGCACTGGTTCCATTGAACAGTAGCCTTTGGGGCTCCAAACGGACACCTGCATTCTGGACTTGCCCACCCAACTGGAAGTTGAGTCCTCCAGATGATCCTGAATGGCTGTCAGCTTGTCCATTGATCAAGGTATCTGTTTCGCCTTCCAGAGATGCCGGCTGCTGTTCATTTGTGGGCGTAATTTCTACAAATTCATGTAAGGACCTTGCTTCTGTGGCGTCTTCATCTAAACTTAAAGAAGCCAGAACCGGAGCCGTTTGACTCACGCTGGGAAAGCTCACATCATTGGGACAAGTGTGTTCGTTCCAGGTGTTGTTACTGCTGTTGTTCTTGTGACTGTTGCTGCAGCTTTGATTGTGGCTGTTGCTGCTACTGTGATTGTTACTGCTGCTGCGTAACTGTTCCGCAGAAGTGACAAACTCCATGGTAAGTCTTTCCACGGACTTGAGCATAAGGTCAGGATCCTTGTGCTTCTCACTTGCACCAGAAATGCAAGTTTCGTTGAGAGCGCTGTCCAACCTGACCACGGTCTCCATGATGAAGGATTGATTCGACTCATCGCTGGAGCGATCTTCCTGGTCCAAATCCTTAGACCCAGTACCGATCTCTAGACCGTTCTGATTCCCGATCTCGCTCTCCTGATCTAGAGCTGCTTGACTTCTTGCTGTGTCTGTGACGGTGGCGATGACGTCGGTAGGATTCGGGAGGACGAGGCTGTTCGGGTGCGGGGACAGCTGCTGATGCGGATTGCTGGTGGCGTGTGCTTTCTGCTCTACGTCTGGAGCTGCTGTGCTGTGGGCACTTGCTGATATAGTAGCTGCCATTGGGTGACACGGTTCCAATGCAGCCGCAGACGTAGCCAGGACGTTTTTTGGCACTGTGTTGATCTTTTTTGAGATGCCCGTGTTGATGCACTCTTGTAGCAGCTTTTCGTCCTTGCGCTCTCGTTCTCGCTCTCTGTGATGATGATGGTGATGATGGTGACGCTGCCTTTTGGGCTGTCCACCAGATGACAGCTGCACCGGCAGCGAATCAAACTGCTTGAGATTGGGATTTGACTGGGCGGACGATGATCCAACAATAGGCTGTTCCTGTAATTGCTGAGCCCTAGCCCCGGGTTCTTTGGATTTGTACATGCCCTTGAGGATACACAGCTCGAAGAGCGACTTGGACTGGTTGTCGTTGGAATCGCTAGAATCCACAGAACTATAGGATTCCTGTGGTTGGTTCTTGCGGACTGTCATCGCCGAATTCAGGGAGCTGGCCGATGTGGCCGCATTGATGGCTATCGGCTGCGAGGAGCTCAGCGAGCTGGAGCGCTTGCCGTTCGAGCTGAAGCCAAGATTCGATTTCGGTCTATTGCAGCCAGCGGCAATAGCCTAGAAAAATTTAAGAAATCATTTAAGAATTTTTTAGTTTTCGATTAAATTTAATGATTACCTGACTCAGTAAATTGGTATCATCCTCCGAGTCTATGGATAGAGAACTCAACGAATCATCTTGCCAATGCGGCGGTCTTCGGTCTTGCTCCTGTCTAGCGGGTTTTATATCCGTTCCGGTTTTCGAATCCACAGTGGATCTGTATAAAAATATAAGTAATAAACGAATGTATTTAATAATTTCGGATATCTTTTTAACTTGAACCATCCTTTAATGTTAAAGCAAAACATTCTAATTGATTTAAAAGCAGACGATTAATAATTTATTATATAGGCTACTTGATTATATCAATGTGGACACTGGTATCAAAATCTAATATCGTTTAATGAAAGCCTACTAGATCTTCATTTAGACCCAAAAACAAAACTTTTTAAATATAATTTTAAGTTTGCTTAATAATTGTCTGGTTCAAATTTTTGTTTCTCTCTAGGATCACTACTCACGACACGGTTTCCTTGAGTTGCACGGCTGGCCCAACTAAACTGGAACCCACGGTGAGGTTTGACAGGCCAGAGACCACGGAAAAGTTGCATGGACTGTCCTCTACTAAGAACTTGTTCATCTCATCAGCGGAGGGCAGGTAACCAGGCAACTGGTTTCCTCCTCGTCGAAGCATAGCTATGGGATCTGAAGTGACTTCGTTTTGTGGTTTCTTCATCCCATCGCGGATGCACTGCTGCAGCAGGTTACCAGCTGCTCCACCGCAGTCTGAAGCGTTTGAGGATACGTCGTCAGATAGCTGATGTGTGTAGATCTGTGCCTGACCAGATGTTCCCTCCTTGGGCTCATTGGAACTCATGGAGATTGCTGAAAGATTAGTATTACTGGCCACCTTGGAGAGCAATGCCGGCGTATCCTCAGTGCAGTAGCTGCGAATAGTCTCTTCAGCCACGTCAAGTTCCGTGTTCACAACTGTTGTCTTCACAACCTCTGTAGGCTTTCGCTGCATGCCCATGTTGATGCAGTTGGCTAGAAGAAGCTCATCTTCGTTGTCTTCTTCGGCCACACTCGCTGGGGCCTTTTCATCATCCACTATGCTCAGGTTACTCAAACTGGTGGCCGTAGAGAACTGAGCAGGTGTATGTTCAACGTTGAAGCTGCTTAGATCGTCTTCGAAGACGCTGCGTAATGGTTGCAAGCTGGCCGGGATTGCAGGCAATGGGGAGTCCACATTCTGCGTCAATCCAGCCATACTATTGCGTCTTGGCGATTGTGGCATACTTTGGGTTGGCGAATCCGGAATCTCGGAAGGGGATATCACCCCACTGGCCAGACGACTAAAGTCACTAACCACCGAGCTCTTATCATCGCAATTAGCCACATCAACATCCGGATCGTGAACTAAGGAATCCATGGAGCTGCGCCGGGAGAACATTAAAGGGGTTTCCAACGCCGAGTTTGCCTGGGTAGTAGGTTTGACAAGGACTTGTTCTGCAGGCTGGGATTCTTGATCCTCAAGTTTCTCTGATTTAGGTTTGATTTCTGCATCAGTTCCCACTGTTGCTTGGTTAGCCTTACCAGACTCATCCAAGCTACTCAAGGAATCGTACCGACTAAAGTAACCCGGCGTTCCTTCCTCACAATAATTGATTGGTTTCTCTGGAGTATACGAGCCGGATCCACATTGCGACAATTTGGGCAACTTTTTGGGAGCTTCTTCCTTGGAAGCCACTTCTCTAGCTTCTGGTTTCACATCCGCTTCCGTTTTAGCACTGACTCGTAAATCTGTCACGGAAGCAGCATTGGATATAACATAAGGGGTATCTTCGGTCTGATAGCATTTAACACTGTCGTCTAGGATCAGCAAGATCTCTTGGCCCTCGGATTTAACTGGAACTGTTTCAGCAGGAGCCGTAATTGTACTTTTCTGCGGCCCTGCCGATCCTGATATGTCCAGGTCCGATTCAATTTGGTTTTCCGCATAGCGCAAGCTAAAGTCCGTGGGCTGATCCAGATCCGTTTCCTGATATGTCGAGGTTTTGGTGGCATTCTCGCTGTACTTCACCGAATAGTCAATGGGTTGCTCTTCTGTTGCCTCCGTATCCTGTTCCATTTCCATATCAAAGTCCGCCATTTTGGGCTTCACTTTACGATGGGCATCGGAAGCCGAAGCTGAGCGAATTAAATGATCGTAAGCGCAATCGGATTTGGCCGAATAAACTGAGTCTCTGCTTTCACTCTTCGTTAGCATTGCCGAGCGGGTTAAACGTGGCACAGGAGGATGTCGTCTGGATGAACTCGAAGCCCGTTCCTTGGACAACTTGCCGCCCGTGTCCAGATTGTCGCACGTCTCGGCCGTGTGACGCTCACCCAGTTCCTGCTGCAGTGCCTTGGCCTTACGAGCCTCCAAAGTTGGCAAGGCCTTTAGACCCATGGAACGGGCAATGGGATCTAGCTGATTATGATTTTGGACAGCAGGTCGAAAGTTCAATAGGTTTTTCAAAGCCGAAGAACTGCCCTCTGAGATCATGGCGTGCTTAGAGTGGATTAACGAACGCAACATCGGCACCGCTCCATTGTCCCACAGGAACTTTTGATCCTCAGGAGAGCGGGCTGATAGATTCCATAGAGTTCCACAGGAGTTGCTAACCACCGTCAGGCTTTCTGATTTCAGTTGCTGCAGCAAAATAGCCAGACAATTATGCTGCCGCAGGATCTGCCGATAAGGTTCACACACAGCAATGTGGCTGGACACATTACGCAGGATGCCTCCCGCATTCTCGATGATCTTTAGGGTTTTGCTGGGACCCTCGTAACTCAGCATGCCAACAAGGAATGCCAATGCTCCATCCACAGCGCAGAACTCGGCCTTATTGGTACTACAATGCGCCGAGAGATTCCATAGGGCCGAGAGTATGGCCTTCAGAGTATTTTCACTTCTATTCCGCATGGCCGCCAGGGCCAGAGCAGTCACCGTTCCAATCTCATTTCAGCACCGCCTTCATGTTGCTATCTGCCCGCCAGGAAAGATTACGCAGAACGCTAGCCGTCACCTGAAGCAGGTCGTCCGGAGCTGAGTCCAGTTGGGCCACCAGGGCCTCCATGAATTGCTTTTGTCCACAGAGCAGAGCTTTGTTGTTTTCATCTCCGAAGGTTAAATTTGTAAGAGCCATCAAGGCATATCTCCGCAAAGAATTGCAGCACTGATCCTCCGGCTTTGGGCCATGGACGGCATGATCCAGATGCACCAGGTTTGGGATCGCATGCAGCGCTCCTAGCTCGCACATTGCATGACGGTGCTCTTCATCGAAGCTGACTTTCATCAGCGAGGAGATTGCGGCCAGCGGATGGCGATCGGAGTCATCGGCAATGGCCTCTCCGCCGCTTTGAAGCAGAGTCTTCAGGAAGGAGCAGTAGTCGACAATCTGGTCAAGAAGGCGCAAAACTTTGGCCTCCCGACGGCCGGACTTCTCGTCCGGATGACTATGCACCACATTATGAAGGGCCTGGCCAGCACATTTCCTTACCTCCTGATCGTTGTCAGGTGCGTGCATCATCTGCACCAGGAGTGGCATACAGCCGGAGCGTCTTAGGGTGGCACAGCTCTGAGCATTTCCCGAGAGTTCCAAGAATTTCTTGGCCATTTCAAGGGGATCATTTGATCCCAACATGGAGAGAAGTGAGTAAACACACTCAACCTTCGAACCCAAAGTGGCTTCCACTGCCGAAGAGGTATACCGCTCATCAAAGCTCGTGGTCCAGGCGGCTCCCTTGGGCAATCTTGGAGCTGGAGCTGGCGAGTCCCCATCTAGAAACCGGGAGAGCGTATAAGAAGGCTCCTTGCTTCGGGACGGACGACCTGCGCTGGCTGGAGATCCACCTCCATTTCTGGGGGGCAGTTCATCCAGTTGCTGTTGCTGAGCCGACTGTCGCTCAAAGTTCCTGTCCAGACTGCGATGTTCCCTCATCTCCCTTAGCTCCTGTGCCAACATATAGTCTGGCGGAATGGGATTTTCGTCTAGGAAATGTTTGGCCGTCGACTTCTTGCCTACTGCTCCTGATCCCAGTCCTGCTCCGCTCTGGGTGAAGTGAAGCGTATTGTCGTCCTGGGTGAACTCCTTCTTCGTATAGCCACTGGCGGCCAACTCATAGTCGCTGACTTCGCCATCGCGCTCGTACTTCTTGTCCATCTTCAGCTGCTCCCCGGAACTTGCTCCAAAGCCATCTTCGTAGTCCGGCGGGGGCACTGCATCGTAGTCGAGAAAGTGAGGCTTGCGCTCTGGCACCGAGTCCACATCCACATCGTCTAAGCTGAGCCCGGCAATGCCCTCCTCCAAATCCGGCGTTAGCGTGGGTTCCAACATGACCAGGCAGGGCTCGGGGATTGGGGATTCGGGATGTTCAGTGGCTCAAGTCAATGCTCCATGGCCTGCAAAGGGAAGGAGACACGGAAAACAAAGTGAGAGGAGGCGCAATTGAGACTTTATAAATTGCTATAAATTTAGTGCCGGACCAGGGCGTGGGCTAATTATAGACGCACCACCACTCTGGCCGCCAATGCCTGTAATAATCCGCCGAGCAAAACTGAAATAGAGACGAATCGCCTAGCTGCATGGATATATATGTATATGTATGTATAGATCATGCATCAGGTGTGGGCAGCGCTCAGAAATGCAACCGGATAAGGCGGAGATTAGTTCAAACTTCTTCCAAAAGCATTACAACAAAATAATAAAAAAAAAGGTATTACAAGTAAAAAGTTAGCAATATATATTAGATATAACATATCTTAGGTATATTTTTAATTAAATAATTTAAGCACCTGTCCAGGATATTCCAATGTTAACTTAGTTTAACTAATGGATCTTCCATGACGGCCGTCAGTTTAGTGCCTACTCTTAACTCATCACGAGCATATGACTCGGTTTATGATCGATGGTAACTAGCCAACTTCATGATATAATAAGCTCCTTCTACGATAAATGCTATCCAGATAGCAGAGAAGGTGAAGTCATTTTAGAAACTTTTAAGGAATGATCTTGGGCTTCACGTTTCTGAATTACTAATATATTGGTTGAGAATGTAATATAACCAAGTAATGAACAGGTGATTTAAGATACTTCCAACTTTTTAATTAGCTGTCCCCTGTTCATTGTTAAGATCTACTTTCTAAGCAGATGCATAATGTTTTCTAGTTGCCCGAACAGAATTCGTCTATTAAGGTAGGTTCTCTTGATTGTCTGCTTTATCGCTCTGTAACTTAATCATCGGGCCAACTTTCAGGTGGTGGCAACAACAATAGCAAATAAGCAGCTAAATCATTATCATGATTAGCTGGCGCTGCATCTTTTAGAAAGTTAGCGGCACACGGCGTCGTCTTTGCGGAATTTCCAGTGCATGAAAAAAAGATACAGATGCGTTTTCAGCAGATATATTATATTGCTATTGCCGTTGTTATTGTTGTTGTTGCTACACACACTGTACTCCGAGTACAAGACATATTTCTCATTTGAGCTACCGTTGAATTATGTGCAAATGCAATTTGGTGCTGCACTTCTTTTAAGTTGTTATTGTAGCGTAAAATTGAGCATGGACAGACAGATGTACATAAATATGTATGAAACACTGGGAGAAAATGCGATTAAATTGGTCATTAACTAAGTCAGCATATTTAAGTTATATTACCAACATAAGATGTTAGACCTTTCAATACTGGTCGGTATCATTCTGTTCCTTGACATCAACCTTCTTGTACTTTTAATAAGAAACCCATTAACTTTTATGTTTTTCTCTGTGCACACAATCCAATTCAAAGATTTGAAGTGGATTGGGAATGACCCGGGTCGTGTACCAGTTCTCGCTCCGCACAAGTCAACTTGTTCAAGCTCCAATTGGCAAATTAATCAAATTTTAATTGCGACCAACATAAGGAGAGAAACAACAAGCGAACGAAAAGTGGTAACCGCAATTTGAGTGGCTGTGAAATGCAAAACGCTTGTGTAACAGCGGAAATGCATCCACCGAATCCACTCGAATGGAATGCCGGGCCGGCGAACACTGGTCAATCATTCATCATCGCGGATCGATTGTTTGCCTAGGCCTTAACCTAAAATATTTATGACCACACTACTATCAGTCCCTTGATAAGGCCGTTGGGTTCCACTGATTAACATTTAGCACGAGTCTTACATTGCCTCAACGATATCTGTGTTCTCTCAGACTGAAGAATTCGGAAGACGAGCAAGCCATTCGATGAATCAACGATCCGCGAATTAGACATATAGATACTACTATATATGCATGTGCTGGCAAGTACCACAAAGAATGCGAGAATATGCGTCACTTGTCTAGCCAAAGAGCTCCACAGTCCCCCAGAGGCGGAGGCGACTCCTCGTGTCATTAACCGGCCAACAAAACACATAAGGGAATCAGCCATCAGCCTGCGCACAATGGAGACAATTCAAAACTAAACAGTTCAACCCAACAGTATTTGGAAATTAAATTGGTTTCACAGCAGACGAGTTTTAAAAGTATCCCACGCTTTAAAAAAATAATTCAAATGTCATACAATAATTGATAGAAAGTGAATCAGTAAATATTACTGCTAAATTTTAGTCACCCAATTTGTTTTGTTTTGAGTTTCTAGTGATAAAGGCAATTTAATCGCAAGTTTTTATGATTTATTTTTTGACGCATACAAACTTTTAGTTTAATTTTAAGAAAATGGGTCTTATTTGGGCATCTTAAATATTAATATATTTATTAGAAAAATGTAATATGTATAGAAACAATTTGATGACAACTTTTTGCGAAAAACCAGTCAAAACGGAAATTAAATAAATGAACTTAAAGCTGGTGAAAAATTTGAATAATCAAATCAAAATGTAAACAACTCCATTTTTGGAAGTCGCATATAAATTAAGCAGCTACTTTTTTGTTTTCGTGTTTATCGAATTTGTCGGACTAAAGATCTAAATTAATTTGTATTTTGATAGATCAAGCTAATCATAGTTTCCTTATAAAGAATGTATACGAATTTTGTTTTCCTTTTAACTTATTTTGCACATCAGTTTTTTCGTTTGAGGGGTTGTTTTCGCACACCCTCCCCTATATTTTTTCGAAAATAACATTTTTAGCATCGTAGAAATACCCAATTGAGCACTGTAATTGGAGCCCCAACAGTTTATCAATGATTTTGCTGCACAATTGCCTATTTCCACCCACCGTGCAGTATTCAGCTTTTTTCAGTTTGGCACACATTTTGCATACCAAATATTCGCGGCAGAATTATCAAAGGAAGAAGAATTGAAGATTTACAGGGGGAAGGAAAAACCGACAATGATGATGATGGAACCGAAAGCCATTAAACAGACAAACAGGGAAATATGCGCGAAAATATTAAATAATAAAACTACAGTCAAACTACTGAATTCGTACACACTTATGATTTTTGTGTGTGCATTTATGAGTTGCTTTAATGAACGCCACTGTTGTTGTATTTGCTGTTTTGTTGCTTTTATGTCTTTGCCGCGGCGAGATGATGATTATGTAAATTGTAGAAAAGTAAAAGGGAAACTAAATACGAGCGCATGCAGTGTGGAATTGTGTTGTTTTCTGTTTTGTTGTGTTTTTGTAACGTTCGTAGTCGTTGGCATGTAAAACAATCGAGCGTGCAGATATTATTGTATTTTCCTTAATGCGGTGATTAATTATGCGGCGGTGAAATAGAAATGGAAGTGGTCGAAAATAGTTATCAATTAGGCGTGCCACAATCACTTGCAGCTGTTGGAAAACAAAAATAACAAAAACACAGAGTGCGTTTTTCAACTGATAAAGGAGCACTCACGCACGTACACACGCACATACACAGCACACCTACACTCGGGCGCAGTCGCAATCTGATTGGGACTTTTATTGATTTTTCCTGTAAAAGGAATCAGCAGGAAAACAGGAAACTACTAAGAAACTACACAGGAATATCATTTAGATCTAATTTATACACAAATGAATACTATTTATGGTAAACATATTTATTTAGTAAACATTCTGCGTTTTATTGTCAATCCAAAAAAGAACAATTCCAATTGGAAGAGGCAGCGACTATACTCCCACACATACGAAGATTCTCCAATTGCCGTACCTTGACTAAAAAAACAGTTTCTCGGCAGCTTCTTCGCCCACCAGATGACACATTTCACGCTTTATCACTTTGTTTGCAAAAAGATATTGCGACTATTTGAGTTCTTAGTTCATTTCGCGACAAAACAAATACGAAACGCGCCCGAAAGTCCGCTTATCAACAAAGTAAATTGCGACCAACCGCGGCGACCAGTGCTACCGTTATACGAACATTCGAAAATACCATCGTATGGTGACTGTATTTTCCTAATTAAATATTCTTCTAAACTATCGATTGCTATCGATGTTTGGGGATTAGCTTTTAAAAGTAAAATAGTTGGCAACGCTAGTTCAGGATCAAGTATTGGCTAATGTCCAAATAATTTAATTTCAAATAAAATATTTATATCATAAGAGAACGCAAATTATTTGTTGATTCAAATTTGAAGGACCATTTCAGTGTTAGACTGATATCTAACTGTTATTTTCAACAGAAGTTATTTAAATGAAATTTTATTTTAAGTTTTTGTTTCAAATAATTAAATTAAGAGAGAACTGTTAAAACAATCAACTAAGAGAGCAACCATTACTTAGCTGTGCCGACGCCTTTAAAAAATACCAAATAAGCGAAATTATAAAATACATTAAACACTTGGATCTGGTCACACTGTACACTATATAAGCCAACGAAACCCGCGATTTGTTGTTGTTTTTAGACAGCTGGGGCGGACGAATATTGTTGTTGGAGCGCCCGGGAAGCTCCGCTGATTTAGCCCACGAAAACGCGAAAAAATAATAAAACGCAAAAACTAAACAAAACAAAACGTCGCGAATGCAGTAGCTAACAACAACAATAAGCGAAGCCAAAAGTCAAGTAACAAAAATTGCAGAGTGAAAAATCCTATTTGAAGTGCAGCTCAGGAGTCAGAAATTCGTATTGATTTTCTTGTTTGTGTGTGCGCGGGTCCGTGAAAAACGCAACAAAAGCAAAAGCAACCACTTCCAGACTTCCCAATCAGCCACTTCCTTTTCTTCCACCTAGCGGTAATCATTGCCAATTGGAACCGCGATCTCTGCTTTCCAGCGACCCCAACAACAATGTAGACAAGTGCAAGTGTTGTTGCATGTAGTTGTAGTTATTAAACAAGATAGGCAAGGAAATAAAAATAGGGAGAGAGAGAAAGAGATAGATATAGACAACAACAAAAGCGAAAGTTTTATTGAGTGCGTACATGTGTTGTTGTGTGTGAGTGTTTGTGCGAAAAATGGTGGATAAATATTACCAATAATAAATGCAAATTCAAATGCAAATCTTCGCCAATGAAAAGGGTGTCTCTGCAAAAATTGCTTGATAAATTATAAATGCAGGGAGTGGCCGGATAAGTTGGATTTTTTCGGCTAAACTTCAAGGCACAGAAGCAGCGACGAAATGTGGATACCTTCGAACAACAAATACGGAGTTGGTGAGTACAGTAAATAATGGAAATGTCCCACCCACTTTTCCAACCCAACCGAATCACTCACCACCCCCCTGCTGGGCGTCACGTGCGTGGCCTTTGTTTTTATTGTTGCCTTTTGTGGCGATTCACGCTTTTTTCCGCGAAACGCCGGATCCCAACCACCCCCGCACTTTTTCGTAGAGGGGAGGAAAAGCGATTTTTCTACTTATTTTTGTACACAAACTGTTTGTAGCATCATCATCCCCCAGCCCAGCTCACCACCCACTGCCCACCGGCGCACCTCCCCCTTTTCCACCCATCATGTATCTCAAAGAGATTTTCCTGTTGTTGTTGCTGCTGTGCTGCCGTGCTGCGATTTGATGTGTTTATATACACAGTTTTCCCCGCGCACAGTTTTCCCGCACAGCGCTTTTCTTCTTTTTTGTCGCGTTGCCAATTTCCCAGCCCAGGTGTTGCCAATTTAAATGCTTTCGTAATTACACACGCTAAAAAAATATATTTTTAGCAGGGAAAATATATTTTTTTCCCATTGTTTTTGACAAGCAAAATAGGGAAAATATATTGCTGTCAATGAATAAATGTTTTTAAAATGCCTTTAAATAAATTTAAGTAACATTAAATTCATAGGGAAAAGGGTTCTGTTAGGTTGCGAATCAGGAATAAATATTGTTTAATAATAAAGTTTACTTTAATTCTTAAACTTTCTCCGCTCAGCATATGGGTTCTACATAAAACCCTTTTTGCAGCTTTTACTGTATATTGTCCACACTTTAACAGTTTTAACGCTGTGTAACCGCTGTGAAAAATGATGTTGCGTGTTTTGATAACACACTTGTGAAGAATAATACAAGTAGATCTTGGATATTCTTTGTGCAGCTTTTTGTGGCTGTTGTTTTCTCCTCAGCTCAATGATGTTCACATTATCTCCGTATTCGTCACACTTCTCGCTTCAATGGCAACGCTTAACAAATTACTAAGGGGGCAGGGCATGGCAGAGGGAGGTAGTCAACAAAATAAAGTAAAATAAAATACAAGACCGAACGACAACGAATGGTTTCTGATGTATGTATGTACATATGTACTATGGACAGCATCTTTAGTGGCCGACTCTGTGCCAAGTTTTATTCATTGTGCCGCTTGAATGGTTCTCCGCCCAGATAAGCACCAATTTTCGATATGATGGGATGCTCTGGCATCCTGGGAATGTTTCTTAAGAAGCTTTAGAATTCTTTATCAGACATATGGAACTTTAACTATAACATAACCATTCATATTGTTTCATATTTTGTAATATATCTTATTTAAGAAGAATAAATATTAAATAAATTTATTAAAATTTACTTTAAAGATCCAAAAGCAATATTATAATGATATTTCTTAAGTAGAATTTAGAGGATTTCAGCTTTTAGGGTATTTAAAACTCGTTATTGCCCTACAAATATTCTTTAATATTCCGTCGTTGTTGTGCTTAACTGCTCCAGTTCCCCATCATTCATGGAGATAGCTCTTTGCTGCCGCTGCTGTCCGATGACGTTTGCTCCACATTTAACCCGGCAAAGATTGACATGAGAGCGGTCAGAGTTTACACAAATCAATCAGTCAGTCAGTCGTCAAGCAATCCAGCTTTCCAGGCTGTGGGTTAACATCATTAGCGATTCGAGGCGCTGTCAAGCCAACGCCCTAACCTTGCACAATGCCCAGTTCCTCCCCTTCTGTCACTGTTTTGGTCCCAGTTCCTGGCCCACTGTCCTTTCATCTGGCAGCGCCACGTGCTGAGCCACTGCAACTGCTGGGCAATGACTTCATTACCAGCGCACTCTTTGTCTTCAATCGTCTCGTTTTTCACTTTGTCCCCTATATATAATTATTGTACCGCTGCCTGGATATATACAGGCGAACATCAATAACTTGAAAGTTGAAACCACCATCTGGCAGGGGAGGAAAAGGGGATACTTTCATTCCAAGTATCTAACTTTCTGATATTTACTATACTTTTTGGTAAGGGATTGCCATTCTTCAACATCAGTAACAATGGCCTAAATGGGAATAAACTATCTGAAGATTTACGTTTATTTTTATTAGATTTTTTGTTGCAGAAAACTTTGAAAAACTTGAATTTGTAAAAGTTCAATTTGCAGAGGTCCGACTGTAGTTATTGCCCTCAATTGCGCAGTGAGTCGAATGCACAATGGTGACAATTTTGCGGAGCAACCCTCGTAAATCTGGGCCTGGTCATGCGGGTCACTCTGTTCGGGAGTTGCAAACTTAGATTTGAGGCCGAAAGTTTACGCAACTTTTTGCCAAAAAATCCAAATGAATCTGGGAGATGGGAAGTGAAAAAGGGAAGGCCTACGGCATTGGCACCGGGACCGGATGTTGCTGCTCCGACTTTCTGTCCGCCTGACTGTCTGCCTGCCTTTTCCAGCGAATTCCGCTGTCGCTGCGGCAATTTCAGTTTCAACTTTAATTTAATATTCATTTTATGCATTTGGCCAGTGGAGTCAAGCGCACAAATTTGTGCAGCGCTTCCTTCCTTCAGAACGCACAACCGCACACACACATGAGTGCGCATAAAATTGATTCATTTCCATTGTTTAATATGCTTGGCGGCATTACTTTTTTTTGTATTCATTTTCCTCTGATTCAAGTTGTGCGTATGAGGCACTCGTCCATTTGAGTTGAACTTCCATAATTCGTCTTTAACGATTTATTTATGAATTGCCATTTGTGGGACACGCGGCGTATGATTAACAACCCGAACACACGCACACTCGAAATTTATCAGCCTATCGCATTTGGGCGCATTATCGGTCATATTGCCGGATGGACGAGCGGGTGTCCCCCATACGTTGACTGATTTATGTAAATGCAGGGCTTGTCTAGAAATAGTATGTTTTCCTATAGGAAGTAACCCCTCCGCCTTCGATAAGCCAAGTAAGATAACCAGTTACTCATAAAGTGATTAAATACTGTAGTATAGTAAATATTTAATACAAATAGCAGGAAAGTTCTTCCGGTGGGGCACTAAAAGGGGGACTTATTGATGGGGAAAGGGTCATTAAAAGTTGCTGTTCATCGATTGGTTCGACCAGGGAAAATGTATATTATACCCAAAATGAGTAACACAAATTGACAGCGCCAAACATGCAGCATGTGGATTTGCTCATTTACATGCGAAAACAAAATGCAAACAGTAACAAAAAGCAAACAAGTGCGCAAGCACTCAATTGAGTGGCATATATGAAATGCATTTAATTACTGTAATGCCAGCCACATCGAGAGATACAAAATGCATATAATAAGCAAATATTTCCAGGCACCAACAACACGTACGACAACATATCCATCCACATACCAGTTTATTCTCACTAACTTACAATTATAATAAAAATCCACTTGACAATGGATGGAAAAACGGCATTGTTTAGCTCTCGGAGTTCGCTCTCCGTGCGGAGCATGTGCGCCAGCATCCATTCAACCAACTCTATTATTCCGACAATGTCTGTGATAATGACATCTGATTGACATTTGGGTCATGCTTCCTCCTTTGGACAGGTTTCAAGCGATTTCGCCAAACAAAGTAAAGCCTTTGAAAAGGCTTTATCTTTATCGATAGGTTCTTTCTTTCTTTTGTGTTTAAATAAAGATAAAGAAGGCTTAGATTAAAAAAAAGATACGCAATATACAAAAAAATAATTCGTTTCAGGTTTAAGTTCATTAACATTTTGGAAAGTAGCAAACTCAGCTGTTTTGGATTGATCCAGAGGATTGCATAAGCCGGTTTATCATTTAAAATTTCGCTTTCGTTTTACATAATTTTAAATAAATATAAAGTATGCCATTGATTGTATAAACCTTATTTCATATAATAACGTTAACGTTAATACAGGATACTGTCCTTTATTTAACAAAGAAGCTGTCTTTATACATTTACGCCAGGGCATTTAAGTTTTATCTAATCTCTAGATGCGCGTTGATAAAGAGGCTCTAACAAAAGCTGATGTTGATAATGTAGATTATCAATATTGGTATTGTATAGATTTCAGATACAAATTAACTGCATATAAACTGCTTATTAGGGTATATAGAATATAAGGCCATAAAAGTTTATAAATCATTTAGTTCATTTTTGTTGACATGTGTGAACTTTTCACTGACTGATGCAACTTTCCCAAACTGGCTTTTGTTTAAGGGTTCGTAAACACATAAATAAGATTTATATTCTTGCTGAAATACTTTTTGCCGGTTGTATTCTGTATAATCGGTCATTAAAACAAAAATAAACTTCACTGTCACGAGTTCAGTATTTTTTGCCTTACCTGAAATATAAATGAAGTCAGAGGCAGGAGGACTGTAACCTTGTTCTGCTAATGTGCAGTGCGATAATTAGTTTTTCATTCTTCCCCTAGAGAAACAATAACCCCAACCGATTCTAAGTTAATTTTAGTGGTTTTAGGCAAGCCACTTGACCCACATTCTGGCGGTTTTCCCTTTCCGCAGTCGGCGAGTTCCACTTTGTTGGCGACCTCATATTGTTGGTTATAACACAATTAATTAATTAAATTCTTAAGCCTCCCCAGTGGCACTTGAGGGCCAGAGCGGCGGATGCGGATGTGGATGAGCCGGGGGGAAAGGGTCAAGTGTGAAGATGGGCTTCCCATTTGGTGGGCTACCCGACACGCCCCTGCTCATTTAATCCATTTGCAGTTGAGCTCGGGCTGCGGTTTGAGTCACAGCGACTAAGTAGTGCAGCAGGCACTGCTCTTTCATTTAATTTAAAATTATTTTCCGCCTAGAGCCCCCTAACCCGGCTCCCCCTTTTCCATTTGGCATGCACTTGCCTTAACGACTTTTTTATTTAAATACGTTTGTTGACATTGCGGACTTGTTGGAGCGAGCATTGTGTTCTCTGTTCCGCTACTCCTTGGCTATCTACCCCAGCGTTCTCCCCCTTTTTGGCTGGGCTCTTGTGTGCGGGCAAACAAAAAGAGTGATGTAAGCCAAGCCTTTTGGGATATTGCATTCATCGTAAAAGTAATTATGGGGCTCAGCCCTATGATGATCCTGCCAATTTCCAGTGCCACTTCAAGTCAACTTTATGAAATTTAATATTAAATTTCCCTAAGCTTGCTAAATGCTCATTAAAATTATGCAGGCACTTGGAGAAAAAAGGGTACATATTTACCATATGTGTAAGACAATTTTAAAGTTATAGCTTATGGATTTTGGTATAGCTTATTCAAATTAGTATAAACATTGGCCTTATATGCTTCACTTTTAAAGACTTCACCTAACTTCTTCCGCTCTTATAATAAATTCAAGCTCATTTCGATCCTTAGAGAGCCATTTTCTGTGAGTGTACTTGTGGGGTTTTTCCAGTTGGCTTTTAGTTTTAGCTGCTTGCCAGGCCGACGCCTGCCTAATGTGACTGACCTAAATAGTGCAAACGCTTGGCTGGCACTTTGCCTGCTGCTCTGCGGAATCCAGGATGTGTGAGAACGTGCACTCAGCGAAAAAATATGTCTCCCGTCAAGTATCAATCAATGGTCTTATACGTAGGCATCTTAGAGAGGCTTTTTTATTCTTCAGAGAGCATTTAATTAAAGGATCTTTATGTTTTATCTTTCTATTTAGTCTCCTTATTTGAAGTTACTATATCCCTCTTGATCCTTTTGTAAAATATGAAAAGCTCTGCCATATTTTCCGTGTGCCAAAGTGTGGGTATGTGTGCTCATTTGCTGGAGTGTTTGCCTCCGCCAGTTGAAGTGCCAAGACCGGAGCGATGCGAAGCCTTCAACTGGCATTTTAAATTATAAAATACTTGCTATTTAGCATCTCCAGAATTCATTTAAATCAGACTGCCACATTCGCGACGAGCAGCGCAAATTGAAGCCAGTTAGAGTCGGTTGTCGAATGGCATAGCTCAAAATAAAAAGGAGAGACTCTGGCAAAGGCAGCAAGCATCAACCATAAAGCACTCACAGCAGAAGCAGCAGCAGCAACAGCAACAGCTACATCAGCAACATCTACAGTAGCAACAGCAACAGCAACAGTCACAGTAGCAACAACAGGAAGCAGTTTGCCCATTTTCATGGCACTGAAGCATTTCATTTTACATCTCCCCGCCCCGGAATCCCTCTCTGTCTGTCTGGGCGTGCGTTTTATTAGCTCCTTTCGTTGATATGCTCATGCCGTTCTCGCCCGTTTGTCTTTCATCAAGGGAGCCCACATTCACATACACATCTACATCTACATTCATGTCCACATCCACATGCAGCCATCCCCACAGACACACCACCTCCACCAGCAGAGAAGCACCACCATCAACATCAGCACCACCCTAGCAGAAGGCCGGGTTCCTCGTCTTGCGGCGCCTCCCAGTCCAAAGTGTGTGCCTTGCATTTGTAATTGATACACAGTGAAAAATCGGAAACTGCCTGTCTAGAATCTTAATCAAGAAGTCTAAGATCATGACTGAAAGTGGGGAAAATTCCTAGCAAATTTCTGTTTGTTTGTAAGATTCTGTTTGTTATCTCTTTTAAATCTTTCATGTTTTTTCTTAGGAAAATTGTATTAATCAAGCATTTATGGCCTTAGGATGACTCATATATCATCTTTAGTCATTTCATTTTACTTTTTACTACATTCAAAAGTAAACAATTTTACAAAGGTCTTAGAAAAAGATTTCTAAAAATATTAGTTCATTGAACTCAAAAATCAAAATTCTGCCAATTGCACAGAAAGGAATTCATTGGCCAAATTAAAGTCTTCAGTGTAATCGTTGCCATAGCCACCATATCCAGAAATGCGGATGTATCCAGCAGCTTTGGCAGCCCAGCTATGTGGCTCCAATTTGAGCTCCGGTTCGGAGTTAGCTCCCACTTGGGCTGGTGGATCCATCCACGAGCCAAAGTGTTCGATTGCCGGCGTGGCCAAGTGCTGCTCATTGTTCCGTGTGTTCGACAAAGAGACACCCCCATATACATACGCCTGGCTCCATAAAAATACGTTCGGATGCATATATTTTCCTTTCATAGCCATTTGCCTATTTATAGTTGAAGTATTTATTGTTGCTGTGCCACTCGTGGCATGCTCAAGTGGCCACTCATGGGGGCACTTTAATTGCCACGCCGTCCATCCTGTAGCAATGTCATGGCCAAGAAGTGGCAACGCAACTAGTTGTAATCCAACCGCTTCTTGGACTCTAACTTTTCCTGCTCTCATTTTCATTTACCATATTTTTCCTTCTTTTCCCCCCAACAGCCATCCACAACTGGCATGGCGATGTCCGGTTTGGTTTGGCCCTGGACGTCGGTGATTCCGTGGACATTGTGGAGGAGTGCAAATTCTGGTATCGCGGCTCCTGTCCCCGAAAATCTCGGGCAGTGGGTCTCTTCCCCAAATCCTACATACACATCAAGGACCTGTCGAAAGTCGATCCTGTGGTCGCCGAATGTACACAGGTCCTGCGAGAATGGTCGGAGATCTGGAAGAGGCTTTATGTGGTAGGTGAATTATATTCCCAGGATATGGAACATAACTAAATCTTTATAAATATTTTTCAGGATCGTGAGGCCTACAAGTTCCAAACCCTGCGAAAGGTTATGTTTTCCATATTGGAAAGTCGACGGGAACTCCTGAGTGCCACCATGACTCAGGATCAGACCCTGGAGCTTCAGATGGTTGTGGTTTCGAAAATAGATTGGGGCAATCGGTAAGTTTGTAGATACTTTGATAAAAATTCTTTGTAATGCAATTATGAGAAATCTTATAGTAACTATGGAGAATATATTCAAATTCTAAAACAACTAACAATTTGCTTAAAGCCACAAAAGCTAAAAACCACTTTAGTAATAACTCTCCTAACAATCTAAGCTATGTAAACAAACTTGAAGTAGCTCTTGAGATTCTCCTTTGTTTAAAAGAATTCCCATAGACTGCGTAGTACTTCAGTTGTAATGCCAACCGCTTGTCAGAACAATTCGAAATGCGACCTTCATGTTTATAAACCATTTCCCACCCATTGATAAGTCGGGAATTTAGCTGAAATTGTATATAGAATATTTATTACAACTTTGAACTTAGATAGCTTGGGTTCTCTTTTGCTTTATGTAAAATGTGTTCTTTTCTAGCAATAATCACAATAATTTTGTTATAAACAAAATTTCTTAAAATTACGATACATATCTGTAGACTAAATGTTAGGACAAAAATAGCGAGAGCATCGTGTATACTCGTTTAAATATTCATAATTATATTCCTTCTCGTACTCGTACTACAATTTTATATAGATCAACGTTTCGTGAGCGTGCGTGAGCGATAAGCAGATATATAGCTGCATATTTATTTTTCAGTATAGAATCGATCATCGATCTAAGCTATCCACTAATCGAGAGCTAACTGTTAAACTTAATTGTATATTTTAAATGGCGCATCATTGTCGTCTGATGGGATATCCTTGTCGTCCACCTCGTCGTTCAATCTTCAACCTACAAATTGCACGGTTCTGCCTGTGTCCCTCTCTTGCTTTTTTTTTTTTGTTAATTATTTGTCTTTCTTTTTTAATTAATGTATTTCCCTCAATGTCTCACTCTGTGGTTCACCTCGTGTCAATGACGAACTGCACCCTGTCTTTCGCTTGCCTAGGACCGAATTCAAAGATTATTTCCTTATAATTTTGCTAAATATATTTCGCATTGAATATTACTGAGTTGGATCTCCGAAAGTGCAATTGTTGATTCGTTCTCTTGCAGTCTTAGTGGTAGAAATGGAAATGCCTAACCTCATGACACACAACTCTCTCTATCTCCTCCTCTATCCCCCTACAAATATTATTGAGAAATCATTGAAATCATTGTTTTGGAAGCCAATCCGGAGGAATGGGCTCATGTCTCCGTCTCCTTGCCACCGCCGAAGCTCTCCACGGGCGGATATATCGGATGGCTGATGGGATTCATTTCCAGGGTCGATGGGGCCGAAGGGGTTCGGGATGCTCCGAGCAGGCCGCAAAGCTGCTGCAGCATGTCGCTGTACGATCTTGTGCTGAGATTCTGGCTAAGGAAGTGCAAGATCAGGAAGTCACCAATCTGTTGGGAAAGTAAACAAATTGATTAAAAAATAATTCATAGATGATATTTCAGTAGGGGACTCACCTCCAAACGCCTGACCAGTCCGGCGATTTCCTTGCGTTGTCCTGAGCGATAAGAACGCTTGATGATGGTCTCCCGGGTGGTGGGCATCATGATAACCACCAGTGAATACAGCACAGCCACGCCAGAGATGATGGCCAAGATAATAAACCAGAACCTTCAAAAAGTTATAAAAACATTAAGGATCTCTCTGTTTAAAAAGCAACTCGCGTACTTACCACAGGAAGATGTAGATCTTCTCGTTAAGGATATTCAATGCTAGCACACAGAGGGTGTCATGCTTCTGAACCGATCCACTGGGACCGAATTTGTGGAAAGTACATTTAGTTAGTCGTGGGAAGATCTCAATCATGGGATCGAAGCGCTTGTCCTGATCCATGTTAGAGAACTTCACCACATCCGTACCGTAGGACATAAAAGCACCGCCCAAAAACTTATCCACCATAAAGATATTTACGATCACATTGATGAAGTTCAGCAGTTCGCAGAAGAAGTAGGCAAACGAGTAGCCGTTGTGCGTGTTCAAGCTGCTAACGAAGTACTTGAGAATCCTGTCCTGACGATCCCGCCTATAGTCATCCGGCACACTGACCATGCCACGCAGTCCATCGGTGATCATGCGGATCTTGTTGTCTTCCATGTTCTTCCAAATCCAGTGGGGCACGTAGAACATGAGACCCTGAAAGAATATATACAGATTAGTTTGGTCGGAAGTAGAAATTACATTAAATTAAAGACTTAAGACTTGTCACGCTTTAAGTGGGCAATAAGTGATAGACTCCACTCTTATTAAGACTTCAATTAAGTTTGCTTTATCGCAGACAACATAGAATTTTATTGAATGCGAGATTTCTCATCTACATGTAAGATTTACACTGTAAATTGGGAAATCGTATGCAATTATGCACTTAAAATCTGTTTAGCTTGAACTGAAGTTTGAGGAAAGAGCACTAAATCTGTGTCATAATCATATATACTTCAGTTGTGTAATCGAAAGCCCTAGTTAGTACTTCTCATAATCACTCACCTGGAAGAATAGCACGAATGGCACCCATTGATAGTAGCTGTGATAGCGCTTCTCTTGGCCATATTCATTGCCTAAACCTGGAGAAGCCACGTCCGTTCCAATTTGCCGATGCTGTTGGCCAGGTATCGTAAACGTATAGGTGATCCAGCAGAAGGTGTTGATCACGTGCATCGGTATGGAGCCATCGTTGATGCAACTTATGGGATCGCCTGCAAGCGCAAAGATAAAGATAATTTGTAGATATGCATGTTGACCTCGCCGCAATTTGAATCAAGAGATATGCACGCGCATTCCTCGCCAGCAACCTTCTCGCCAGCCGTTCGTCAACGTCAAGTGCCATTAGGGCAATCTCTGGGCCCCAGCACCGCAGTCCCAATTTGTCGGTGCTGTGGGTGCGGTTACGACAACGCTACGGTTACATTTATTACGGTTGCAGACGTGCCTAGGTAAACCTGCAACATTCAGAGGGACAAACGGACGGATTTTTTTGGGTGCGCCCCAACATCAACTTCAACATTAACTTTACCTTCTCCCCCTGCCTTTTCGGGCAAACAAAGTGGATACAAATGGAGGAGCTGCTGCAGACGAGTGGGTGGGGAATTCCCAGAACCAACCGTCAATATTTGACTGTGGTTTTGTCAGTTGTTCACTTTCAGAGCACTTCTTTTAATGCACAAATATTTGGCTTGAAGATGGGCGACTATGCGATGCCTAGATCTGATTGAAGGCTCATACAATGGGTAATAAAGTCAGGAAGTTGGGAGTTGAAACTATTTTAATAACTAGAGCTCTCTGAAAGTTATTATATAAACAGAAACTTCATATTAAAGACAAACACATCAAATGCTTTAAATTTCTTATACAGCTTTTATCTTTGTTTTGCCGATGCCGAACTTTTCAATTACTCTCAGCTATTTATTTACAGTAGGAGTTTCTCTCATCGCCCCTTTACTGACCATTAGGTTTTAATTTCATTGCCTGAAGTCTAATGTTCTGCTGTGAATGGTGCGTGGGAATGTAAAATCATATTTATTACAAGTATCATTATGTAAGACACTTCACTGAGCCCAGCTTGAACCAGATACATTGATTTTCACGCCACTTTCAGGCTAAGCCCAGGGAACCACCCGTGGCGACCGTGGAATGAGTCATTCGAGTAAATGGCTTAAGCTGAAATCCGATGAACGTGTTGCGGCCAATTTGTGAAAGCTCTGCACGAGATTTGCTTTTTTTCGATGACTTCAATTTCAAATAGGTCGAAATGTCTTTCTCAGATTTCAGTGCCGCATTAGCAGCGATGCAGCAATTGCAAAAGCAAACTAAATAACTAGGCTATGTGGGTGCTAAACAGTTGCATAGCTGCACTAATTTTTGATGCAATCAATGTGTGGGAGGTGCTAACTAACGAACTTACCGATCAGATTGTTTGCGGTGACAATAATGCAACAGGTGAATAAAATGGCTGTCGTGATCCTGTAGTGACAGCGAAAGACCATGTTGTCGATGACCGCCTTGTCCAGCAGATAGCGTATCTTGATGAAGCCGGACACAGCCGAGACCATGCCAAAGACCGCCATGTTGATGGTTGGTGTGCTGCTGCAACGTAGCTAACTGCAAGTGGACAAGAGAACATTAATGAAATGAGTACTATTACACTGTGAAAAAGTATGAACTTATTACGAAACATATTTCTCAATCCCCAAAGACCCCTCTTATCATCTATTATTCATCTTAAAAGGAACCGTTTTTGATTGTAATCTTTGTGATTATTGCCTTGGGAGTTCCCTTCTTTACTAGGATGTGGGATTCCAAGCACATTATCTTTTTCCAAGTGCAATGTAATCGTTTTTCCTTTGCCATACTTGATTGTGTGCTGTGTTTGCCTTGTGCGTTATCTAGGACAGACATGACATATTCCAAATTATTTCACCACCCAACTACACATGTACGAGCAGACTTCCTCTCCACTCCCAATCTGGGTTCTACAACCAGTACCCAGTACCCATCCCAATGTTCGTCCGGGTTCTCGGCGTTATCGTCGACAAGCCGCACTTACAATTAAGTAAGTGCTTGGGCAGTGCCGGAATACATAGTTTGTTGGGAACATCGTCGTTCTCTCGCTCTCTGAATAATATGTTGTGCAATCTAATCTAATCTGCGCTAAGCTAGAGCCCAGGTTGAATGCCCCCTTTCGCCTCGAGACCCCCACCATTGCCCAAAAAATATTTATACATAGATTGCTAACAAGTTCATCTCAAGAACTTGGTCTCTCAGAACCGGTACAGCTTTTTTGTCAACCCACGCATAAATTTCACTTTGTCCCCGTAGCCAAAGAGTTCGAATTTATCATGAGGCTTTGTTTTCTTTTTCCATTTCTTTTTTTTCGATGCTTTTTGGATTTCGATTTGGGTTTTGGGTTTTCGGTGTGTTCGGTCTTCAGTTTTCAGTTTTCGGCTCGCCATGGATCAGGTTCTGGTTTGCTTTCTTCTTGGCTCTTTTGTTTATATGCAAATTTTTTTTTGTTTCGGGCTATTGTGTGTTTTATGTGTGTGTTTTGGCTGTATTTCATTTCGGCACGACAGATCGTATAACTCCGAATCGGATTCGGAATCAGAATCCGTAACTCCGAGAGCAACACGCACACTACCCTATACGCATGGCACATAGAGTCATCTCTGTCGCACGCACGCGAGCGGCAATTAAAGTCGCAAAGTATCTGTATCTGCGCAACGGCAGCTACTCCTTTTAAATGCATCAGCTTCTGCACTGAACATTCAATCTTACCACGCACACACATAACCACTGACACATAGACACTCACACACACACCGAACACAGATACGCGGAGAGCACTTCATTTCAACCCAACTTCAATTCTTGCCTTTTTTCAATAATTTTTTTCTTTTCTTGTTTTTTTTTTCGAAAAAGACAAAAAAAGAAACTGGTTTTAAGGTATTTTCTTTTTGGGAGCGGAGCGGGCGCGATCGGATCCGATCGGTTGTTGCCACTGTTCTCTCTCATTTTGTGTCGTTTTCCTTGGTGGGTTTTTTTTCTGAAGGTGTTGCTACCAACATTGGCAACAGCAACCTGCCAGTTGGCCAGAACCGAACTGCGACGACCCCTTCGCACACTTAAGTGATTCTTTTGCTCCTGCTGGAGTCGCAGTCCCGTACTTTTTTTGAGCTCTCCCCGCTCGCATTTAAATTTATTGCTGCCACTTTGACACTTCGGAAACTCGTTTTTGGCTGCCTGTATTTAACATTGCTGGCTGAATTTTTTGTGTTTCTTTTTCTTAATTTATTGTTATTGTTAAGTTGGTTGCAGATTCGAGATTTCTATTATACACAAGTACAAACACTCGCAGCCGCAGATACTCGCGAACACACACACACACATGAAACACACTCAGCTGTGGAGCTGGAATTGCAATCGTAACTGCATTTTGTGGTGGTGTGCGTGCAGCTTGGTGGTAGCTCAGTGCTGCTGAGCTGTGATTTCAGTGCTGGCCATACCCGTATCCGTATCTCGAAAATGTGCAGCTGCTCTCAGCGGCGTTCAAAAACCTACTGACACCAACACCAGATTCAGATTCCCAGACCCAGCCGATGGAACCACAATTTTCGAGCCGAGAGAGAGTCACTCTCTCTGTGGCGGCGATCTGGGTGGTTTTCCCTCTCTGGCGGAACCAGCGATCGCAGCTGGTTCCCGCTCACCATTCGAAATTACGCTCAAGCTGCATTCGCGCATTACCTTTTACCTGAGATGAGACCCGGTGTTGTTACCTGTAGACTGTAGAGTGCACACTGGAGACCCACCCAAACCACCTCAGGTCGCTTAGGTAGTTCACTCCGATTCTCAGATTTTCCCTCGATCTTGAACAGACTTGAGTGCGGCCCTAAACATCTGGATTGAAAATCTGTAAATCCATTGATTAGTAAGGTCTTTCGGTTCAGAGGGAAATTTTTATTGCTTTCTACAACTCTATCAACTAGATCTGGAGTTTAGATTAAGCTGGGATAGCTGAACTCTGAGTCGGAGTCATTCGAGCTAAACAAAGATTTGGGAACACAATGAGCCAGAACTGGAACACCCAATAAAAGACTTAAGGAACAAAAGGTATACCTAAAAATAGGTAACAATGGTATGCCAAAAAACATACCTCCTTATATCTTATAACTTCCCCTTGCATTTTAAAAATATTTAAAAATAATATTATACAAAAATTATACATAAAATTTTAGTGTTAAAAGAAAATAATTTCCAGTTAGCAGATGTTACTACGGTTTCTATAACAGGAGAAGCAATTTAACAGTAGTAATAAAGTTTAACATCTTAAAATAGTATAATTATCTTAATCTCAACTGCGTAGAACTTAATTTGTACTCCCATTTACCCCAGCTAAGACTTTCTGTTAATCACCTTTAAATTTATTATGTTTTAAATCAAAACTCAAGTAACTAATGTTAATGAGGTGGACCCGAAGTGCTTTGCGCCTCATTATAAAAACGTATTCCAATTAATTCCGCGGAACTTGAAGCTGCCTGTTCTTATAATTTATCGCTGCTGCCATGGCCAGCGAATCCTCTGGCAGCACAGATGCCGAAGTATCTGAAGTATCCGCCAAGTGGATCTAAGGAACTATTCGTTTTCCAGGGTTAAATGTGTCGTCGCTGATCGCACACACTCTCACATTGAGGCCAAAATGAAGATCCATTTGCATGCTGAGAGCTAGACAAGCAACGCCAAACTTGTTGCCAGGCATTCCTCCCAGTTCCCTGGGGTCCTGGGGTTTCAGGTCCCCAGATCCCCAAGTTCCAAGTTCGAGCCCCTACCAAAACCTGCAACTCCTTTGGCTGGCTGGTGGAATGACTCAGCTTGGTGGCTTTGGCTTTGACTTTGGCCTGTTGGCATGGGTTCTTCAGTCTTGGCCATAATGAAATGACATTTCGAAATGGCTGCTGCTGCTGTTGCTGCCGCTGCTGCTGCTGTTTCCATGTCCTGAACCACTGCGCTCCACTTCTCTTCTTTGCGCGTTGCACTGTTTGTTTATTGTCGGTTCCTGATGCCTGTTACCTTATGCCCGATGCCCGATGCCCGATGTCGGGGCTGCCAGGTTGCATGGTTGCCTGTGGCCTCTCGCCAGAAATGTATCTGCGAGCTACACCTTTTATAAAGACATTAAATACGAAATATATGGCATGTGTGATTGTGATATGCCGTGTATCTGGGCCGCTGTTGAGGCGAGACCCATAGATACAATGCCATCGAACGCGTTGTTGTTATTGCTTTTGTTTGTGGTTGACAGCTCTGCTTATCGAAGTGTAAATAATTAAATTTTTCTGTATCGTCTGGGACTCCTCCATCTTGTTGCGTTTTCTCGCCTTCTCGTTCTTTTCTGTTGTGTCATATCTTCATAGATTTCCAACACTTTAGGCGAGGCTTAATTAAAAAAGAATTTGTTAAGATAAGCGGAGCATCTTTCCCCTTCTTTTTCGGGGGATATATATTCCCTTTTTTTTTGCCTTTCACCTGTTGAGCTTTGGGTCAGGCACTTAATTAAAAACGACTTAAAGTGTTCATTACCAGCATGGCTACCGTTTCATTTTTGCGGGTCCCAGGCAGCCGCGCACGCGCTCCTCTCATATTTGTATCCATGAGATACATTTTCGAGTCGCGGTGCTTCATTTGGTCACGTCAACTCAGAGCCAGAGCTCCCGGCGTAACAGAGGTGGCTCAAACCCCACACATACGTATTTATCTCTGTATAGGGAGAGAGCGTTGAACATTCCCCAGAGATCTATGGGTCTCCTTCTCTGGGAGTCGGGGTCTCTTGATCTCTACCACTTTGCTTCTCTACTGGTTCCGGTTCCAACATGGAGACTCTCTCTCTGGTCCTCTCTCACTCGCTCTCTCCCTGTATTGGCCGCTGTGAATTTCACCTGAACCAGAGCGAAGCCGTTTAGGCCTCGTTAACAGCAAAACGGCTTCTTCGGCTTGTTCTGGAGGTTGTATTGTAAAAGATGCCTGGCTCTCTCTGCGTAAGCCAGGTAGAAGGCCCGGCGTAGCCGAGGTAGCAGCATCGTCAACGACGTCGCGACGTCGGGCAACATATTGCTGATGACGTTGGACGTTGGCTGTGTGCTGGGTTCGGCCAACCTGGCTATATGGCTATGAACCTGGCTGGCCCAAAACTCTGTCCAACTCTGGGCCTCTGAGTCTGGTCCTCCTCTCCTCTTTCCCTTCTCTTCTTCTCGCATGCGCCACCGGAATGCCGTGAACCCATTAGCTGTGTAGTTTTTTGTGTACCTCAACCTGGCTGGATCGGCTGTAAGCAGCCGAAATTTATGCGTCATGCGGGCCATGCGATGTGTGTCCATGATCATCGTCATCATCATCATGTAAATTCCAATCGGTAGCCACCGTACCAAACAGCAGGCACGTATCGGCGGCCATAGATAGTGTGAAGTTAATGATCGACCCAATCCATTTAGATACGATCTTTGTCGATAGAACTCGATTGATTCTCCATTTGAGCTACTTTCCGAAAGTTGAGCAGAGCGGTGACAGGTTCTCTGGCTGCCTTGGCACTGATTCATTCGATTTGCATGAGTGCTACGGATTACTCAGAATATGGGGAACTTGATATGGTCTACATTGATCTGGAGTTCTTCGACTTTGTAGGGAAATTTTAAACTTATGATGTTTATGAAAGTTTTTGTTGATTACATTTAACATTGAAAGATCAACATGTCGAATTTTAGATAATGTAAGATTGACAAGAAGTTGTGATATAAAAAAATATGAAACGAAAGATATACGAAAGACGCCTTAACTTAACTTTTTATTTGATAAATACCTTTAAGGTATAATTTTGATTAACCCTTTTTCTATCTCTTGAATGTTTTATGTTATGTTTATTTATGTTTTTCCTTCTCCATTAAATAAAATTGGAAGTTAGTATTCTTGGATAAGTTCCCAAAAACAGTTTTTTAAAAGGTCTCCCTCGCTAAACTCAAGCCTCGTAAATTGCCTTAAATAAATCTTTATTCCCTTCGCGGTGTGTTCTATTTTTGGGAACGCAGTGTGATTAATGATGATCACCCATGATGACTGACCAAATTTGTATTTAATTCTTGGCGCTCCACACGACTCCGTTAAGCGACAATTAATTACGAATGCGTCAATTTCCTTAAAGCTCTGATGGTTTTCCAAACAACCAACACTGGACTGAATTCGAAGGGATCCCCTCAAGCTCCCGCTCCCACGTTCCGATAATTGAAATGTGTCTTTCGTATCGGAACGTGACAAAGTGGCAAAGTTGTTTTAGCTGGGTGTTTCCTTCCCTAATATCACTATTAATCAACCGGCAAATGCTTTTCGATCTTTGCAGCAAACTGGGTCTGGACTTGGTGCCTAGAGAGGGACCTCTGGCAGTGGATCCACATGGGATCGGCATCGTAAAGTTGTACAATGTCCACGTGAGCAGTGCTGATAATGCCAAGGCCTCATCGGTATAAATAGGAATATAAAATCATTGGTTTTCTGTAATAATTCATGATCTTATGACCCGCAGAGTCGAGGAACTTTGAGGCGTAAGACGCAGAGAAAGATCCTCACCCATCATCTTTACTTTTGTATGCGCGATTTTGGCCATCGGATAGGTGGCGATGATGCAGAGGTTTATTTCTTCCTCTATGATGGAAGTCACATGCGACCGCTGTCCGAAAGGTTTCTGGTCAAGATCTCCAAAGACGGTTTCTCCAACTACATTGAAAGGTTGCACAGCAACTGCACGGTGTTTACTGATCTGGGTAAGCTTAATTTCGATTTGGTGGTATAATTAATATTTATTTATTTATTTATCTAAGGCTAACAATTAGTTAAAACTAAGAGCTAACAATTGGCTAGGAGCAGTAGCAGCTAGGGCCTTCAGCTCGGCTTAGGTTAGAATATGGCTTGCGAATGTTTGACTTATAAGAATATACAAAATATTACTAAGGATTACTATTTACATTTTATTTGCAGAGATTTTATTTATTTAGATTTGGGAGGTGATATGGGAGTCGTTTAGGAATTTGAGTATGTTTAGGGAGTTTGTGTCTGTGGGGTTAGCTATCGTGGTAATTGGATCGGGATTATTGAGGAATAAGGATCTTTGCGTGGAAAGGGAGGGGCAGGAGCAAATAATGTGGTAGATGTCAATCTGGGAGATGTTGCATAATGGGCACACGTTGTTCCTTGTTCTGTCGAGGTAGTGGGCGTTTGTTAAGAATGAGTGTCCTAGTCTGAGGCGGGTGATAATGGTTTGTTCTCTTCTGTTTAGGGGGAGTTTTTGAGGGGCTGGGTGCACGTTGACAACTTGAGTATTTCTTGATAATTAATATTAATATGGACAATATTTAATATCTTTAGGCGCCGCTGATCTCAATGAGGATCTTCATCTGGTGGCAGTGGTCATGCGTGTGGGCAAGATTATCCAATCGGACTCCATTAAGAAGATCGAGAAGAGTGGCACGCTTGGTCATGGACCAACCTTCCGTCGACCATTTGGCGTGGGTGTACTTTCGCTGAGCGACATAGCCCAATTTGATAGCAGTCTGGAACAGTCCTCCGATGAGCGGGAGTATAGCTTCAAGCTGTTCCAGAGCGAGGAAAAGGATTTCCACCTGCTGCCCGAGCTGATCATCAAGAAGTCGAGTGGAAAGTACTCGCCCATCCAGACGAGTCAGGGAACTCAGGGAATTGTGGTGTCCCTAAAACTCTTGCATGGTGGGTTGGGTCAGGCTCGACAGGAACAGCCGCTACTCTTCCAGGGCTCCACTATAACCAGAAAGATGGGTTTCCCGGATGTGATCATGCCCGGAGATGTACGTAACGATCTCTTCCTCACCCTGGAGCGTGGAGAGTTTGAGCGCGGTGGAAAGAATACGGGGAAAAATATCCTCGTCACGGTTGTGGTGCTCGATGTGACGGGCAATGTTCTGACCGAATGCTTGTGGGGTGCCTCTGGCATGGACTCGCAGCCGCAATTCAGATCCATGATCCTATATCACCAGAATGCTCCTAGTTGGAACGAGATGCTGCGCCTCAGTGTGCCCATCGACAAGTTTTCCACGGCCCATGTGAGATTCGAATTCAGGCACTGCTCGACGAGGGATAAGACGGAACCAAAACTGTTTGCCTTCAGCTTTGCCAGACTGATGGACACCGGAGGAGCCACTCTAGGTGATGGCCAGCACGAGTTGTATGTTTACAAGTGCGAGGATCCCGCAAAGCTTCAGGCATCCAACTATCTGCGGTTGCAGTGCAGACCACGGGATGCACAGGCCAAGATGGATTGTGGCGGCTGCTTCAGTCGCAGCTCCAAGGAGGTGTTCGTCTTGCGCTCCCTGCTCTGCTCCACGAAACTGACCCAGAATGCGGACCTTCTGTCCCTTCTGCAATGGCGTACATATCCCGAAACGATCCAGGATTCACTGACGGGAGTCCTGCGATTGAATAACGAAGAGTTGGTCAAGTTCCTGCAGGATGTGCTAGATGCCTTGTTTGCCATGTTCTCGAACGAGGAAGGCAACAGTACTCAGCACTCTGGACTGGTCTTCCATGTCCTGGTGAGCATCTTCAGCCTGCTGCAGAGCAACAAGTTCCAACACTTTCGTCCGGTGATGACCGAGTATATTGAGAATCACTTTGCGGCCGCTTTGGTTTATAAGGGACTCATTACCTCCGTAGAGCACATGGCCGTGTTTATGACCAAGGCAGAGCACCCCGATCCCTTTCAGAAATGTTTTGGTTCCCTGGAGTATATATTCAAGCTGTTAATTCAGTCGAGGAAGCTCTTTGCAAGGGCTACAGGTGGGCAGTATGAGGACTCATTCCGAAGAGATCTCCACTCCCTTTTCACGGCCCTTAATGGAATGCTGGCTGTACCATCGTACGATGTAATTATTCCTACCCAGGAGGCCCTGCTTAATTCGACGGGAGTGGTGCTGGAGCAGCTGAAGGACACGCTGCCAGCTCCGGAGTTGGGCATGCTGGCGAGGAATATGTTAGATGCCATTCCCCGGGGAGCTCCCATTCGGCTAATTCAGGCGAAACTACATGCTGTCAAGGATCTCGTGTCTGGGGAGTTATTCCATGAGGATGGTAAGTGTCATTATTCAATGAAGTTTTCTTTTTAAACTTATAATTGATTTCAGATTCTCGGACTGTTGTCCTATCTGTGGCCTGCAAGCACCTGCGCATGCATCTCAGTCGCCGTGATGAACTGCGTCTGTGTGCCGAGATTTTGTCAGAGATTCTTAGCCAACTGTACGATCTGCAGAAGGAGCAGCGCGACAAGGTGACCAACACTCTTCAGCATGATCTGGACTCGCTATGCAAGAATATACTGGGCATACTGATCCGTACTATCAGCATTATAATGGAGGGATCGAATGCAGTGCTGCCTCAGTTGGTGTCTTGTCTTCTGGGGTTGTTGCAGCTGCTAGACGAGACCCATTACAAGCGGTACTGGGACGAGCTGAGTCCCAACAAAGATCCCCGTGATCTAAAGGAGTTCCTGAGCAAATCCCTGCTAGTATATGAAGAGCTGTTGACCCAGGACTGGCACGTGTTTCCCAACGACTGGCTTGTGATGAAGCTGGCCGCCAACGATGTGCTGCGAATGTCGCTGGAGGAGTTCGCCAAGCCACTGGTCTACAGATTCTTGGGGCCCCAGGCCTTCGACTCGCAACTGTGGTGGAGCTATTTTAGTCTGGCTGTTGCCTTTCTGACACAGCCCTCCCTGCAGTTGGAGCAATACAGAGAGCCCAAGCGGCTAAAGATACTTCATTCGCATGGGGACATGCGGGTGCTCATGGGCTTCCAGATACTCAGCATGTGGTCGCAGCTGGGCGAGCAAAAGCTGCACTTTATTCCCTCGATGGTGGGTCCGTTCCTGGAGGTCACATTGGTACCAGAGCCAGCATTGCGAAAGGCCACTCTCTCTGTCTTTTACGACATGATGCAGTGTGAGCAGGTGGGTTGTTGGGCTTTTATCGTCTTAACAAGAGATAATTAATGTAAATGTGCTTGAGCAGGCTGCCCGTGGTTCATTCCGGCTGGTTGAGAGCGAGCTGATTGACAAACTGGACCTGCTCATCAGCGAGAACAAGGGTGACGACGAGTACAGGGAGCTATTCAGCACCATGTAAGTTACGAGACATGATTTCTTTTACTGCTATAAATTGTACATAAATGTTTGTAAATGTCTGTAAATATATATATGACTCACTTCACACTCATTGCAATCGCCATCCATAAAAAGGGAACATCTCAGCTTTGTGTAAGTTTAACTCAGTGTAATTTTTCCTTTGCCTTAAATGTAGTTTTTCCGCTAGTCTCTATTAGTCCTTTTGTTGTGTATTTATTTTGTTTAAAAATCTTACCATTTAACGATAGTTCCTTTAATAATTAATTTTTATGTATGCTGTTAGTTTGCTGGAAAAAGTCCAAGTGGAGAACCCCAACTGGAAGGATGCTGGCATAGCTTTCATAGCCTCAGTCACCCGACTCTTGGAGCGGCTTTTGGACTATCGCAGCGTCATGCAGGGAGAGGAAAATCGGGATAAGCGCATGACCTGCACTGTTAATCTTCTTAATTTCTACAAAAAGGAAATCAATCGAAAGGAAATGTATTTAAGGTGAGTCTATTAAGATGCAATTTATCCTTACTATTGATTTTTATTTGAATTTGCTGCCCCACAGATACATTTACAAGTTGCATAACCTGCACTTGCAAGCCGAGAACTACACAGAGGCTGGCTTTACCCTGAAACTATATGCCTCCATGCTGAGTTGGGATCGGGAAACCCAGAGCTTTGCGCCCTTTGACAACAGTGGTCAACCAGAGTGGCAGCGTAAGGAGCGACTTTATCATGAGGTAAGCAATTATTCCTGAGCTCATGAAGAATATATATTGATGTTTATCATACCTTTCAGATCCTTAAATACTTTGACAAGGGCAAGTGCTGGGAGAAAGGCATTCCGTTGTGCAAGGAACTGGCTCAGCTCTATGAAACACGACGCTTTGACTACAACAAATTGAGCGAAATACTCATTCAGGAGGCCAAGTTCTTCCAGAATATCCTTACTCAATTGCGACCGGAGCCGGAATACTTCCGAGTGGGATTCTACGGCATGGGATTGCCGCTTTTTGTTCGGGTAAGCTTTAATATTTACATATCCTTCGAAGTATTCCGACTTATGATTATTCTCCTTAATTTACAGAACAAACAATTTGTCTACCGTGGACTGGAGTACGAGAGAATCGGAGCCTTTACCCAGCGTTTGCAAACAGAGTTTCCCAGTGCGCAGATCCTAGGCAACAACAGTCCACCGGATAATGCAATTCTAAATGCTCCAGAGCAGTACATACAGATCAGCAACGTTAGGCCAGTTGGAGATGCGCAGGCCCTGAAGACCGCAATGGTTCCGGTGCCAGAAAAGATAGCCCGTTTTTATGAGGTCAACGATGTGACTCGGTTTATCTACGATCGTCCCATGTACAAGGGAACCGTCGACAAGGACAATGAGTTCAAGTCGTTGTGGATAGAGCGAACAATCCTTGAGATTGCTAGTCCCCTGCCAGGAATCCTACGCTGGTACGAGGTGAAACAGAAGACAATGCAGGAGCTGACGCCGGTGGAGTACGCCTGCGAGATAATCAGCAATGCTGGCAAGGAACTCTCCGAGTTGATTGTGCAATACAAACGGGATCCGAAGAGAAATATTAATCCCTTCTCCATGCGTCTGCAGGGCACAATCGATGCCAATGTAATGGGCGGTATTAGCAAGTATCAAGAGGCCTTCTTCTCCGAGCAGTTCCTCAAATCGCCTCAAGGTGCTGGCCAGCAAGCAAATGTTCAGCGCCTAAAGGTTTTGATCTTGGAGCAAATACAGATTCTGGAGCAGGCCCTCGAGCTGCACGGCCAGTTGGCGCCTAGTGGTGTGCAACCTTTGCATAATCGTCTTTTGGAACGCTTTTCACAACTAAAGCAGAGTTTATCCGGCATGGGAAGGCTGAAACGACAGCACTCAGAGAGCATTGTGAACACTCCGTTGCCACCTTTGCCCACGGAGCAGCGAGCAGCCCCGGCAACAGCTTCCTCCAGCTTGAATGCAAATTCGCATGCCAACTATGTGTATGATTTGGACGAGATCTACACGAGACCGGGAGACACTTTACGACCCGTGGACCCTCTCAGTTCTTATCAAACACTAAGTAAAGAGAGCCTCAGTATTCCTCTGGAAGATAGTGCAGCTCCACCGGTACCAAATCGCCCACGTTCGCAGAACTTTGTGGGAAATGGATCCATGGATAGCCCTGAAGTTCCACCCAAGCGACAGCCAACGGTGAATTCTCCCAATGCCCCACCGTTGCCCCCACGAGGAATTACGCCGGATAAGAGAGCATCGAATCCTTTGATTTTTAATGACTTTGGCACCGGTGATGGAGTGGGACGTCGACACTCTCAACAACAGCAGCATCATGGTCAGAAATACTCCGTAGTTGATATAAGTTACGATGATCCTGAGGCCGATCAGCAACCGCATTCGCTACCTCCGAACTTCCAGGATGGAAGTGGGGGACACTTGAGCGTATGCTTTGCACCAAATGATTTCCGGGACTCCGGCATCTCGACGACAAGCTCTAGGGAACTAAATCACATGAATCTCAACAACCTCAGCGAAGACTCATCATCGATTTCGGCCATCACAGTGCAGCATCGGGAGCACTGTCGCATCAGCAGCAATGGAAGCTTGGATTATAATGCCAGCGCTTCTATGAATATTACACAGCGCGAGAGTTCGACTAGTTCGTTCGACGTGGAGGATTTTCCAGTGCCACCGCCGCCGATTCCGCCGAAGTCATTGGCCGTGTCGAGCAACGGGGTGACCGTTGGAGGCGATGAGGCGCATTCACCGCATCCCAGCACACAAGCGCACAACACACAACTCAATCACAATCAGAATCAAAATCATTCCACAAACACTCACCATCATCATCAGCAGCAGAATGGAGATGGCGATGGTTATAGCTCTCTGCAGCACCAGGTCAACGGGCTGGGTTTAGCTACTCTGCCTCCACCGCCTGCTGCTGTCGAAGCTCCTCTGCCGGCATCCGCAATTGCTTCATCTTCATCTAGTCATCAGCACGATGGCGGCACTTTTTGAGTTACAATATGTCGCTGCCATCATCCACCCGATCAGCCTCATCAGCCACATAAGCCATCCTCATCCACATCGACTTCGGACAGTACGGCCACGGATACAGCTTCGGAATCTACGGAGTCCAGTTCGTCTACGCACTCGATGACGCCGCCACCGCCTCCTCCGCCGCCGCCGTCATCATTCAGTCAGTTCCATACGCAGCTGGCAGCTACACCTCACTACTGCCAGGACTGTCTGTCCTCGCCATCGCCACCGCCCACGATCATCACAGAGCAGGCACAAGTGCATGCCACGCCTGGACTGGCAACGCCGCAGCCACACATTGAGCACTGCTCCTGTGGACTAAGTTTCTCGGTGATGCAGGATCAGCAAGATCAGATTGCTCCGAGGCTGCTTACCTCCAGGTTCTCGACGCTGGAGAGACAGTCCGATGGCTTTCAGGTGGAACAGGTTACCGGCTGCCAGCATCATCATCACCAACAGAGTCCGCTCTATCATCTACCCCAAGGCAGCCAGGATGCACATGCTCAGACGGATTTCACCTACGCGCAGCGCTAAAAGTTAGATCCATAGACCAAGTGAAGGAGTCCTCGCGACCCACAGAGAGTGAGATTGAATTTCGCTTAGTTATTAATATTATTTTGTACCTTTGTTTTTAGAAATGCTCTCTTTTTAAACTACTTTTACTCAAATTATTTTTGGTGCCAAATTTTTGCTGCAAGTCCAAAGCGCAATATAAACAAATGTTGTAATGATATAGGTTGCTTAAACAATTTTATTAATTTTAATATTAATTTAATTTTATATCTGTATTTATACGGGGAATTGTCGCTAAAGTTACTAAGAGGAATATTTTATTAAGAGAATAAAGAGGAAAACAATTTTTATAACGAACGAGAATATCAAACACTAAAACCAAAATACAGAACGCTAATCAAAAGAAGGTCAACGCAAAGTATATATACACTGAAAACAAAGCAGGACACCGACAAAATGTGCAATGCAGTTTTTACTTTAACGAACATAGCCATATACAGAACATTATAGATATATACACGACTACTACAGATATACATATATGTGCGAAAAGCAATTAGGAATTTTAAAGTGCTACTAGCTTCATAACGAATCAGATAAGTTTTCCATTTTTGTAAATTTTTTAAATAAACGTATTTATATAGAGTCTTCGTGCATGTATGTATCTGAATATACTTTAAAACGCGCAGCAATCAAAAGCGTTAAACTCGTATTAAAACAAACTAATCATAAACTACAACTAGTCAACAACTCGAATAAACATTGATTATTACAAAAGGAAAGTATAAACATATTGTCTATAAATGCATGGCGCGAATATATGAATTTACTAAAGAATTTAATAAAGTATAAACACAAAAACTGTTCTTTTCGTCAAACTAAAAGCAATTTAAAACTTGGGATTTAAACTGAGCCAGAGCTGCCAACTCTCTTTCTTCAGGGATGGTAAAAGCTTTACCAAAGCGCCACCTGGCGGCCTTGTCACACAAGGTGATTTTCAAATTCAAATTAAAAGACGTTATGAGTGACTTTCTTTTGCTCATTAAATACTCTTTTAATGTTTATTAACCTTCTCAGAAAATCATTTTACATTATTCGTATAATTGTCACTTACATCTAGCAGCAACTTTAAACTTAAAGCATTGAGTCTGCCTATTATTATTGCTTTGTTTGTTTGAATTCGTTTGTTAGCTTACGTTTCACTTGTTAGATTTGCTCTCTCTCGCTGACTCCTTCTTACATTCGAGGGGAGGGGGTGGTGTAAATTATTGACACTACTAAAACGCTTTACTCATAATTGTTCGCATTGCTAGGATTAAAATAGATCGACGCTCAAAGGTTTTTTGCTATCGTATAGTTAAGTTTGTTGTATACCTGCCCTAATGCTTATCACCTAGGGTACTTGTAGTCGTTATAAATATTGCGGTTTCTAATAATATTCAATACTCTGGGGAGCTCAATAAATACTTGAGGTTAATATTGCGCAATCAATTGACATAAATGATATAAACCCAATTCATATCGAACATTACTACGTATGTATGTACGTGATTCGTTGCAGTAGCGATTTGCCAGAAGATTGTATTTTTGTTTTCACACTTGTCCAACTTGAATACAGGTTACTAACTAACTACTACTGGCAACAACTGAGTGGTTGGTTGGTTGGTTGAGTTTCGTTCACAACTATGCACAGATTGGAGCATCGAATAGGCTTACACTACCACTAGCTTGCCAAAAATTAACAATTTGCATATCTAAAAAGTTCAACTAGGAAGAGATTAGCTTATAGGTGTTCTTATTGTAGAATTTGTCGACGAGGTACAAAGTTATACATACGAGTATTTGAAAATAAGATGTGTTGTCGTAAGCACAATGAGGTACATGTGTATCAACATCATTCAAATCATCATTACAATTACTCATTATTCATTTATCCAGCCATTTATCCAGCCATTATTGCAACTGTATAATCAAGAGTTTAGCGTGAAAATCCGAAGACTTGGTTCCGAACCCATCCTGACATCCTTTCGTTCGTCTCGTCTCCGTAATTATATAACCTTAATGCTTAATACCACAGTCGAAGTATGTACTATATGTAAATACACACATACAGTTCATATATGTATGGCCTATACCTACACCTAGATATACATATGTATATTGTTACTGCAACAGCATCGGCGCTCTCTTATACACGGTATATTCAAGAAGCGTTCATCTTCAATGGATGTCTATCTAGTCTCATCCGGGGATTTCAGCTCGTCTCCTCCGCCAGCCGATAGGAGCGATCAGGGCACGGATTAGATGCGTCCGAGCCCGTCGTCTGGCCAGGATTATCCAAGGCAAGGGCAGCAGCACCAGCGGCAGCAGCCAATAAGCGGGTCATAGCTCCACGTGCCCCAGAGCCTGTTCAGTGGCATTGGCTGCGGTGTGACAGGTCTGCGTCGACATCCACTCGAAGTCCTTAATGGTGGCCTACAAATAATAAATAACAACTTTATTATATAAGACTACAGGAAAGTAAAGTAGAATCCACCTTGTGCATGGAGTAAACCGCCACCACGACCAGTACATGCATTATGTTGTGGGAGTTCAGATAGAAGTCCACCACTCCGGGGAACCATTTCTCAGGGATTCGCATCGCTCCGATTGCACCGCCCAATATGGAGACACCGTCCTAGAACAAAGGGTTAGCCAAAAGATTAGCGGGGACTGATTGGGGAAGCGGGATTCGTGTTATGTGTCCGCCAGTAAAATTAGTTAGCGGCTCTGTCCATTTACTCGAATGTACATATGTATGAAAATGTGACTTACAACTTCAACCTATGCGCACCGAGAGAGGCCAGCCAAAAACGTATAGTTATAGAAAATAGCAGTTAGTCAATCGGAATGCCTGGACATACGCACCTGCAGGTAGACATGGGAAAGGGCCATGTGGCTGCCGCCCACCATTCCACGGATGCGCAGAAAGGTCAGGATGGAGCGCATTGCGAAGGGCAGAGCGAAGCACAAGCGACGCTGCCAGGGTGAACTGGCAGTTAGAGCCTGTTGGGATGGCGATAAGAATCAATTTGGATAGGATATATCTAGATTAACTAAAGATCTCACCTTATAGAGGCCCCACAGCGAGAGCACGCAATAGGAAACAATAATCAGCCACTTGAGTACGGGTGGGAAACACAAAGTGGTGGCTGTGACCAGGGGAAGAGCACCTGCAACAAAAATAAATCGGAGAGCGGAAGAGATAGTTAGCACACAGAGTCTGTCCACCGATAAGGCGGTTCAGTCGGAAAACAAAGCTCTAACGCGATGGACGGTCTCCCAGTTTCCGCTTGCCTAATCTTTATCACCTTGATGGTCGGTTCATCAGCCATGCAGGGTGGATTTTTCAAGGAGCTAACAACGCCGTTAGGACAACAGATCATGCGCGTTGCCAAGTCTGCGGAGATGCGATCCTTTATTGACGCGGATGTGAATCCCTGTGATGATTTCGATGGCTACGCCTGCGGCAATTTTCGGAAGATAAATGCGGCCACTGAAGAGAAAGACAGCAATTTTGATCTGCGAATGTTTGACAATTATCGGCGTCGGGTGAGGCAGTTGCTCAATGAGCCCCGGATAAGCACAGATCGGCCAATGGAGCTGCGGGTTAAGTATTTCTATGAGTCCTGCCTGGACACGGCGGCATTAAGGACGAAACAGCGATCCCATCTATTAAGTGTTCTGAGGGAATTTGGTGGAATGCCGGCAGTTGAGGGTAAAGAGTGGGACTACGCTGGCTTCGATGCTCTTGAGACAATGGCCCAGCTTCTACGCCGCTATGGAAAGTTGACTCTACTAGGTGTCTATGTATCTCCGGATTTCTCCAATTCCCAAATGAATCGCCTATATCTGGGTCAGCGAGACGGAATGATTTTCGACTATGTTTATCACCTAAGGTTGCAATTACAAAATCTTCTCGGTCTCTCGAAAGAGCAAGCCGAAGAAACGGCTAATGAGATTTTCGAGCTACATATACAACTTTCGCGTAGTGTCCTCGAGCATGGAAAGCCCCTAGATCCGCGCCTGAAGAATCACCTAACCACGCTGTCCAACATTAGCGAAGCAAATGGGCCCACTCTAAACCTAACTCGCTTTGTGAGCACCTGGTTGGGTCACGAATACAATCTCCCAGTGTATGAGTCCGTACCCATCTACCTCTTCCAGTTGAAGAACATTCTATTGAGCACTCCCAACCACGTGCTGGCCAACTATATGCTGTCCACTTTGTTAGCAGATTTCGATATCGATATTGATAAGGATAAACAGGAGGAGATATGTGCCGAGAAGATCACTGAACTCTTTCCCGCCGTAATCGATCATTTAGTGTACCATTCATTGGAGCAGCAAAGCCCTCACATGGCCAATGAGCTAAACAACTTATGGGTGGAACTGAAGGCCTCATTCGAGGAAATGCTGAGCTCTCCGGATCTTAAATGGCTGGAGGAACAGACGCGGAAGGAATTACTGGAAAAACTTAAGAGCATGTCCTTCGAGATAGCCGGCAGTCAGGCGGTGGATTTCGAGGAGCGGTATGGCGCTCTAGTGGTCAGCTCCGCCGATTACTACGGTAATGTTCAACGGCTGCTGGAAGTTAAAGCCAGTGATCTTCGTGCAGATCTGATGCGGGAATCCAGGAAAAGAAATTTCTACAAAGACGTGATCGAAAGTCCAGTTTACATAACCGAATCTAATATGGTGGTTCTTCCGACTGCTTATATGCAGCAACGCTACCTCTGGGATGACGTTTATCCGGCTGCCTTCAAGTACGGCACGCTCGGCCTTTTGCTTAGTCACGAAATGGCCCGGGGATTCGACGAAGTGAACCGGCTCTTCGACAGTAAGGGAAATCTAAATGACAGCTGGAGCCCCCAGACCAAAATGAGCTTTGACGTGATTAAGGGTTGCCTTGCGGATCAGTTCAGTGGGATGTGGTACGGCGACAGGCCATTGCCAAAGTATGAGTCGCAAAGCGTGACTATAGCAGATAATGTGGGTATACGAATTGCTCAGGCAGCGTACTGGAAGTGGTTGAAGCAATTGAAGACCCAGGATACAGAGAGCCTTCCACATATGACGCAGTCGCCGGAACAGCTCTTCTTCCTTAGCGTGGCCCAGTCCATGTGCGCGGATGTAAATGAGTATAGCCGGGCCGCCTTTGCTTTGGACAGTGACTATCCACCGAATGAGTGTCGAGTTAACGCCATGATGACCAATAGCCTAGCCTTTGCCGAGGCCTTCCATTGCAGTAACAAGACCCACATGAATCCCCCATCCAAATGCACAATGTTTTAATATTCGCCTTGTCTATCAGATGACGCAATGTCTATATATAGTTATTAATTAAATATTTCCGCTTCCCAAGCAATGCCTGTGTTTCAATGGGGCACCTACATACATAAGACTTATTGCGTAGCTATAGCGATCGTACTCACCAAAGCTCTGGCTCACCCAGATGCCGACCATGTCCAACTTGAGCAGAGTGTAGTAGACGTTCTCGCCCTTCTCGATGTTCATGAACAGGTGATAGACGAAGCTGCCGCACCACGGAGCCACCGATCCGAATACGTGACAGAATGACAGAAACTTGTAGCCACTGTCCCAAGGCATCAGTCCGGGCACAATGGCCAGGATGTAAAAGATGGGTATTGCTGGAAAAACAACAAAATTAGAGCTATCTTAATTTTGGACTAAGAAGATATAGTTATACCAATAAATATGGGGATTTTATCGGATAGGTTTGATACAAAAGAGTCATTCACCAGACAAGCAAATACCCTATTAAAACAAGTTTAGTCTACCGCTGGGGAGATAACAGATTGACCTACCCCAGCACTCTGGACATTGTATAAACAAATCCCGCTGATAAGGTGGCCGTCACCGATCGAGAGCAATTGAAAATTAGTTGAATTCAGCGCGAGATCATGACGAGTTCGGTGCTGTGGCTTTGCCTGTTGATGGCAACTGTTCCAGTTTTGGCCAAGCCAGCAAGTACAGATGACCCCTTTGCAGATGACTTGACCTCGGAATACGCCAAGAAAATTGTAGTCCAAGCAAAAGCTGCCGAAATGAAGACCATGATGAAGCCAGAGATATCGCCCTGCGACGACTTTTACACCCATGCTTGCGGAAACTGGCATCGCCATAATCCCGCCCAGCTACTAGGCGACATAATGACCGACACGTTCCAAGTAATATCCAAGGGATTCAACCGACGCCTTCTGCGCTTGCTGGGTTCCAATGACCTTCAATCCGAGCTAGAGAAAAAAATGCAGCGTTTCTATTTGTCCTGCATGATGGTGCATCGCGGTGATGTCCACTACAAGTTGGCTCTGGAGAACGTTCTTAAGGAGTATGGAGAAGTGCCGTTTGGTGCCCAATCGAACTCCTCCGATTTCAGTTGGTGGCGAAGAGTAGCTGAGATCCAGCATAAGTACGGCAAGCAGATTATCCTTGGAGTGGATATCATGAGCGATGTAAGAAACAGATCCATAAACCGCGTGTACCTAGGTCGACCAGATACAGGTCCGGGCATCCAAACTACAATTTTAAATATTCTTGAGGAGATGAAGACATCCACCGATCTTGAACAATATTTTGGGTTAAGCGTCTCGGATGCAAAGCACATAGCCCGTCAGATTAAAGAATTAGATAAAAGCTTGTCAAGTTTTAATTCAAATGCAGAATCTTTGGACGACGCTCTCTCCCTTTACACGCTGGCTGAACTTCAAGAGAAGTATAGTGACTACCTAAACCTAACTGAGTTCTTGGGTACAGTAATCGGAGAGGAAAACCTTCCGGAGGACCTGTACGTCAATGAAGAGGAGTATCTGGAGAACGCGCTTCTTATAATGCGAAGCACACCACTAGCAGTGCAGGTCAATTACATCATGTTTAAACATCTTGAGGAATTCCTGGTGGACGCCAAGTCTAACGAAATGACCACATGGTGTACCGAATCAACCAAAAAGTACTTTGACAAGCTTTCCGAGCACGCGGTATACGAGCGATATCGCAGCCCGGACACAGAGTCAGAAGTATTCAGAATCTGGGATCAGATTAAAGGCCTTTTCAGGCAGCAGCTTTTGGGCGACAAATTGGATTGGATATCCAATGCTACTCGGGAACTGGCCATCGATAAGTTAGACCACATGTATCTAAACATAAATTCCTACGACAAGGAGAATTTCGAAGAGCTGTTTGGGGAGGTTACCATTGATAGACTTAATTATGTACCGAATGTCCAGCAGCTGCTTATTGCTAAGACCAGGCGATTTCTGGCAAGGATCAAAGAGCCAGCCCGTTCCATGGAGAACACTGAGATTGTCGGCTTTACGCCCGCTTATAATATCCTGGAGAACAATATCACTCTTCCAGTGGCACTGTTGCAGCCACGCTACTTTTGGGGTGACCAGTATCCGGAAGCGTTGAAGTACGCCACTTTGGGTTACCTGCTCGGCCACGAGATGCTCCACGGCTTCGACGACGATGGTTCGCAATACGATGCTGGAGGTAGCAAGGGAACATGGTGGGACTCCAAGTCGCTCTACCAATACGAGGAGCGTCGCAAGTGCTTCCAAGCGCAGTATCACGAGTACAAGTACGGAGGATCGGAGCTGCCAGACAGGAAGGACCAGTCGGAAAACATAGCAGATAATGGTGGGATCAAGTTGGCCTACGCAGCCTATGACCTCTGGCTGCGACAGCAATCTGAGGAAGTGCGTCAACGAGAGACCCTAGAGGGTCTGTCATACAACAGTCGCCAACTTTTTTTCGTAGGATTCGCCCAATTGTGGTGCGACGATGTCCAGACGTTCTTTAAGTCCACTGTTTCCCAAGGCGACAATTTCAGCAGGGATTGCTTGTCCCGGAAGTTCTCGTCGGCGTCATTGCATAACAGCTGGCTGAATGTTAGGAAGAACAGCCTTCGGGAACTGAGATTAAGATGTGGCAGTGATTCCGAGCCCAAGAAAGATGGGTCCAACTCTCCTAAGTATCTTTTGTAAGCGTGGTAGGCCACTTGAATAGCCAGATTGTCGGCTATGTTTTCCGCCTGCAGATCACTCTCCGGCAAATACTGTCCATTGAGCCGTAGTCGGCCATAGTGCTCTTTGAAGCATGCTTTCCGCTTGGCATACTCGGCAAATGATTTGCCATCCCATTTGGAGGCATCTTCCAGGCTGTGGGCCAACTGTTGGGCCAGTAAAATGCCGAGGCTGCCGTAACGCACGGCCTTGGGATAGTAACGGGACCACAGAAAGTTTGGTTGAAGCAATGCCACTGGAAGCAGGACTATTTTTTCCACAGGATTGTAGGTCATAGATGTCTCGGTCTTTACTTTGGCCCTTAAACTCTGTTGGTTTAGTACGGTCTTAAGATTGTGAAGATAATCCCGTGGCTCTAGCTTTAGTAGCTCATAACGCTGGGTAAAATTAACATCTGCGTATCCATTGATCACTAGTCTGGTGGTATTCAGCTGCTCCATCAGTTGTTCTCGCGTCTCCGAAGTCAACCAGTCAGCAGAAGAGTTTTGAAGTAAGCCCCGAAAGCTATCCTGGATCTGCTGCCAGACGCCGTTTATATCGCTGAGGGTATCTGCATCTCCATACTGCTTGAATACCATGTTGTCAAGGAGTTCAGGAAAAAGGGCTCTCACTCGGCTAACACACTGTTCCACCACAGATCCCGACCTCTCATAGTAGAAGTGCTTGAGAAGCTCATTGAAGATATAGTTGGCCACCACGTGCGGCTCAAAGTCCGCCATTAAGACAGCCAAGCCTTTAAGATAACTAGGCACATGCTCGTAGAGAGTCTCGTTGGCTCCCAATTCGCGATCAAGAACAGTTTCAGCATACCGGGTTAGATTAGCTGTTTCAAAATCGTGTTCATCCGAGCCATTGAGGGGACGCAATATGGACATAGATCCAACTCTGTAACTAAACATACTGATGCTAATCAAATTCTCGAAGTCTGCGATTTCTCGAGCCGTTGTCTTGGCCAGCTTTGGATCCACTCCCAGGTGGCGCTCCAGCTGATCGGCTATGACATCAGCTGCAGCCTGTGGACTGGCCTTCCGAAGAATCTGTTTCGGCTGACCCACATAGATGCGATCCGCAGTCAACTGGAAAAGCAAAATTATATCAAAGCCGTACTTTCGCTTGATCTGTGCCACAGTGTTCAACCAATCAAACTCTTCGCCTGGCCACTCCTGACCCAAAGGGCTCAAGACGGGCATCCGTCCGAATTCGGCAACAATTTCCTGCAACCGACGCTGATAGAGATCCTCTGATGTTTGTCGGAACAGCAGACAGCTGGCATAGAACTCTTTGAGTCGGAGAACAGCCACATCGTCCGTTTCCTCATTCGCCGGCTGCTCCATCAGACGCTGCTGTTTGTGGCGATATGCCTTGACCAGCAACTGCTCCAAGTTGGTCTCCCGCGGATAGGCATCGTTGGCCGGATTGATCTGCGGCCAATTTCCGCAGCTGTACTCGTAGAAGTTGTCGCAGGCCTCCACTTCAGGATGCATATAGCTGCGCATCTCTGCAGACTTGGATAGGCGCATCAAACGCTGGACATAGGCGGTATCATTGTTCTGAGAGATTAGTTGCTCCTGTGCCTGGATGCGAAGGTCGATGGCCGGCTGACCTGCCAGCAGGTGGCCTCGACCACTTCCCACCAGCAGCAGCAGACTAAATGCTATAGCAATGTTCTCCATGTCGAACACTCCGAGGGCAACTGAACAGCCAGCTCTGTGAGACGCACTTCCGCAGCGGCTCTCTGTGGCTGAGATTAAGATTAAACTACACCGAAAAAAAAGCTGACCTTGGTTGATAAGCTTCAAATAAAATTTCAATGTCGTATTTAACTTATTATTTCTGAAATATCTTTTCACTAGAACCTTAAAGTTGGCTTTCAGTTATAAATTATTTTGATTAAACCCAAACTTAAAAAAAATGATCTCGCTAGAGTTAAGATCAATATTTTAGAAGCAATTTAAAATATATATTATAAATTGTTGTTAGTTTTTTTTTGTAATGATTTGAGTGCAGAGCGAAGTGGAAGTAGATGCAGCGGCCACAGCTCTTTCTTATCATCCGCTCAGAAGTTGGTTTGATATTCCAATAGCGAGTTAGTGGGGAGCGCGTGATTGGAAAACAGCTCACTTCGACGTTTAATTACTGAGATGAATAATTGGCTGCTAGTTATTAGTGTCGGCTAATTATTAGCATATTTTATATTTGTTTAGCTGGCATTACAAACACATTCAATATTATAATATTCTATAGTATATTCTGTTTACTAATATAGTATGATTCTACTAAAATGGAATTCCTTAAGTCCAAATTCCTTGAATAATCTGAATTTATTTTATTTATAATCATTTAATTTGACACATATTTTTGGGGAACAAAAATGAGTCAGAAGAAAGATATTCGTGATTCAACAAAAGAACAGCATAAAAGTTTAGTCGAATAGTTCAAGTGAAGTGAAACACAACGTAATGAATCTGCTCAATATTTTTATTACTGCCCACGTCCTCACAGCCCTGGTCCTAGCGGCGCCCCCCAACGCGGTTAATCTCAACCAGGACACCCCCTATATTAAGGAGCTGCTGCGACAGGCCAAAACTGCAGAGATCGAGAGTTTCATGGACCAAAATATTGATCCATGTAGCGATTTCTATTCCTTTGCCTGCGGCAACTACGATCGCATTAACTCAGCATCTAACTTGGGGGTTATCTCTACGGGATTATTAGAAACAATCGCTAAAGGGTCTGTTCGGAAGATTTTAAAGATGCTCAACACGGCCCATGATGACTATGATACTCCGGAGGATATTCAGGTGAAACACTTCTACGAGTCCTGCCTAAGGATCAAGGAGCTCAACTCCACGTACAGTGAAAAGCTCAAACGACTTATTGCTGAATTCGGAACCATGCCAGTACTCGAAGGCTCTTCATGGCAGGAGTCCGATTTTGACTGGCTCGGTACTATCGCACGCATATTCCATCAATATGGAATGAGAATCCTTTTCGGTACCGAAGTGACGGTTAACCTTGCAAATAACACGGAAAACGCGATATACATAACACAGCAGGTCTTCCCCCTTGAATACCGGTCCATGTACATAGACAATGAGACGCTCACCTATCGTCAGAAATACCAATATAAAATTCAGAGCATCCTCCAGTCATTTTTAGGCGTACAGGCGGAGTTGGCAAGGCAGACGGCTAAGGAACTAATGGACTTAGAGGTGGATCTGGCCCAAGGACTAGTGGACGAGAACGACGGACTAGAACTGGGGGAGTTGGCGAAGCAACTGACAGTGGCAGATCTTCAAGAGAGCTATTCCCCCACATTGGACATCGATCGATTGTTATTTTTGAGTATCGGAGAGCGGGTTTCTGGTCAGATCTACGAATACAATAAACAGTATCAGGAAAATCTCGTTGAAGTCATCAAGCGTACGCCCAAGCGTACTTTAGCCAACTATATATTTTTCCGCCTAATTAGGGCATTTGTTAAAACACCTTCCGACAACCCAAAAAAACAGAAAAATGACTGCATTGATCTTACCAAGAAGTTCTTCCCCAAGAATATTGACAACATGTTCTACCGTCGCTACAACAACGATAAATCCTCCAGAGAAATCGATAACATGTGGCGTCTGCTAAAGACTACTTTTAACGAGTCTCTGCAGTCCAGTTCGGCACTGGACTGGATCGAGCGTCCCACTCGTGATCTGGCCATTGCAAAGCTGGAGGCCATGAAATTGGAAATCAATAAGTACGACAGTAACAACTTTACCGAAGAGTTTGCAAATCTTAATCTGCAAGGTCCAGATTACGTGGAGAACGTTAGGCAGATAATGTTGCTACGTACACGGCAAATGCGGGAGATGCTTCACAAGCCGGCCAAAAAAGTGGAGATTTCCGAAGATATTAGTTTCTCGCCCTGCTATATCGGGCTACTGAACACTATCCAGATGCCAGTTGCCCTGCTAATGCCCTTTTATATTTGGTCTGATGTCTACCCCAACGCGCTGGTGTTCGGATCCTTGGCCTCAATGATCGGACACGAGTTAATCCACGGGTTCGACGATAGTGGGCGAGGGTACGATGCCAAAGGAAATTTAAAGGATTGGTGGGACGAAAAGTCAATCAGCAACTTTGCAAAAGGCCAAAAATGTTTTACGAGACAGTATGGCAAGTATGTGTACGATGGGATCCAGCTGAAGGAGTCCACTTCGCAGTCGGAGAACATTGCGGATAATGGCGGTATGCGGTTGGCATACACCGCTTACCGGAAGTGGTATGACAACCAATTGGCGTTGCCAGTTGGCAGCCAGGCTCTTGCCAAGGAGACTCTGTCAAATCTGCCATACACCGCCAAACAGCTTTTCTTTATAAGCTTTGCCCAGACCTGGTGCAACGACGTGGATCCAAAGGAAAAGGCTCGCCTGGTCTCGACAGACACACATACGCCCGATAAGCTCCGTGTTATTGGAACATTATCGAATGACTATGAATTTGCAAAGGAGTTTAACTGCCCATTCGGATCCACGATGAATCCCAGGGAGAAGTGCATACTTTACTAAATGGTCGAGGTTTCAGATCTGAAATGCATTTGATGTATGGTTGTGAGGTTTTCCATCTCATAGTAGGCAAAGTTAGTAATAATTAAATCTGAATATAATTACCTATGTCCTTTTTTATGTTAGAATATATATAATTCAAATTTATTTATTTGTTAAATTTCCAAATAAACAAGAACCGAAAAACCCAAAAGAACAAAGAACAAAAGAACTATTTCTTAGCAGTGACTATTCGTCGTTATAAATATTCTTATTCTAAAATCAAAGTCATTTAAGTATTATAATATAAGGTTTGCGATTGAACGTCAGGGCAGAGTAGTAAACTACCTCGTCATTAATTATTGTACTCACGTGAATGAAAATATAAGGGAATACAATAATCGCATATAGAACAAACACAATGCATATATGCAACTTGAATTCCGTGGAAACATAGAAGCCGTTGTAAAATGTATGATTGCAAAGAGAGATGATTAGATAACAATTTGCCAGCTAATTGTAATCAGCAGCGAACAATTCAACCTCTCTGTATTGAGGAGAGCGGCCCATAACTAAGCCAGAGATAACCCCAGGGTCGCCTTTTGTTTTCCGAGAACAGAGGAGCGACTGGCTTCGACGGAGATGGCGATGAACTCATCAGATCAACTTACGCTCGACAGTCGATCATTGAAATTATAACGAAACACTACGCGATGAATCTGCTGTATATTTGGATTACTGGCCACGTCCTTAGTGCATTGGCTTTTGCGTCCCCTGCCAGCCAGAATGATCTCAATCAGGACACCCCTTACATCAAAGAGCTGCTGCGGCAGGCCAAGGCTGCCGAGATTGAGAGCTTCATGAACCAGAAGGCGGATCCATGCAGTGACTTTTACGCTTTTGCATGTGGCAACTATGAACGCATTAACTCGGCTTTCAGTATGCAGGTTGTTACCACTGGTGTTTTCGAGACTTTGACAAAAGGTCTCAACCGGAAAATTATTAAGATGCTCAACAACGGACATGATGACCACGATACTCCGGAGGACATCCAGGTAAAACACTTCTACGAGTCCTGCCTCAGAATCAAGGAACTCAACTCCACCTACAGTGAAAAGCTAAAACGACTCATTGCCGAATTCGGAACAATGCCGGTGCTCGAGGGCTCATCGTGGGACGAGTCGAGTTTCGACTGGCTCGGTACAACAGCACGCATGTCCCACCGATACGGAATATCGCCAATTCTTGGTGTAGAGGTGAATACGGACATAGCGAGCAATGATAGGAACCGGATATACCTGGGGCAGCAGGATTTTCCCCTTGAGGCACGGTCCATGTATTTGGAAAATGAGACGCTCATCTATCGTCAAAAATACCGCAACAATATCCAACGAACCCTGCAGCGATCATTGGGAGTAAAAATGGAACTTGCAAAACAGACGGCCAAGGAACTGCTCAACTTCGAGGTGGATTTGGCAAAAGGACTTGTGGACGAGAGCGAAGGTCTAGGCATAGAAAGTTTGACAGAGTTGATAACTGTGGCCGATCTTCAAAAGAGGTATTCCCCTATATTGGACATAGACCGATTAATATTTGTGAGCATGGGAGAGCATGTTTCTGGCCAGATATACGAATTCAATAAACAGTATCAGGAAAATCTAGTTGAAGTCATCAAGCGTACGCCGAAGCGCACTATAGCCAACTATATATTTTTCCGCCTCATCTGGGAATTTCTTGAAACGCCTTCCGAGAATTCGGAAAAGCAGAAAGAGGCCTGCGTGGACCTTACTAAGAAGATATTCGCAAAGAACCTTGACAACATGTTCTATCGTCGCTACAACAACGAGAAATCCTCCAGAGAAATCGATAACATGTGGCGTCAACTTAAGTTTACCTTTAACGAGACGTTGCGGTCTAGCTCGGCACTAGACTGGATCGAGCGTCCCACTCGTGATCTGGCCATCGCCAAACTGCAGGCCATGACTCTTCAAATCAACAATTACGCAAAGGATAATTTCACCGAAGAGTTTGCGGATCTTAATCTTCAAAGTGCCGATTACGTGGAGAATGTGCGACAGACAAGCCTTCTTAGTGCAAAGCAGATGCGGGAGATGCTTCACAAGCCAGCAAAACCATTGGAGGCGGGCTCACAGCTTAGCTATACACCTGCCAACATCCTGATTGAGAACACCATCAAGATTCCGGTTTCCCTACTGCAACCCTTTTACATTTGGTCCGATGTCTATCCAAACGCGGTTATGTTCGGAACATTGGCCTCGCTAATTGGACATGAGTTGATCCACGGTTTTGATGACAGCGGACGAAAATTTGATGCCAAAGGAAACACAAATGATTGGTGGGACGAAAAGTCAAGCAGCAACTTCCTAAAACGCCGAGAATGCTTTACGAAGCAGTATGGCAAGTATGTGTACGATGGGATCCAGCTGAAGGAGTCCACTTCGCAGTCGGAAAACATTGCGGACAATGGGGGTATGCGTCTGGCATACACCGCCTACCGGAAGTGGTACGAAAACCAGTTGAAACAACCAAATAAGGATATTTCCATGGAAACCCTACCCGGCCTGCAATACACTGCCAAACAGCTGTTCTTCATCAGCTTTGGCCAGATCTGGTGCAACGATGCGCATCCAAATGTAAAGAGCCTTCAAGTATCAACCGACCAACATATGCCTGGCAAGTTCCGCGTTATTGGTCCCTTGTCCAACTACGATGAGTTCTCCAAGGAGTTCAACTGCCCAGCAGGATCCCCAATGAATCCCAGTGAGAAATGTATTCTCTATTAAATGATTGACTTTCTTTTAAATTTTAATCTAAATGTTTGTATGTAAATGGATTTTATAGAATACAAAAAATAAATAAACGAAGAACCATTAATTTCGCATTTTAACATTTTCTATCACTCGTTCCCTAAAACAAAAAAAAATATTGAAAATTTGCAAAACATCAAATACGTAAATTTAGCTAATAGGACAACGATCAAAAATACCCATATTCCGCTGTGGGTAAATGCTATCTTTAGTTGTCCACTTTCTTATGCATGCCCAAGCCAACCTCAGTCAAGGTTCATTAGAAATGCCGACCTAATCTATTTACGTGCCTCAACTTGGCTTTGACCGTGATTGTTACGAGCTAAAAGACTGGGCCGGATCGATAAATGAGCCAGTGGTGACAGGTGGGCGGAAGAAGAAAGTGGAACTGTAAGCGGAAGAGAGAAGCAGGTGGCACTCACCATGTGTCAGTATGTTGATGGTCTCGTTGTGCCAGTAGAACAGACTAAGGAGGCAGCCCTTGAAGGTCTGCAGTGGCCTGTATCCACGGAGCACGTACGGATTGAACTGCAGATACGTGGGCATATCTTGCCAGGGCAGCAGCTGCACCACGTTCTCGCCGGATCCGGAACTGCTAGTTGAACTGGTACTGGGTACTTGTGGAACTGCAGCTGGTGGATGTTCTGTTGCCGTTCCCAAAGCCAATCCTGATCCTGACCCAAGCAAGGCAGACGTTGGCGTTGTGGAAGCTTTGGCGGAAGACGTTGATGATGTGGCGGGCAGATCCTGCTGAGTGGTTTCAGTAGATGCTGTTACTGTGTCGGGCGCCTCCTTGCCTTTCAGACCGTTCAAGGAGTGGACCTCCCCTTGGGCATTTGGGATACCTGGTACTGTTGGTTCAACGTGAATATCTCCAGGGGCGCGGGAAGGCGGTGTTGGTGGCGGCGTTAATGACATGGTTTCCACGGTACTACCCAGACAATCGCATCCAGTGGTTCCAGTGAGTCCTCCTGCTCCAATCCTGGTCTTTGTGGAGCTTCCGATGAGCTGCTGATCGGGTTTCAGGTCAACGGCGACTGCAGCGGCGGCGGCAGCAGCGGTGTCCATGCCTTGCTAATGCCGTTCGATCGTTTGCAAAATCGGTAGGGGTTTTGGTTTCAGTTCCAGTTCCGGTTCCGATTGCGTGGCCGTTTCCGTTTCCGGTTCCCTAGCTTGCCAGCTGAAAGCGAAAGCCAACGTCATCAATTATGGATCGTCTTTATGCGGCGGGCCAAGATGTGATGTGTTACGTATGTGTTTGCCAAAAAAAAGCACGTGCGAAAAAGAAAATGAAAACGAGACCAGGACAATGTCAACACACACATAGACTTATACCCACACACAGACACTCGCACAGCAGCCTCGTGACCCAAAAAGGCCTGCGCCATTTGCCAATGTATTTATGTGTGTGTGTGTAATTGAATATTCCATGCGAATCACGCGAGTCTCGGATTAGGCTACAAATACCAGCTCCCAGGTCCGGAAAAAAATCAATAAAAATACTCACTTCTGCCATGGGACGCGCACACACGTTTTTTGCTACCGAATCCTCTTGCCGAAACTTTGAGGACTAGGGATTTTGGGGCCTAGATTTCTGGACTGATGCTATGATGAGCAGCGTTCTCCACTCGAATTGCAACTATTTCGTGGGCGGGGCATAATATCTCTATCAATTATTCAGCCATCCGATCGGCTGTTGTGGGCGTTTCGCGGATGAAATGGAGTATATTCCAGAAAGATGGACCTTTTTTCCAGCGACAAAACGCGGGAAGTAGAGTCAAGGGGTATCCGCGCACACGACCGTTGGGACAGGCACGTCAGAATCTGACTGAGCGTGGGCACACGATAACGATACCGTTATTTTTCCTCGCGTATTGTTATGCAATTGAATGAATTGGACCCCGTATTTTTATTGGGCGCCAAAGCAGCGCAGGCGCAGTTCGAAACACGAGGCAGTCAGCTGTTTTCCAAATTAAACTTAGAAATTTTTACTTGGGTCTCCCAACGCATAAATTTGAAATTTTCGTTCGATTCGTTAACACCGTTTGGGACATAACCGTTTCAAATAGGTGGCATCCCTCTTTATCAGGATATGCAACAATTAATAGATATTTTCTGCGATGAAAAAATTTTGTTAGAATTTAAGTTCTTATCTATAATTCAAGCAACATTAATCGCATAATTTTTTTTCTATATTTTTTATCTAATTGCATTAATTTGCAACTTCATAATAGTTTGTAACTTGATTTAACCGCGTAAAATTTACCATTTCTACTGGATGAGCAGCACGCCGTTTCCAACACTGTTTAAATGCAGGCTTAATTGTTTGGTGGTCACACTGTTACGGCTAACAAAATTTGGTTTTAAAAATCCATCAATATTTCGTTTAAAAATCATTTAAAGTGTTGCATTAGGAAGTGCCAGTATTTTGGTTCGATTCATTTTTTATACGTCGATTTTATGTTCAGCAGGAAGCTGGTGGCTAGGTATTAAATTTCCTATTCTTTGAATTTTGTAAAGTTATTGCAATACAAGTAACCAGATTAAATGTAAAAAGAATGATGTAAAATTCTTTCGACTTGTGTAAAATGTAGGTTTTATAATTCATGGTAAGTAGAGTAAAAAAATACTGCAACAAAAAGATTAAAAATTAAGAAAAACTGGTCACACTATGTTATATAGTTAAATGCAATTCAATTTGATCCGTTGCAAATTCCCGCGTATAAATTGCATTAGTTGCAATACAGGCGTCTAAATAAGCATTCTAGTAAAATGGTTAACGTCAGGCTATAATCGAAGCGTCGAGATGCTGCTAGAGATGGATTACGCGAAGCAAACGTAAAAAGGCGCCAAAAGTGGTGATACGTGAAAACACAAACAAGAACCGGACTGAAACTCATACTGCTTGTGAATACTAATTCAAAAAAGGACAAAACCCATGCAACTACCCTCGATTAAGGACAAGCTCATGCACAACTGCAGCGTTCAGCAAGCGAAAGCGAATTTCTCCTGGCAATCGCTAACGCAACTTTTGCGCGGTCTGTGGCAGCGCTTGTATTTGCCCCGTTCGCCGTATTTGGCCCTGCCAGCGCCGCCCCTGACCACGCCCCCAACGACTACTGCGCAGCGAAGCGCCAACGAAGAGGTAAGACAGCTGAAAACCCAAAACAAGATATGAAAATGCTCGGTAGAGATAGCAGGAAAACGAAAAACAAGGTATCTAAAAAAATGCTACCTGTCCATGGGATTTGTGGCACCAATACGAACACAAAAACGAGCGTGCATGTGAACAGCTGATTACGCAGCACACCGCGTCCCTCAGGGATGTCGACTATCGCAAAAAGATAAAAACATTAGTTTCGTTTTTACAGTTTTAGCCGGTTTAGATACATCTAAACTTATTCATGTTTTCAAAAAAATATTTAAATTAACTGCTTTGGTTGTAATAGCTAAGCTAATAAATTACCTTAAAACTCTATTTTCGTTTCCGGCATTAAACCAATTTTTTTTCTGTTCTGAAAATTGTTTTGATATAAAGAATAAATTTGTTTCTCAAAAATTAAGAACAAAAATTGAATAAAGTGGAAACTAAAACGTGTACAAAACGTGTGTGGGGAAATGCGGCTGCGACCTCGGCAACCCTTTTGCGCGAGCACTTTGCAACACTATTGGCGAGAAGTATCCAACACTGCTTCACGTGGTGAATAAAATACCAAGTGACGTGAATTTTGGGAAAAAACGCAAACGCACATTATTATTTAGAGTGTGCAAAAATACTAGGCAACCCTTGAAGTAGACGCCAGGTTTCGCAGGACAACAATTGCATATCTAAAAAATTCAAAGATAAGGAGCAGCAGCAGCTGCATAAATAGCAACAACAACGGCAGCGACAACGACGCTTTGGCCAAGCAACAACAATACCAAAGTAAAGCGAGCCGAGCGCATACAACAAAAATCAATTTTCGCGCTTGTGAAAAAAATCTGCAGCAAATTGCAAGGTAGATGGGCTAATGGTTGTTCGCTAATTAAAATGCGAAAGTTAGTGATTTTTTTTAGCTTTTTATTTGTGGTTTGCTTTTCCAATGCACCAATACAAAGGCAAGCTATTGCAATTTGGTTAGGCGCTCGCGTGCCTGTGTATGCGTGTGTCTGTGTGCGTGCCAGCTGTATTCCGTACTGTACTCACCTCTTCGGTGGGAACAGCTGAAAGGGGGTGTAGGGTGTTAGGGGGTGTTCCCAGAGCTCACACCACACGGTTCATAAGTACATATGTATAGCTGTGTAAGAATCGTATAGTCCATAGGTATCTCTTATAGGTATCTTATAGGTATTAAAAACCAACTAATATAGTGTGTATACTATTTTTCAGATGCCCAGAACACGGAGACTCCACCACTCAAGGGATCGTTCCTCGGCGGGCACACGAGACAAGCGCCGACGACACGATACTGCCGATCATTCGCCACCCCTAGCTGAGGCACCATCGCCGTAAGTTCGCATGTTCATATGTATATTCTCGGATATTTTCGGGATGCTCTTCGAGCTGATCGACGGATTACTCATTACCCATTGGTACTCATTGTTTCCATTATTTAACTACAGGCCGCGCATCACCAACACACATCACACCAGATCGGCGGCCAAGCGAAGGCGACACGAACTCGATGCCAAAAAGGCCCAGATATCCAAGGAGCCCACGTAAGTAATCCGAATGGGTATGAATGGATTTGATATTCCATATGAATGGTTAAACATTCGGGAAATCGATTCTATTAAAAAGGAACTTATCCTTGCCAAACTTGTTTTTCCTTCAAAACGATGGCAATAGAAAAGTGTAAAAACTTTACGAGGAGTAGAAATGTTAATGATTCCCTTTACTGAGGTGTTCTGTAGCATATATATGTATATATGTTTGTAGTTAATACGATTTTGGGCGATCTTACGTATTAAGACGCATATTGCGTAGTACTGGTATTACAGAAGCCGAAATTCGTTATCTTTGAAAATGAATTGGCTTCCCTGTCAGAGGTAGTATAATCAATTCAAAGCGAAAGGCACATTTAGTTGGTCAATGGAAAGTAAGTTTAAATCCATTGCGAATTTTTAATTGCTCACAAGAAAATAAAAAAGAGCCAAAATGGAAACATAATTCACCCTTTAGAAAGGGTGAACTATTAACAGAAACTAAGGGATCTTAGGAAAACCTTATTTTGCTCATAAAATTATCTTCTATTTACGAAGTGTACTTCACCTGAGTGGCAAATACAGCTATGACTTCACATCTTCCTGTACAAGAAAAGTGAAAAAAATAACTTGCTTCGTGTGAATGAACAAACTTCCCCGGTGGAAAACCTTTCGAAAAAACTTAAGTCTTGTCCATGCAAACTGGCTTTACCCACTGATCCACGGGTATTTCCCCAGCTGTCGGAGATGTGGCAGCCAGAGTGTCCTGCCCACGCAGCTTTTTGCGCTCCTTGGGACTCGCTTTCTTTGAATGGCTTGTAAACGGTCGTGTCTTTAATGGTCCATGGCACCATAAAAAAGTGCCGCTCGAGCAGCAGGAGCAGCCGGAGAGACAAATTAACATTTGGCCATATATGGCAAGTGAAATCTGCGCTGGTTCCTTCCAATGAAGAGTCATCCTCTTCAGTCGGCTTACTGTAAATTAATGCGGACTCAGCGATTTCTTTGTGCTGACCCCCTTCTGGAGGCCTGTGGACGTAGGCGGTGGTGTATATAGTGTATCTGGTGGATCTGACGGATCCTGGCGCGTTGTCCGATGCATTTCCTTGCCTTAATTTATGCGCTTGCGTATTTAAAGCGTACTTGCATATTACTCAAAACAACGGATAACTTGAGGCGCGACGTTGTCGCATTTATTATTGTTTAATACACTTGGCTTGGCCTTTTTAGGTAGTTGCAGCAAAAGCATCTTGGGGAGTTGGCTTAATCAGAGTCGCATTTTGTAATTTATACGCCACTAGCAGCGACCGCTTTCTTTGTCGATAAAGTGACGTTTTCATGCCTGCCACTGGTGCTGCGCTGTGCTGTCATTGTTTATTAACCTTTTGCATTTGCCATAAAACACGCTGGCTAAGTGTTCATGAACCACAGCACAACAGCAGCGCCAGATTAATCGACCTGTCCCGGCTCATTACTCAAAAGTTGGTGACATCTTGCAACGCGGAAGTGGCCGAAAAAACGCAGCCCAAATATGAAAATCAAACGTAAAGATAAGGAATAGTATTCTCGAAAGTGTATTGCTCGCGTTTCCGCTATCCTCTTGTTTTATTGCCGATCATTTCGATGATCATTTTCAATTTCAATCATTTTTTATTTAAATTACAAGCCATCAATTGGGTGCACGCATGGCGCGGCGAATTCGTTGCTGGTTCGATCGTCTGTAAACTGGAAATGCGAGCAGCTGAGTCGAGCGGTAGAAGCGGCTGAGGCTGAGGCCGAGGCAGCGGCGGTACAACCGACACTTGTTCGCTACCAACTTGTCGCTCGATTGCTCAGTCGCAACGACAACTCGAAAGCGAATGGAGGTGCTGGCTTCTTCGCTCGTCGCCGTCGCCGCCGCCGCAGTGCAACCGAAACCAAGTGTTTTTTGAAAGAAATGTATAATCATATATTGTTTTTAATTTTTAACAAATGCAGTGTGTGTGTCTGAGCACTGAGCCCCTCGTGTGATTTGTGTGTTTTTCGCCATTTGTTTATGCATCCTGGCCAAAAATAATAATTCGCGCTGACTCTGCGCGCCTACGGAATTTCAATTCAATTCAAAACACCCCCTCAATTATTCCGAGAAGTTTCAATGCTGTGCATAGCCTTGTCTTTAAAGCTTTAGAGCACAAGGAAAATCACTGGACAATAGGGGACAAACCTTAGGCAACACGGGTTAACTAAACCAAGATAAGATAACTCCGACTATGACGACAACGCCTACGACTTATCAAAGACGGGTTGCAATGAATGGATGACTTGGAGGAACCGGACGTGCCGATTGTGTTTTTTATTGGCCAAGGGATTTTGCACCTATTTCCGATATCATTACTCATAGCGTCACAAAAAGTCGCGGTTCGACTGTTCCTCGGCTGCTGCTGCTGCTGTTGATGTTGCTGACCCGTTTAGTCGTTTGGGGCCCAAGACTTGCGTTTCCTTTTTGAATCAGGTTAAAAAAGTAAAAATTGTGAAAACTGGTCGGAGGAGGACCTGTTCGCAGCCGGGTCTTTGAGCTTAGCGCATGCGCAGACACTTTCTACCAACTACCAATGTATTTCCCTCGCTCTTGTGAATTGCATAAAACCTTAACTGGTTGCGTTTTGGGGGTCTTATCAATGAACTTGCCAGTGGCCGGTGGCTGGGGGCCAATTGGATTTGCCATAGGCTAAATCGCAGTCAAGGTTCAGGGTTATTTTAGCAGCTAATTCAATTGTGGCCCTCGCCGTGCTGACAGGCCAAAAGTGGCTAAAACAAAAACGAAATGCGGCCAGCAAGAAGTCGCACAAATGCAGAGGGGTTGTGGGTGATGGATACTGACTGGTGGGGTAGCCAACTCATAAGCCATCGAGAACGTGTTAATTACACGCGTTTCAACCAGCCAAATCAGCAGCAGCAGCAACAGCAGCAAACGCCAATAGACAAAAGAAAAGCGTTCGATAAATTATTGAAATTAAAGGCTGGGCCAAGGTATTTCATGGAATCTGGCTGACTGGGTGCTGTAGTCTATATAGCAGCAGTCCGTTCGCGGCATTCCAAGTGTGTGCACAGCATTGAAAATTAAGGCTATATAATTCTCGAATTCTTCAAACAGCCAGCGATATACAAATGATAACGATAGAGCTAAAGATAAGCGATCTTCGAAGTGCACGCGTTTAAAGTAAACGTTCATCGGTTTAAATTTCAACGCCAATTCTAAACAAGATCACTGGAAACAGCAACAACAACAACAACATAAAGAAAACAACATCATTGCCCCGCAGCAACATCAGCAATTACGAATAATTAACCAACAAGCGAGTCTATTTAACAACGAAATAAAAATCATAAAAAGCTAACAAAATGCCAGTCGTTGGTCAACAGTATGGAAATGGCTTTCGGCCATATAGCTCCTTTCGTGTGCCGCGCGGCAGTTGTAGCTACGGCAACAACAGCAGCAGCAATAACAACCCCAGCAGCAACATGAGCAACAGTATCCAAATGGGAGCAGCGGCTGCCCAACCCCTGAGCACCAATGGAGCCAACAGATCGATGGTGAAATCAGTCACTGGAAGAAACAACAACACGGTAGCTGGATCATCGTCCACATCTACAGCCTCGTCCACTTCCTCGATCCATCAGCAGGGTGTGACTGGTGGTAACTTTGTACGCCAGCAGCCCTGGAGGAGCAGTTATTGCAGTAGCAACCGCCAGAAGTTGCAGCCAGAAATGCATTCCCACCAGCAGCAAGTGCAGCAGAGATTAGTAAGTGGTGGCAGCGTGAAACCACTTACACCAAAGTTGATCCGGCGCATTGAAAGCACCTGCTCCACCTCGGCTCCCACACGCCATTGCAAGGCGAGGGCACCACAACCACCCACTCAGGCTACGCGCCCGGTAACCACGCCCAGCACTGCCAGGAAACAGTATCAGTCAGCAGCATCAGTATCAGTATCTCAGCAACCGATGGGAACCCCCACCAGCCAGAAGCGCACTCATCAGGCGGGACGAATGGCCGCCAAGGAGAATTGTCCAGCCCAATTGGGACAGCGATCCAGCAAAAACTATCCGGCGCCACAGCCACCGCTGCCAGCGCGTAGGCAGGTGGCAACCAATGATCTCACCAACGGAGGAGGAGCCGGAAAGGCCACTCCTCTCGCCCAGCGCCGCCAGCTGCCGGCCACGCCCAAGTTGAGCCTCAAGCAGCGCAGCAACGGGTGCACCCACAATGGAGAGGGAGCTGGCTCCTCTACGGGATCCAGTGACTCCCACGACTCTCCGCGCCTCAAGAAGGCCTTTTCGAATAAGTTCCCTCAAGGATTGCCCTTCGAGGATGAGTTTTACGGACGCAATCGCTCCTATTCGCAGTCGTCCAGCAACTATAGTTTCTACAGTTCTGTGGGTGCGCCCACCACTCCTCACGATGATGATGATGATAGAGATCTAGATGACAAAGTGCACCGTGTCCGCTGTGATGACGATGATGAGTTCCAGCGCAAACCATCTACAGATGAGTCGCTTTATGTGGACTTCTCGAAACTGGTGCAGACCCACCAGCAGCGGCAATATGTGCCCGCTAGCTCCTGGATTAGGGCTTCTCCGGATGAGTGCGAACTCCGTAGCAAGCCAACTAGTCAGTTAACACCTGCCCAGCAGCGGAGGAAGAACAGCAAGTATGCGCGATCGATGCATGAATATCTGTACAGCGATGAGCCTGGACAGGCAAGGACTAAGCATAGGTTATCCGTGGTGGATGAGCCGGAAGATGGATACTACAGCTATGCGGCAGGAACACCGGATCCGTTGCCATCGCCGCCGCCCACGCCCCGGACGGACATCTATGTGGCCGCTGCATCGTGGGCTCCCAAGCCGCTCTATCCCGACCGCGTGCTTTTGCCACCAGCGGATGGTAACAACAATCACCAGAAGCAACAGCCGCGTCGACGATCGGAGCACTTGGGGTCCACGACGTGTGAGTATATGTGAGTGTCTCTTCAGCATGCGGAAACTTGAATCTGAAAACTGGAGCTAGCCTTGAGTGGCGGCACAGCTTGCTGACTAAGCGTTCTGTCCGCACTTCATTTAAAGCCGCCACCTCCTCGCACTCCTCATTGTTTCTTCTCCAACTTGAGCTCAACCCAACTCAATCTCGTTCTCGATGATGTTTGTTTTTTTGTTTTTATTTTGATTTTTTTTTATACTCGCTTATATTATATATTTGTTATTGTTGGCGTTGTGCCGCTACGATTCGGTTCAAGATCTCTCCGCCAAATTTGGTCAAGCACACCGCCCCTACTTATGAGCTGAGCCGCGTTGCGGTGTCCAAATGGTGAGCTCCGTCCGGCTCATTAGGCAACCTAAGCGCCGGGCTGGGCTAACTGCAAAGCTTTTAGTGTTCTATGCTCAAGTATGGGGCATACTTCATTTGGTTGAGCGATTTGCCTGACTCTCAGCCCCTTTTCTGTCGCTTTGTTGACTTAAAGTTGCCCAAGAGTTTTAACCTCGTTGGGCACTTTCCCATGTTATATGCCTGAGTTGCCATCATTCGTTTGACCAGCTGATCTCTAGATTTCCACATAATCCAGGTTCTGATCAATTAACACTTTATATACAACTAATTTGGTAGGATTTGGAAGCAATGACGTTTTAGTGTGATGTTAATGATTGCTTTCATCTAGTTTCTTGATGTTATTCATTTTTGGATGATCTTCAAAATGTTGTGCAAAGATCGAATTTCAGCTCTATTCAAATTTATGCAGAACGTTTTTCGTTTAGCTTACAGTTATTAAAACAAATTGAGATCAATCAGAATCGCTTTATCGATATAAAATCATACCTTAATAATTTATGGAAAAATAGTTTTTATTCTGCTTATTAACTGTCTGGGCTCTGAGCTTCATCTCTACCTGGGTTTCCTTTTCGAATTCATGATCACTTAACTGCTCGAAAATAGCTATTCCTTAAATAATATTTTTAGGCAATTATGTCAGCAGCTGGGCAAATGGAATCCTCACTCTGTCACCGTCAGCCTCCGCACCTTGGGTCTTTATTCATAAGGGAGGGGCCCAAAGATCTTAGCTTTATCTTTTGGTTTTTAATTTGGGTTTTCGTTTTGTATATTTGGTTTGCTTCTGTATTTTACTCGGGTTCATTTATCTGACGTTTATCGCGATCGGAACAAACCGGACCTGTCTCCGCAGACCCATATACGATCATAATCGATGCTGCTACCGCCGGCAGCTGAGGTAGCCAACTAAAAGCTGACAACAAAGCTTAGAACTTGAGCTTACAGTTCTCGATCGATTTCCGACAGCGCAAGGCAGGCCTAATCGAAAAACACAGACGCAAACAATCTGAAAACAAAAGTGAATAATGGATGCACTTTCAGCGCCAAATGAATTGTTTTTTTAATGTATTTTATTGACTTCCTATTAAGAGTCAGCCGAAAGGTGATTGACTACGCACAAAACAAATACAAAACTCGCACCCAGACGCAAAAGTAAACTCGCATAAATCACGAAATAAATAAAACAATGCAGTATTGGGAGATCTTCTAGACTTGATTTAAATTGCACAAAAATTTTCATCGCTTCCTTTTTCGCAACGCGTTGGCTGTAAGTTTGGGAGCGGGCCGAAAGCAGGGGGACATTTGGCATATTTAATTTGGCTTGTTGTTGAATTCGTTTAACTGTTGTTTGTTTTTGTTAACAGTAATGGCCGGCTCGGTCCGTTTGAGATGGATGGGGTAAATCCAAAGGGGAAGGCGGCGATCTCAGTGCAAAATTTCATTACGTTCATTGAACCGGGCGATCTCGCACTCTCTCTCGTTACCGACGGATCAAATTGACTCAGACTCAGCCCCAGACCCCGACCCTGGCTGACGGCTTGAACCCGGCATGGCACTTCCTCATCCAGTGGATCCAACTGCTGCTCCTCCTTCCCTCCCCTCTCGTTAACTGACGCACAAAGGCCTTTCCATTATTTGCAATGCCCATCTCACTAACTGCCTGAAGAGCTTATTGATGTCTTCCCCAGGCCTGCTGTTTGCGCAGACGCAACCATTGACCTTGCAATTGGCCAACGTCACCTCCCGAGGCGTACACCTGGCCCTGCTGCTCCTCCATGCCCTCAATTCGAGATCTGCCACCCAAATGGATTTGCATAATCCCGCAGCTGTGTTTGGGCTGCTAACATACTTAGCCACTTACTCATTTTTTGTTCATAATTTCTGCTTTTCATCGAGTTATACTCAGCAATATATGTAACGGCATTTCTTTTGTCATTTAAGGCGCGCGACAATCATTTGCATTTCACCCAACCACTGGCCCTCGCCTTTGGCCTCTTGATAGCTCTTAAGACGAGGGGACAAACCGAAAATTCCGGTTTGTCATTATGTTTCACTTGAAGACAAAGATATATGCATAGTACGGGCTTCTGCTTTAATCAATGAGCAAGCAGCCAAACAAAAACAAAGATATTCCATATATATATTTAATTATATTCAAGTTCTGCTGACCAGGGATGGAGGTAACTTTTTGGTTCTGAAGTGTCACACAAATTTTATATAGGAAGAAAAGATAGATGGGTATTTAAACATGCCAAATTAATGAATTCAAAATCACAGTTATACCATATTTGGAGTCTCGAGAAGACAACTTTAAATGATGGATAAATTGAGATTTAATATGGGAATTTATTCGCAATTTTCTAAATCCGGAAGTGTCAAAGGTGTTTTGTTTTTTCTATAAACATAAATAAATATCAAATATTAAAACTTTTTAACCTTAAAATCTTTAACGTCATGCCAACCCAGAAATGCCAAAAATATGATCCAGTTAACCTTTATGTCATCAATGCTAAAAATAAAATAGTTCATGAACCAAGAAAGTTCGCCTTGGTCTATTGACTGACATAAACATTGGCCATAAGTCTTGGGTTTATTGATCCGAGTTATTGAAATATTTTGATTTTATCTCAACTGATGAACTGTCTATCACAAAGTTGAATATTTATTGAGCTGGCCTGCCATAAATAGTTCACGAGCCATGATGGCGAACCTTGAACCATCCCTAGCATTTCTTGGGCTATTCAACTGCTTTCGGGTATTTTTCGTGTGTAAGCGCATAAATCCAAAATGACGCATAACTTCTGCAGTTCATTGGAAGCGAAAATTGGAATCCAATTGTTAACGCTTTTTTTTTTATTATATTTGTATAATTTGTATGAGCACAGATGGAGGGGGGTGGAGGGCAAATCGCATATGTGCGCTACGTTTTGCTTAATGTATTTATGGCAATTTCAGGGTCAGGACAAAAAAAAAAAAGTTAAATACAACAAAACGAAGAAAAATCTCCCGAGCCGCCGCAACAAATGTTTGTCGGCGGTTGGCGGTGCAGGCAGATCTGGTTGGTGGGTTTAAAGTGTCTCAGCTGCTCTATGTAAATCATGAAAAAAACTGGTTTTCGAATGATTAATTTCATAATTCAATAACACGGCTAGCTTATAAGAAACTATTTTCATGGGTTTTTTATTCTCGTTCTCCGAAATGGCAAGAGAATTGCAGAATTCGACTCGCAGTGGAGAGTTATTGTTCTTAGCGGATTCTGTTTGGGCTAATCTGAGTGGCTGGATCTTAATGCTTCCAAGCAGCTAATTGTTGTCGCAGATTCTTTATCATCTTAGAGGTGAATAGGTGTACATGATTCGTACAAATTGCAGGCCATTAAGGAAGTTGGCCAAGACAATGGTGTTTATTTGTGTTTAATTGCGTGAAGGGGGGAGTTTTTCTTGCCTGCGCAAATGCATAAAATCATAGTTGGCAGCAAGAATTGGTCAAGGTCGCGACAATCACTCAAGGAAATGGTGTCCACATGTGGGGAATGATAAGGCCAGAAATGGGATTGGCCTGGCCATAAAATTGTTAACTCATCTGTGTGTGTGCCTGCGAAAAGTCGAGGCCAACAGAGAAAAATAACAATATAGAACCCCCGGTGTTTCTGAGCTGACTCAAGGGTAGACCGCTGAATGAGGAACTCTATAAATATGGGCGCGATTGTAATATTATCGCAAGAGTAGCGGGGTTAGAATAAAGATTTTTCAATCCTTGAAATTATCAGCAATTTGCGTTGGATTTCTAGTCAGTGTGAATAGCCTCTTGTAACCCCTTCAGGGCAAGCAACTTTGTGTTCGGTTACCCTACTCATATCTTATCATGTTTCCCACAGGCTGTCATAACTTATTACCACGCCGGGCAATAAAACGGTCGAATTGCCGCGATCACTCCCAGATCACCCCTTAAGATAATCAGTTTCAGAACATAGCTACCACAATGTACTATAAATATTTTAAATTACTATTTCCCAAGATATCTTATCTTATGTTCGCCCATATCAGCGCTTTCCACGTTTGACATCGACCAAACCCTTTATTTACATTTACCTTAGCAATGTTTATGGTAGTCGGTCGCGTTGAACCCATTACTCGTGTTCTTTTAGGTCAAAGATAATATTTTATGAGCTCTTTTTATTAGTCAAGCTTTCGACCTGTTCGTTCGGCTGCCTTGAGTGAAATATTAAGCCAATTACCTTACACAACACCGATCTGAAATGCTCCAGTCCAAATTGGGAATCTATTATGAACTTGCTTTGCCATTCGCTTCCTACCCTCCTACCCCTCCCACTCTTTTGTTTCTCGAATTCGAAATCGGATTCTGGATCTGACTCTGACTCTGAATCTGAATCAACGAATCATTAATATCCAATTACAGTTGGCCATAAAAGCTGTTCTAATTTGCACGCAGCGCGTCATTAATCATAAATCAAAAAGCCGAAAGAGGTTGGCTACCATGGAGTGCTATGGCAGCTATTCCTTTTATTAACTGCCGCGAGGCCGTAAGCGGCTTTTCCGCGACAGACACCAGTTAGAGATCACAGATCACAACTCCCAGATCGGTTCAATTCAGTTCGTTTCTTGGCCAAGAGTCTTTC